GTTTTCTTTAGAACTTCGCCCCCCTTAGCGTTAGATTTTTTTTTCATAAGCTTCACAATGAAACATCAGACGTAATAATCGGTTGAGTAGGAGGGCTGAAAAAGGTGTGTAACAAGGAAACCCAAGGAAACTCGTACTGTATAAAGTATAGATTGTGACCAGAAACAGCTGACATTAGTCAATGACAAAGCTACACAGGTGAACTATTCCATTCTACACTCACCCTGCAACTTCATCCATATACGTCTACGATAGCTGTTTTATGGACGTGATTCAATGACGTTAAGTTGAAAACAACGTTGGTATAAGAGAACATAGTTTCCGTGCTCATGGTATATTATTTAATTTTATTAATTGTAATTCTTTATCAACATGTGTGAATATAAATTGTTCAACTTAGTTTCCTTTGTAAAGTAATTCAGTGTTTTTACAATCATAAACGTAATATCAAAACTATAAAGCAGTATAAACAGAATAGCTTGTCCTCTCAAAACAATGTAGCTGATTTAATCTAATTTCATAGTTGAACACCGCTCAACTATACCGCTCAACCTACTTATTTCAATATTGGCCAGTGAACACAGTAGCACTGAGAAAATTAAATTTGCAAGCAATGTTTTTCAGTCTAGTTTGTTTAATGTTGCCAGTGTCCTGTACAAAATTTAATAAAACAGCACTCCCCTTCTTAGTTCTACTTTTTAATTGGTGTTATTCTCCCGCATAGGAATGGGAAGGGTATTATTGTAGTCAGCTGATCTAGTTGGGGGAGGTAATCAGCTGTTGGTAATGGTAGGGGGAGGTAGGAGGGATTGCTGCAATGCTAGCGACCTTGAAATATTGACTTCCACCCCAAAACCTTCCCCTCAAAAGCCCCAACCTATACACATGCTAATCAATCACTGTGTTTTTGTCTGGATATTCTTTATAACCAATATGTAACTTTGTTTTATTTTTCATGCATCTAATAAATCGTTGTAATTTTATGTTATAATGATTCCAATATACCTAACTGTGATATAAATCCAATTACACTGATGTAATATTATTTTTACTAAAATAATTTGGTGCTTAGTTTTTTTTTTTTCTGACTGATTTAATTTCTGCTCGGCTTGTACAAAAACAATCTATATTGATTAATTTATTTTAATACTAACTAAAATGTTTTAACTTGATTTAATCAAAGGAATCTTTATTGTGTTTTATTTTTGGTTACACTAAAATGGTTACACTAACAATTAAGTTCAAGGTACAAAGACCTTGTTTGGGGTAAAATAATAAGACTCAAGAGGATCTCTTCATTACATTTACATATAATCACAAAATAAAGAGTATACCCTTTATTCTGTAATAATTGATTACAAATTAATGTAATGCTTCAATTTAAATAAACATCGATCTCATTAAAATGTATACATTACAACAAAATATCTATATCAATATCAATATCAATTGCGTGAACAATCCAAAACCAAGGTAATTCCTATTGGCATTAATAGTAATTTATTCGAATTGTACTTGACAATAAAAAACAAAAAGTAATTTAATAATTTCAATGAAAGAAGTTCTCTTAGAATTGATTTTAATCTAGCAATCAATTACCACTACTTTAATTTAAAAGCAAACAACGAGCATCTCATATTACACTATCATTTTATGTAGAATTACTCTTCCAATTTATATTTTTCAACCTATCTAAGCTACACTGATCATCGCGCAAATAAACTATGCAAAGTTAAGAATTGTATTGAAAAAGTTTATAAAGGTAAGGTATATTGTTGTGTCGATTGTTAATAAAAGTTTCTTAGAATCTGTACTATTTTACTAAGAATTAATTGGATGCACTGTTTTATGTCATAACTCAAACTCAACTAACTTTATTTACCTTTTTACAAACATAGAATAACAAATAAACATATGATTATAATTAATAGAAATTAACAGGTGTTATGAAATAAACTGTTCTCACAACATCCTCCCTTTTAAGTTTGAAAGTTCTTCAACCAGCTTATTGGTTTGTGTATATTTCTCTTTGGAAGGTTGTATGGTTCTGTTTGATGTGCATTCTCAGACAAATGTTGTTCACTGTTTTCCTCTCTTAAATAAGGGGCAAGTTTGAGGTGGAATCGATTTCTTCTCACATTCCTCTTATCAGTTTCAACAATATATGAACGAGGGCTGTCCAGGATTTTCACAATTTTGCCATGTCTTCTAAGGTCCACAATCCAAACTGGGTCTCCTATATGAAGAGGATTGAGAGTTTGCACTTTGTGCCTTCTATCATAGTTGTGTTTATACTTCTCACGATATGTTTCTTCTCTCCCCTTAAGATCCTTTAGATCTGGTTTTCCACAAAGCAAATGTCCTGTCTGAGGCAATGTGCTCCGTAATCGCCTGTTCATGAGAAGCTGAGAGGGACTGTACCCATTCCAGAGGGGTGTCGTTCGATAGGCTAGAAGTGCTAAATAAGGGTCTTCCACATTTTTCTTTAGAATCATTTTGGCGATTTTCACTGCGGCTTCGGCCTCTCCATTGCTTTGGGAAAATTTTGGGCTACTTGTTATATGCTTAAAGCCATAAACTTTGGAAAATGTCTTGAAATCTGAATGTTCAAGGACTTGAAATTGAGACCCACAGTCAGACCTAACTTCTTCTGGAATGCCATGTCGACAGAAAAAGGCTTTGCATCTCATTATTACTTCTCGTGATGTTAATGACTCTAATTCAGCTATTTCAAAATATCTGGAGTAATAATCTGTCACAGTCAAAAACCAAACGCCTTCAAGTTTGAATAAATCCATTGCAAGTGTTTTCCATGGTCTGTCAGGGAATGGTGTGGGAAGCAAAATGGACTGCCCAAAAAACGTAAAAGAACTTCAAATGGTTTTGTCGTCCATTGATATAAACGACTGCATAGTTGCTAAAGTATTGGAGGAACAAAATAAAGATCCGACTTTATGTGAACTGAAAAAAATAATCATCCAAGGTTGGCCTTCTAAGACATCATTACGAGATGGCCTAAAACCATATAATTCAGTTAAGGATGAGCTAAGTGTTGATAATGAGATGATACTACGAGGTTCAAGACTTGTAATCCCACCGCTGCCACCATGTACTATTTTACTAAGAATTAATTGGATGCACTGTTTTATGTCATAACTCAAACTCAACTAACTTTATTTACCTTTTTACAAACATAGAATAACAAATAAACATATGATTATAATTAATAGAAATTAACAGGTGTTATGAAATAAACTGTTCTCACAACAGAATCTCGCTAAGCTATACAGTATAAGAAATCCTGATGATCCAACCATCCTGACCAGCCTGAGAGTCAGTATTTGGTTGGAAAGAAAACAAATTGAAACTATCCCTTGCAGTAATTTTAAATCAAAACTATTTAATATTTAATGCAAATAAGCCAGTAACTGTACTACCGGCATAGCATTTCATTCAGATAAATTTTTTATGTAAATTATTTTAGACAGACAAAATTACGAACACATAATATCATGTTTCTCACAAATATAGCTTTTAGTGGAATGAAAAGTGCAAACAAATTATGAGGGGATGAAGCGGAACAAACATGTTATACAACCCTTGTTACATAATTGTAGCATCTGAATAAGAGATATTCACCTTACATAAATGTCACAGTTGGCTTATATAAGTGAGGTAGTTATGAAGAGTGCTAAAAGTAATTCATTTGACAGTTGAAAAAATTGGGGAAAAATCTTTCAAAGGTTTATCCTAGTTTTAAATAAATTATGTTAGTCTTACCTCAGAGTAATCTTATCTTGTTGGGAATTCTTAATTCAATTTTGAATACCTGTGTAATAGTTATAGTGCTTGACTGATGATTAAAAGGTCTTTGGTTTGATCCTGAGAAAAGTTAGCAGCTTCTTAAGGGAAAATAATAAACACGGATGGTGGATACACTGTAAATATCACTGTCAATAATATTAAAAGAGAATGACCTGTATAGACAGTATTGATGGTGGATTTTAAGAAATAGTAATCAAATACAATAGTATTACCTTTTGTCCTTTTGTCTCAATATTACTGTCAATACTAACATATATTGACAGTAATATTGATAGTGTGAGGGCCCCTGGTTTAAAGCTGATCATATAGTTTTGTTCTTTACCATTGATTTATGTCCTGTCTAATGGAACAGCTGATTTCAGTTGCATAGAAGGTTATCTTCAACATTACACAAATCATCCCACTCCATTATACAATCACTTTGCTTTCATATCCAGCTTAAAATAAGTACACAAAATGCATCACTGTCTTTAGTGGAGTGATTATATGTACACAAGAAATCTCCCTTATACCACACCCATCTCAAAATCGTGTTGGTGATATTAAGTTATGGTAAATAAAAACATTTTGTGTGCCTACTTTTGAAGCTGAATATTGATGAAGGTTGATGTCAGCAACTCTTTCTTTGCTCAGCTGAGAAACGTCAGCTGTTTCTGTGTCAGGATCATATAAACAAAGGCCAATGATCATGAAGAGCTGAGTCGTTTTGTCATAAAGCTACTGAATTTGCTTAGGATCTAGTTGGCACTTGCTGATTGTTATGCAGCACTATAACCTCAGTTATAATTAACAGTCCATTAACAGTCATGTGTCATCAACAGCCATGTTTGCAAAAATTAAAATCTACCGTAGTTTTTCAAAAGAAATTCAATATTATGCATTACAAAAATGGCTCTACAAAATCAGATAACAGTTTTACACTTAGTACAAATTATTTGGTTAGTACAACGCTAACCAATAGGGTTCGTATTTTAAGAGCAATATGATTATTGAGTGGATGAGATGAATGAGATTTCCGCTTTGACACTAACTAAGATCAGTTGATTTGTATAGCTGAGACCATTCATTAAAAGCCCAACACTCAAGGACAGCTGAATCCAGTTTTCAACCATCGAAATGCTTCTGACCTGCTTTGTCATTTTTATCAAAATCTTAAGGTCTTTTTAATGTTGCAGGGTTCCACATGGCCCCGGGATTGAACCAGATCTTCCCCGAGTCGTGTCTGCTGATCGTGGTTGGTGTGGTGATCGGACTGCTGCTCTATGGTGCCTCGAGTGTTCACATCTCTCCTCTAACACCCGACACATTCTTCCTCTACATGCTACCACCCATCATCCTGGACGCCGGCTACTTTATGCCCAACAGACTCTTCTTCGACCACATCGGCACCATCCTCGTCTTCGCTGTCATCGGAACTGTCTTCAACACCTTGACAATAGGTGAGTCGGGAATTGGCTCTAGCATTCACTTTGTTTAGTGCAAGTAGACTTCTAGTTCTATCCCTAGTGTAAAGTTTTAGTATTGTTTCGGCGTTAAAAGTCTGTAAAATTAGTGTGCTTGTGTTGACTATATGCTGCTCTTTTACTTTACATAGATTTTACGATTTTTTCTTTACTATCTGGTTGTAAAACTAAAGATGTACCCCAACCCCCTCACAAAAAACAACTATGTTACCAAAATTTCTCTGTGTACTTTGTAATAATCAGCAGTCTTTTTATTCACTGACACTATTTGACCAGGAGTTTCCCTCTGGTTGGTGGGTCAGACGGGTATCTACGGTTTCCCAACTCCACTCCTAGAGATGCTACTGTTCTCTGCGCTCATCTCCGCTGTGGACCCCGTCGCAGTTCTGGCTGTGTTTGAAGAGATCCATGTCAACGAGATCTTGTACATCGTAGTATTCGGAGAGTCTCTGCTCAATGATGCAGTCACTGTTGTAAGTTGATTGTTGGTTGGATTTGAGATTTTTTCATCCAGATACTCTAAACTATACATCTCATTTATTTAAGTACTTCTTAATTGTTATTAAATGATAAGTTTAATGAAATGGTGTTGAAGTTCAGAAGGGGAATTGTTATTGTAAGAAGTAATGAATTATTAACCAGCTTGATTTTTTTTCTGTTGGAGCATGCTCTATTAAAAGCATGCTCTGTAAATAGAGTTTGGAATTAGTCTCAAAGTTAACAATTGCTATTACTGTAGTACTGCATACTGTTTATTTTTTATGTTTTTCTATGCCGTTGGAGTTTGTTGGCGTTTTTTAAAAGAGTACTAAATTTGTTTCAATTGTGATAGGAAAAGGTCCACTAGTTTAATTAGGTTGCACGTTCAAAAGTGGTCCAACATAAATTAACCTAACTTGGTTATTAAAGAGAACAGGTTCAGATGTAACATCCAACATGTTGGTGTGGCGTTCTGTTATTCAGCAGGAGAACTACAGCTACAGCATAGAATGGACTATGTTCCATTTTTTGTGCACGTAAAGGTGTAAGAGATATAAACATAGCACAACATTTTGAGGTTTAGTTGTTAGACACATTTCAAAAACGTTCCATCCCACACCCATGATGTTCACAGGTACTGTACCACATGTTTGAGGCGTATACAGAGATGGGACCATCCAACATCCAGGCCCGTGATGTTGCCTCTGGCGTTGCCTCGTTTTTCGTGGTGGCGGTGGGTGGTACCGTCATCGGTGTTGTGTGGGGTTTCCTGACCGCGTTTGTCACCAGATTCACCAACCAAGTCAGAGTCATCGAGCCCATCTTCATCTTCGTCATGGCTTACCTCGCCTACCTCAATGCTGAAATTTTCCACATGTCCGGCATATTGGCGTGAGTTGGATAAACAGAGACACTTTGGGGTACAAATTTGGTTTCCTTCCCACCACATATCTTATATCCTGACATGTGTTCCTATAGATCAACCATTGGGAGTTTTTGAAATCACAACATATACATGCACATTATACCTACTGTGATTTGTACAAAAGTAAAGTTTCCATGCTCAGCCTTGTTTTAGGAATTATTTTGCCGTTTTCTTTTCTGTTAATGAGTATGTTTTAAAATTTGGGAGTGCTTTCATTACAAACAAAACTCTACACACTGTAAGGATGTAGGGTAGACAAACAAGACTACTTTGAACCGTTTGAATTCTTATCAATTATCAATCATTGAGATAGGAACACCACCTAGGTGAGTATTTCAACCCAAATATAAGTGTAGAATGGTATGAGATTATCTCTGTAGCTTTGATATTGACTAAGATCAGCTTTTTCATCAGTCAGGATCATTTATTCAAAGCCCAATGATCAGAAACAATAGTTGATGGAGGCAAGTTATTTTTAGAATGCAAAAAGCTTTCTGACTCTTCATGCTATTCAAATCCTTGCATTATAATTTCATACTAACATTTCCAATGTTCCCCAGAATCACTTTCTGCGGGATCACTATGAAGAACTACGTAGAGGCCAACATCTCTCACAAGTCCCACACCACTGTCAAGTACGCCATGAAGATGTTGAGTTCTTCTTCGGAGACAATTATCTTCATGTTCCTCGGAGTCGCCACCGTCAGTGACAAACATACTTGGAACACATGGTTTGTCATTCTCACCATCACCTTCTGCTCTTTCTACAGAGCTGTGGGTGAGTCTACATAGTAACCAAGTCAAAGATTGTGGGAGTGTCTAAAATTCTCTTTTCCTTTTTATTATTCTTATTGAGATAGTTGATGGGGCATAACAGATTTTATAGCTTAAAGTGCAACCTATTAGTTTGACTTGGTTTAAAACACCAAGTATTCAACTATAACAGATTACTTACCTTGTCGTCCACAATTCCTCAGTCGAACTTCTGTTGACTAGTTTCGACTACTAAGTAGTCATTTTCAAAACGGAATGTTAAAATATTTCACTCATCGAATGTCGTCAAATCTTCTTAAATACATTGAACACAAACACAACACGAACACGGTAGACGTAACATAGCTGGCCGGCCAGCACACGTCACTGAACTGGTCGACGATGACTGTTTACCTCACTCCATTCCGTTTATCAACTGTGCCTGCAGGACTAATGTTGCTAATATAATTGCTACCAAAGTAATCTAAAACTGTGTTGAATAATTTATTTGAGCCATAATTAAGTTTTTCATTAAGCGTCAATGTGTTCTACCATGTTCGTGTTGTGTTTGTGTTCAATGTATTTAAGAAGATTTGACAACATTCAATGAATGAAATATTTTAACATTCCGTTTTGAAAATGACTACTTAGTAGTCAAAACTAGTCAACAGATGTTTGACTGAGGTGAGGAATTTTGGATGTCAAGGTACGTAACCTGTTATAATTTATTACCAATTCTGGAAGGCTTCAACATGAATAAACCCAAGTATTCATCAGAAATCTGTGACTTACATCAGCATAATCTGTCAGTCCGTCAACTACATCCATTTTGATTTTTAAATGGGTGATAAACTTTAATGAGGATGGTATGTCTGGTTCTACCAAATACTCAATGGTCAAATGAGTGAGATGATAGCCTCGTTGCTGAATATAAGATCAGCTGGTTATCAGCTGATAACCCTTATCATTTTTAAGGCTCAATGATAAATGACATCTGAGACAGTACAGTTTCAAACCGTGGAAATCCAAATTATTTTTCTGAGGTTTGAAAATATTATACCAGTAAGCTATAAAGTTATTCTTACTTCTACAGCCGTTGGTAGTTTAGGGTTAATTGTCACCTTCCAATTGCTTGCCATCTTACTTTTAACTTGCGTAACTTATAATTTTTTAAAATGTATTTCTCATTTCTTTTTTATTTCAGTCACTATACCAACATACAATTACTGCAATATGATCGATGCCCATATACAGTCTGAAAATACTAATAGCACCAATTTAATGCCAATAAGTTGCTGAAATTTCAATTAACCATATTCTCAAATGGCGAAGCCCTACTCACTACGCAATCAATAATTTGGTTGAGGTTAAAAAAAATTTATTTTGAAATTTTGATGTTTTTCCACTTCTATCTGATGTAGACACTTTTTATCCAAATAACTTGTTTACAAGTTTTATGAACATGTTTTGGCGTATATATATATGCTTGTGACCTACAGATTGAGTTGCCTATATATACGGCCAATGCTCGGGAAGGGAAAGCTATTGTAATCTACAAATATTTACGTCTACGTTTCAGGTGTGATGATTCTGACAGCCCTCGTCAACAGGTTCCGTCTCTACAAGCTAAACAAGGTAGACAAGTTCGTCATGTCGTACGGTGGTTTACGAGGTGCCGTTGCATTTGCCCTTGTCCTGCTCATTAGCCCGGACCATGTCAAGCTACAGCCAATGTTGGTAACTACCACCATCGCCGTCATATACTTCACCGTCTTCTTCCAGGTACCTATCACTTATCTTTAAATCATATTGAGACATTTTAACCCAAAGATTTATGGTAGATGGATGTGGTATGAGTAGCATGATTTGGGTGGCTTTGTTTTGCTCTTAAGCTAGGACCATATTTGGAAAGCCAGATTTTTGGCAAGAGAGGACAACAGCAGCTGGCGCTTTTTCAATAGAAATCAAACACAAAATGCAATTTTTACATGGCAGGAACATAAATTTTCCTTCACATAGTTTTCGGCTACTACGACGAGAAGATATAGTTTTTTTTGTCTTATTCTAGTTTACGTTCAATACACTTAATATCACCACAATCCCAATTCCTAGAGGTACAAATTTATACTTTGTTCACTATCACATTATGTATAAGTTTCTGTATTTACAGGGAATCACCATAAAGCCACTTGTAAGGATATTGAACGTAAAGAGAGCGGAGAAAAGAAAACCCACAATGAACGAAAGGATCCATGAAAGGGTGAGTGTTAACTTTGGACGAAAATTGTGGATTGCAATGTGGATAGTTCTGCATCATTATTATGGTTTGAATTACTTCAATATACTTAAACTTAAATTTGATTTGCAATAAGTTTGTGTTTAAATCTGTTGTAATTTGAAAGAAATTCGAAATTGAGAAACCCCCATGATATTTCAATATAAAACCACGATCACTTTCTAAACAAGCTGTTCTTTTTAGATAAAGTGCATGTTCTGAGATCTAATTATAAGGATATAATTTTTTCCAAGAATGCACAAATTAGTCTGAATAAAAGATAATTAATAAATCTGAAAAGATTACAATACAGAATACAACCTACTTGTATCTTCAGGCTATCAAGAAACTTAACACATTCGCTGCAGCCTATTGCTATAGCAGCTAGTAGCGCGGCACTAGCATTGCACTGCACGCGGCTTACTGCTAAATCAGTAGTGTGCTCACCTGCCAAATATTGCGTCTGTCTGAGCCCAGCACTCGACCGGGGACACTGTTATTGTTGGCAGGCTGTAGCTTAGAATACGGGCTTTATTTGGTGTAGGTTGGTACTAAACATTCCCGTAAAATCCCGTCTGGCAATGCTTTTGTCCCAGTTTTGGTGATTTTCTCTATTCGAGCCATATAACAAAGACACCGTTTATTTATCCAGGCAGTGTTGCTACCTTTGGGTGTTTCAGTGAACTACGTCCACTTTCGGGGTAACCCAGAACAATCACCACTGCTCTTTTGTGATTCGTGTTACTGAGATATATGAATGCCAATAGCAATCGCTGATTCATTAGCGTGCGGCGAGGCCTGTTTAAAGGTTTTCAGCAGCGAACGTGTTAAAAAATGCTTAGTATTGGTAGACTACATTGAAGTGTCCAAATTTCCAAAAATACTGTTCGAGAAGTATTACTTTTATAAATATTTAATTTTACAATGTCATAAAGATTTACCAAATTATGCCACTAAAAATTACATCATAAAAGTGAAGTACTTGCTCTATTCATATCACTTTATGTAATTTTAAAGTTATAAAAATCATAATTTAAAAACATTGATTTTCAGATTATGGACCACACTATGGCAGGAATAGAGGACATTCTAGGTCATCATGGCAATCACCACTTGAGGGACAGGTAATAGTATTTTCCTTTTTACAAATATGAGGATAGGTAGCAGATTGTTTAGTATTTACGCCTACCCATTTATATTAGAGAAGTAAAAACTGCTTACCTGGCTCAAATCCGTGATAGCAAAAAAGGTTACATAAAACAGGTTTTTTTATTCTATGTAAGTTTGGAGAGAAATAAAATCATAGTTGAATTAACAATGATAATTTTTTAAACTATAACAAAAATGTTTATTATACACTAGATTTTGTTAATTCCTTTCTATTTTATTATTATTATTTTTCAATTAGGTAATAACACTAAGACATTTTCTAAATCAATTTCATTCTAATAAATCTAGAGTATCTTGAATGATTTTATTAGTTATTTTTAGCTTCATTTTGGGTATTAAAACCATGAGCTCATGAACATTATTCTATAATTCTATAAATAAAATTAAACAATTAATTAATCAAATTAGATCCACAGACATAAACTGTTCACCACAAACCCTTTTTATAAGCCACAGGTACTTTAATCATGCTCTATTTCTTGGAAACTGACTCTGAATTTATAAATTTTCCAGATTTAAAAGGTTTGACAACAAGTTTATCCGGCCGTACTTGCTGAGAAATCACCAAGGCGCTGAACCAAAGATACTCGAGACTTACTCCAAGTTGGCAATGAAAGATGCGATGGAGTACATGAGGAGGAACGCTTCAACAATCGGCAATATTTCTGGGACTGAGTCCATGTCTGCGATATTCAGGAACTACACTGCAGGAAATCTGAATGGCAGGTAATTATCGTAGAGATTATTTTCAAGTAGTTTCTATAATAATATCTCACCATTTAATGGCTTTCACCTTTGTTATCTGCCTGACAGCTGATATAGAATAGAGCCTTGACAATTGAACCTAGTTAACATTTATACACCCTTAGGATATGATTATTGGTAGGAAAAAATAATACCTTAATCACTGATTGATCAACATTAAAGTATTAATGGCATGCAGCTTCACCATAAGGAGTAGACTTTTTAAACAAGAGTTTTACTGATTTTGGTTGTGGAAAATCAAGAGAAGAATGGTCTCAGTCAAGTAAATTGGTGCTGAAACTCAGATAATAAGTCTTGCATTTGAAAGATTCTCATCAATAACCATTGTCAGAAGGGTTTGCTTGAGTCAACAATTGTTAACCCTGATGAAGCAGCACTAACTTGGATTAGAGAGTGAAATTTGCTAGAGAAAAATCAACGAAGTATATTTGGCCACAGATAGCTATTTAAAATGTATTACTTTTGGTCTATACTTGAAATTACAGCAGAGCCTCGATAACAAGTAGCCCTTGATATCAAGTGGCCCTTGATAACAAGTGACCTTTGATAACACGTGTCATTTTCAAATACCCCAATTTTATACAGTTGAACCTCGTTTGTACGAACCTCAATAAAACAAATTCCTCGATAAGACGAATTTTTTTTTTTATCCCCTTGACACTTTCATATAGGTCAATGCTAAAAACACCTCTATACAACGTAGTAATTAAGTTAAAAACCTCCATAAGACGAATTTGTTTGTGACATGGGCTAGGACTGATTAACCTCTATACAACGAATATTGTTAGGACAAAACCTCTACAAGACGAATGTGACCTCTATAAGACGAATTTATCATAATCTTAACCTCTTTTCAAAACAAACAGAAGCTTGTCTCAACATGAAACCCTCACCCATCCCTCCTCCTTCCTCAGTCATTGTTTGGAGAAACCTTGGAGCGAGGAGAAACCTCTATAAGAAGAATAACAGCAGCATTAAACCTCGATAAAACAACCCTCTTTATTAAGAATACCTCTATTGTACGAATTTTTCCCGTACCCCTTGAAATTTGTCTTATAGAGGTTCAACTGTATTATCCTTAATTACATGCAATTGCAAACCTCATTAAGAAGTCAACCTTGGTAACAAATGTTATTTGATAATGATAACCGTCGTTAAAGACTTGATACTGAAGTTCTACTTTATGAAATAGTTGGAGATGAATGAGTTTCTAAAAACATGTGAACATTATAGTGGCATAAAATGGTAAATGACCCAACAAATTTTTATTTTGGCGAGTATCGGTTAAATTTTGCTTACTTCTATTGTCAATGTATTTTAACTCAACAATAGTTTAAAAGGGTTTCAGAACTTATTTAGAGAAATCAAAATGTTTTTCTCTGTTACAGCTTTTCACAGTTAGATACAAGTACGTGGAATATAGACTTGCAAGAATTAGAGTACAATCCAAGCAAAAAAGACTTGACGGATGCAAAAATCCATCATCTGTTAGCAGAGGAACTGTGTCAGCCGTGCAGAAGGGTGAGTGTTACCAACCTATTTGATCAGCAACTCAAAATATCCCTGCTTACAATATTTGTTTTTTACTTAAATTAAAGTTTTAAAATATTATAGTTCAGAAAAACTTGAAACAAAATCAGGTGTCCCACAAGGTTCTGTACTAGGTCCAATTTTATTCATAATATACATAAATGATGTGACATATTCAAGAAAATTATCTGAAGTAATATTATTTGCTGATGACACGACCTTATTGACATCCAGCCAATATAGAGAAGAATTGGAAATTAAATGTTATGAAGAAGCAAATGAACTAGCACAATGCTTCATGGAAAACCATTTAGAAATTAATGTAAATAAAACAAAATTTATGGAATTTTCAATCAGAGATAAAATTAAAAAAGATTTCAACTTAAATATTTTAATTGATGAACAACATATAGATGAAGTAAAAACAATCAAATTCCTAGGACTAATTATAGACCAAAATTTAAATTTCAACTCGCATATTGAACACTTATGTAAAAAACTTTCCCAAATTATTTTTATACTAAGAAGAGTGTCTATGTTCTGTAGTGAAGACGCATTACTCGCTGTATATCATTCGCTAATTATTTCCAATATTAGATATGCAATACCTATATGGGGTTCAACTTCATCAAAAACCAAACAAATATTTAAATTGCAAAAGTCTGCATTAAGAATTATTTTCAAATTAAAACCACGCCAATCCTGTAAAAAATTATTTAAAAATTACCAATTTATGACCTTTTACTCAATTTATATTTATGAAACATTACTATTTTTAAAGAACAATTTTGAGAATTTCTTGAAAAATGATGAATTATGTGAGAAGAATTATGATTTGAGAAAATTACAAACATTTTCTTCTACTTTCCACCAAACAAAATTTTATGAAAAACATGTTTATTACAACGGAAGAAAATTATTCAATAAATTACCAACTATTATTCAAAACCTAAAATTAAAAGAATACAAAAGAAAATTAAAACAAATCCTTACTGAAAATCCAATTTACTCTATTGAAGACTTCAACAAAAAATGCATAAAAATTTAAAGAGTTTTATTTAATACCATACCTAATTGTACTGTCGATACAATCTATATTGTCAAGACAATAAAGTATTTATTTATAAAGTTTTTCTAAGAAAGTGATTGTAATTATTGAGTTATTGACATATATTTTTCAGTTTCAATATGAGCTATAAGTTAAATAAATCACAAATTTTGAATTCAAATTATTCTACTAGGTGACATTTGTTGTTGATATTAAACTCTCTATACAGATTTATTTGGATACAGAGGAGGACAATGCAAGTCTTCAAATTTACCCTGGATAGGTCATGAATTTTTCAAAAATGTGTAAAAACATAGTGTGTATGAATTACGCTAAGTGTGTTTTTTACAGCATCGAAGGCTATCTTATAGCAGACATGCAGTTGATGATAGAGATCTGACAACACAAATATTCCCTCATAGAATGCACTACAACATGAGAAGGATGGTCGGGGATCAGAAAAAACATCACCACAGAAGAAGCAAGAGACTTAGCAAGGTGAGTTGGGTCTTTTAGTCAGTCAAAATCATTACCCTAAATTTAGCTAAAAAGGTAAAAGTTATAAGAAACAAAGAGGGCTGCCCTTTGATTAAGGTCTCCATTGAGCTTATCAGTAAAGGCAAAAAAAAAATTGTAAAAATCTGAAACCAATGCCATGTTCTTTACTTTCTTTACCAGATCCCTAACCGGTTCCCACCTCTATGCAACAGTTAGCCTTGTCATAGTACCGTAGTTGAAAAATTTGAGGTTCATGTTGAAGACTTCCAGAATTGGTAATCAATTATAACAGGTTACTTACCTTGAAGTCCACAATTCCTCAGTCGAACTTTCGTTGACTAGTTTCAACTACTAATTATAGTCTTTCAAAACGGAACGTTAAATTTAATTCATTGAAAGTTGTAATTTTTTTTAAATACACTAAACACACATAACACGGTAGACATTTAACATAGTTGGCTGGCCGGCATACGAGTGACTTGTGTATGTAGAAAAGTGCTTAAACTTTGAAAATATGGCTTAAGGAGTCTGCAGAATGTTGTGCACATGTGCAAAAGGCAGGTAGTGGATGTTCTAGTTTCCATGGGAAACAATGATTACAGTTAAGGAAACTTAGCTTTCTGAGGTGGCCAAGTTTACCATTATCCTTGATATACGGTAGCTATAAAGAGACATCCAATGATGATGACATCCGGTGTGATGGATAACATTTAAGCTATGTTTGACTTAAGGTATTTCCTCAACTGACGCTTTCATGATGCTCCAGGGCCTCAAACAGAACCACGTCAGTTTTCCCGGGATCCAGCAGAACGGGACAGTCAAACAGCTGGCCAATGGTGAGTTTTTGATTGGATTTGAAGGACATTTTATCTTCTCAGGTTAAAAATAAAGATGATTTAAGGATGAGAATGGATGAGATGATCGCTTTGTTTCCTTTACACAAAAGAGCTACGAATAGCTTCTTTTCTCAGGGTCATACCATCAAATTTCTGACTATGAGGCAAGCACTATAACCACTTGGCTGCTCAGCTAGATAATAGTTGTTCTTGGTCAAAGTTTAACTGCAAAAAAAAGTCAGGTTTAGAGGAACATTTAATGGCACACTTAAGTGGTGTCTAGCACTATTTGCTGGTGTCTAGGGCAAAGACTAACACTGCCCCCACTGCTATCTTGTACTACATCGCTCATGGTGGAGGAAGAGTCTGTGCCCTGTGCGATAGGTATAATAATTTTCCGTTTTCACTATCTAATTGTTATGAAATTTGTTTGTCCGCCCTGCTTTGTCTTAAAAAATATCTAAACTCACATGTTGTGATACTGCAATAATGTCTAATGTTTTCAGATTACATAAACGAGGTTCTGCACGAAGTAGAGCTGTCTGAGAGCACAAAGTCCATTCCTGTGTCTACGAGAGAAGACTGGGAGAGTGGAGGAATCACATTCACTGCTCACCCCTCTGGTAAGTCCTCTCTCACTTACCCCTGTTTTCCGCCCCTTCTATTTCTTTCCCTCCCCTCTTTATCTCACAGCATCCTATTTTTCTTGTCATTCTTTTTACTTAAATATTATTAACGATCAAATTTTTAAGTAAAATGATTTAGTACAAAAAAATTAATAAGCATCTTTTTTTAAGTTGACACGTTTCTATTTGAAATTAAACACCAGTTAATCTTGTAAACAAAGAATAGACATGACGGAGTCTAGTTGTTTGTTTATTTTTTTTATTTATACTGGATTGACCAAATATTTTAAGAGGTCTATACATCTTAAACCCTGCAATATCACTTTATTATGTATTAAAATTTAATACAGAAATTTCACAAAACAAATTAAAGATTATACAAATTACAGACGCTTTTTGTCACAGATAAGGAATTATTTAATTTTATTTATACAGTACTATACATAAGAACAGCTTATAAACAATTAGACAGATCATGCATAAATAAACTATCAACAGTTTAAAATTATAATATTCCCAGGGCCGTCACATCCCACATAGCACCGAATATTTATTTGATATCAAATAGCTATCAAATTTTTGATATTTGAATATCAAATTGATATTCGCGAACATTCATTTGATATCAAATAAACGTTCAATTTAGGTTCAAACGTCACTCAATTTTACGTCAAATGAATATTCAATTTGAATATCTAATAAATGTAAAATTTGACATTCATAAATTTATTGGTAAAATATGATAAAGAGAATATGATTGAATTTACATTCACATTTTAAATATGATAGTGATAAATATTGATATAACATTTTTGACATTCGAATATTAAATTGATATTCGCGAACATTCATTTGATATCAAATAAATGGTCAATTTAGGTTCAACCTCGCTTAATTTGACATTAAATAAATATTAAATTGAATATAAAATAAATGTCTTATAAATTTATTGGTAAAATATGTTTATAAGAATGAGGTTGCATTTTTTCACATTTCAAATTTTATGGTGATTAAAACAATAGCAGTTCAGACCACTGTTCTTACCTTGATTTCACTTATTATTCTGAAGTTATAGGTAGTTTGTTAGAGTTCTTGGGTTACCCAAAAATGTAAATATAGATATAAGTTATATATATATATTTCTTATTTGACAAAGCATTTTAAATTGACCATTCTTTCATCTCTGTTATCAAAAATATCCTTAAATGTTAATTTGGTTGGATTCAAAGTGTATTTAAAAATATGCTATTTTGACAAGAGGAGTAAATTTTCAATAATCCAATTAATAAAAATATCACAAAACATATTGGTTTAAAACAAAATTGCATTCAAGGAAAACATTTTATAGAAAAAATGTTGTTTGTATGATCAAATAAGTTTAATTAAAAATTATTTAAATACAAATATAAAAAGATATGTACAATTTACAAAAAAATTAATTCTGGTCTTCTTCATCTCCCAAATGGCTTTCTTGATTTTTCTCTTGTTCCTGTAAAAGAGGTTCAACAGAGTTATTTTCTAAGACAGCTATAGATAAAATATAATATGTTAGACAAGGGGTCTCCAACCTTTTTTTCCTCGGTGAGCACTTTTTCGTCTAAAAACGCCACCGATTTAGCGACTAACGTTAACTGTTCGTTACTCTATCGAATCACAACATCATCTACTATCGATGCGATTGTAGTTGTTGTTTGTCACAGATGCTGTTAGAGGCTTATTGTGATACCGACGAAATGAGAGCATTCTATTATAAAATTAAACTGTCATAACCTAACATAATTAACCAAACTTACTGATAATGAAAAAATGGAATTAAGGTGTACTACGGACGAAATGAGAGCATTCTATTATAAAATTAAACTGTCATAAGCTAACTTAACTTGCTGATAATATAAAAAATATACAAGATAAAAATCGAATGAAGATTAGATTTAACAAGAGCTTAGGTTTGCTGCTATGGAGAAGGTAAAAAGTTTTTTTGAGCATACGTCAATAGTATAGGATAAAGTAAATAAGTTTGCCAAATTTTATCAAAATCTATCCATAAACAAGTAAACTACATCAGTTTCCATTTTTTAATAATCTAAAATATAGTTCTGTTCATAAAATAAAATTATAAATGCCTCTAATTCTAACGAAAGATGTGCAGTTAAGAAGTAATCGCATTCTAAGCTAAATCTTTGACAAAAAGTGCAATGATTTTTAGTGAGAATAGGCTATATAATTTGACACTTAAAATGTCAGCTAGTTTAAGATTTCAATTTGTAGTTCTGCCAATTAGGATCAATTTAAAATATATATATTTAAATTAATCTGCCGCTACTTGACTACTGCTAATATTCCCCTAGGCCTATTGAGAAAAATTTAGCAAGTGAGAGACATTTAATATGTTCCTATTTAAATACGTTAGCCTGCCAACTTGGAGACAGGGAATTGTACACAAATTTTGTTGAATGGGGAAAAGACAGTTAATTGCTCTTAATTATGGTATGAGCCGCGAGGTAAATAAATATCCCATGGCTGAGCCTGCATTCATTGACAACGTTCTCTTTTTACACCTCAAGGAAATCACGGTCAACAATGACGGGTGTTGCTGGGATTGCAAAAGACAATCGTGGCACCGTCGAGACTGCAGTATAATATGCTCATGAGTCTTGGCGAGATCACGGGAGATGATCACGGTATAGCTGAGACCACATGACCACACGTGTATACGCAATCGTGGGAGAATATCATTGGTGTTTGCTATAAAAAATAATAATTTTCAAAAACGTATGCTGGCTTTCTGCTGGCTGGAATAAAACTGCACGAGGGCCGGATGTAGCCCGCAGGCTGTAGGTTGGAGACCCCTTGGTTAGACACTTTAAAGACCTATTTTTTTACTATAACTGTACCTTATAATTAAATTTATCGATAAGGCATTGAGTTCTTGACAATAAAGAAAAAAGAGATGGATACAACCGCAAATTAACCCTCCGAGTGTCCCTAGTTTTGGCCTTAATGTTTGCCTATTTTTTGCGCATTTGCAAGGTTTTATTAAAACGGATCTGAGAAACTTAAAAACAATGTTAATTATACTGTTCTGTATACCATTTTGTTTGGAAAATCATGGGCTTCAATATTATACATAAAACATGAGGAACATTTGTTTCAAAAAAATTTTAGGTAAAAAAAAAATAAATTTGCGCTCAATGAAATTGTATAAATTATAGGCCTATAAATATTTGAAAATAGCCGCTTTGTTCTAAATTTTATGAGGATTACAAATATATAATAATATAAGGAAGTAGATTTGCAAATAAATAGGTTATGGGCAAAAAACAGATTTCAGTAGGCCTACATAGCGTTTAGCTAAGAATGCATAGCCCTACCATAGCTAGGAATCTGGCTGATAATTTACATCAATATCACTACCTACTTCTTCAGGATCATCAACCAGCCCTTCAAAATCACTTAAATCTTATTATAATGCACCACGTATATCACTACTTTTGATTTTTAACACTAAAACAATGATAAACGTAATAAAACACATCAGTCATCGGTGCGAGGTTAACCAAGCTGTTTACAAATACGCACGTCAGCTGTCTGCTACAATTATGATCGGCTCGAGAAAAAAAGCGCTTAGAGACAGACCTCGGGAGAAAGCTTAGAATCTACCAAATAAAACGATACCTAACTCGATCCAGTTCAATCCGATTTTGTCAGTCGTAGAGCCTTCGCCGTAAACAGTGTTTGTGAGTCGAAATTTCGACACAAAACACTACACAAAGTGAGTTATGTGTGGAAATTTCGACAAATAACACTCGGAGGGTTAAGTTTTGCTCATTTGCATAGCCTGTCACTGAAAATTCACAATTGTAAAAGAAAACATCACAGTAGTTAGATGTAGGCCTACTCTGTTAATTATAATAAAATTTAAGTTCTATATTAGGTACATTAATTAGATAAGCAATCTTTTCTTTAACCTAAATTATAAATAGTCTAACACAATAAATTTACCTTGCATCAATCCTAAACTTTGCTGGGCGAAGCCAATTCTTGATTATAGTAGCAACAACATATTTTCCATTACACCACGATCCTAGTGTTCTTGCGTACCGGTACTGCCTCTGTATAATAAGAGATTAGTATTAGCACTAGAATTTGTATACTTTCATTTTCCTGATCAGCACCCAGGATAGCCTACAACTAGGTACACATATTAAATTGTTAGTGAAATCAGTTTTATATTTTGATGGTCTTTGCTTCTTTTGAGTAGCCTTGTTAAAGCTAAATCTAAATCTGAAAATTGAAATTTTTTACCTAGGTAGTGGTAAAAGTAATCCTCAGTCACTTAAACGGACAAATATTGGGGTGAGCACTGACTGAAATGAGTGCAACGGTCGGATGTAGATTGGTGTGTGTATAGGCCTATGTGTGCGTTTAAAAAAATTCAACTAATACAGTTTTCTTTTACATAAGTTAGCACTGCCGGAATATTTATTTAGTGTAAGTTAAATCAGAGACTTCCTATATAAGTGGGTCACAAAAAAGAGAAACTCTCTTAACTGTGTGATGAACCTTAGGCTACGTTAATACCCAATAGGTTTACCTATCATGAATTAGGTTGTGTTTTGGCGGTAGGGCCTAACTTACCTACAGTTCCCAAGAGAACCTGCGATATATTATCGGACGGTATATATATCCGATTCGATATTAATATTGCAAAACCAGATCACCAAATCTGCAAATCATAACTCAATTTGATGTTTACATAGTGAAAAAACATAGGGAACGATGTATTGAATCGGATAATTATTGATATATAATGTTATTCATCCGATAATATATCGCAGGTTCTCTGCGGAACTGTACCCGTTATGGCAAAAAAGAAATACTTTGAGAAAACCTAATTGAAATATATGTAAGTCTACCTATTATTAATGTCTGATTGTAAATAAACAAAAAAAAAACTTACGCAAGATAGCTGGCCTCAGATGCAGATTGCAAAATAAAAATTTATTCCTCCTTCCCAGCCTACAGGCTGCTAGACAGCCACTTTGTCACTCGGGAGAATTGGTAGGTCAATTATTCACTGCTACCAAATAATAACTTCCACCAAAGCTGCAGAGTTATCAACTGAAACAATGGAGAGAAAACTACTTTTAGTTAAATTCATGCATACCTTTCTCTGGCCTAAATGTCTATTAAGATTAGTTAGGCCTAATCTTTGGTTGGTAAAGGAAGCAAACAACAACTAAAATACAAAAGACTTTAAGAGACAATACAGGGGTAGACTTTCCTTAACTGTTGTCAAAAACAACCGAATGAAAATATCGATCGTTATATATTCATTCAGTTGTTTTTGACAACAGATACGGAAGTGTACCCCAATTCAGTTTAAAATGAAAATGGATTTCAAATAGGCTAGGCTATTTCTTTTATAATACCGGTAATTGTAACCTGGTTGAGGTAGAATAAGTTAGGCCTAGGCTAGCCTAAATTAAGTTAACTTATTCTTGATGGTGAATTTACCTAAACAAGTTAGTGACTGACGTAAAATATAACCCACATAACTTAGTAATATTTCAAAATTAATAAATGGTATTCCATTTGCCTTGTAAACCAGTAAGTTAGTCCTACTTACTAGCCTATATTTTGAACACTATTTTCATCCGGAAGTTGCCCTAAGCTAAATAAACTACTGGTTCAGTAAGAACTAAGCAAGTCGCCTAACTTAGTAGCTTATGCCTAGGCCTAATTTGTATGCATAAAAATACTTCCTCTAAAACTGATTGTCTATTTTGAGGTTTCAGATTTATTTATTTATACTTAAGGCATTAGGAATGATAAGTTGGCCAATTTAATTTATACAGTAACTTAGGGCTAGGTAAGGCCAAGGCCTAAAATATTTCTACTTAAAAATGTTACTAGGTATAGTGACTTTTATACCTACATGCTCCAAAGGATCAAAACGTGAAAAGATGTTCGGTGTAGGTTATGCCAATACCCAGTCACAAAAATAACAACTCCTAACAGTGACACACACTAAACAAAAGATCAAAACACTTAATTTAACTGATTTGAGGTTATGTCTTGTTCTTGATGCTCTTGTTGCTTCCATAGTTTATTTTCACTACTTGTGTAGCCTACTCAACAAGTTAGTTGTCATAGGTAAATTTTACATAAATCGTGTACTTTCCCTCAAAATGGGCAATTTGTTGGTTAATAAATAAATCAACACAGTGAGTAAACTGGCCACCACTGGTCGCGCGACGGATTTTGTAATTTGTGTTCGTGTTGTAATGTTTTGTTTTGTTTGCTGAGCTGAGTTAGGTTAGAATTAAGTTGGTGCCTTTCATACGAATGGCCCAAGTCAAGCTCAAACCAGATACTTAACATATTTTTAGAGTTATATTACACTTTAAAAAAATTAAATTTACTTTTGGTTTAATTTACTAGTAAAAATAAAATGATAAGGCCAATCTTTAAGTTTGACTTTTTTATTAATAAACAAAACTTTTAAAAAAGCTGTGTTTCCTATTCACTATTCTTGAAATGTGTAGTAAGCCTACATTCAGAAAAATATCAGATGTTGCAACAACTCCCCCCCCCCCCCCGCGAAAAGTCAAAATCCATCATCAATTAATTAAAAATTACAGTGTTCAGTGTTCCTTCCTATTATTAATTATTTTGAGATAATTGACCTCCGACCTCCATGTTACAAACTGTAGGCTGGGGACTAATTCTTTACTCTAAAAAAATTTAAAAGTTAAATCTAAAAAATTTCAAAACTTTAATTTGGAAATTTTCAAAGAGAAAATCAAATTTTTAACATTTAGAATATTCATTTAATATTCTAAATTTGATGTTATTTGACTTTGATATTATGAAGATACAATAAATATTCAAAGTTTGACATTGTTTGACTTTGACATTTTGAACATTAAATGAATATCAAATAAATATCAAATTTTTGATTTGACATAGTTTGATATATTGAACGTTTATTTGATATCAAATAAATATTCTGTGCTATGTGGGATGGTGTATTGGCGACCTGGGTGGGTGGTTTACAGGCGCCCCCCTCCTCCCCAAACACAGAATGAGCCTCTGCAAGATCTTGCATCTTGTATAATCAATGACATTACCATCGTCTTCCGTGAACGTGACAAAATCCTAAATAACTACTGCGGTCACGGACACCATCTTTGTCTTACGCAATTGTGGCAAAGTCCTGAATATATCTCCCGCGGTAACGAAAATATAATCATCAACCTCCCCGATCGCGGCCAAATCTTTATCATTCCCCACAGTCTCAAAAACATTACCACCATCTACCTCAATCACAGAGCTGTTGTCTATTGGGGCAAAAGCTGCTCAGACACGTTTTGCGATAGTTACAAATGAACAAATAACATTGCGATCCTAAAAGCTCGGATCAAGCTCGATATTTGACGTGGTCCTTGATCCCTCCAGCTTGTAGGCTTGGCACTGAAATCGCTAGCACCCATCTACTGGTACAAATAAAAATTTTTTTCAAATATTTTACTACTAAAGCGCCACTTCTGAGACACCCACCTGCCTCAGGGGCGGTCGCCACTCTCGCCTCACCCATGCGATGGCCCTGAAAATTTGTTAAAACCCTTAGTTATATTGTTTGTGTCCGTTTTCACAATATAAATCTTACATTTGTAAACTAATTTTTAACAAATTTTGTTTAAATAATTTTAGCCATAAGCTTTTGTAGCGTGTCTTTACAAGAAAATTTAAAAACATTATTTAAAATTAAATTTATATTTTTTCTCTTACTTCGTCTTTCTCATAGCATGATTTGTGCAAGTGAAGTGATATTTCCGCTGGACTATTGACTAGTACAGCATGTGTTTGTTTGCCGAATTGTACATACCAAGCCTGATACTAACAAAGGCTTATTGTCTTTTTCCACTTTAAACAACTTTTACAATCCAACATGTCAAATCATTTTTATATTTGATAGTTTTGTCATTAACAATATCTTATTGTTTTAAGAGTGTGGCGAGACTTCAAAACTTACCTCTACATTGTAATGGTTTCAACGCTTCATTTTCTTCGGCCTTTTGGTTTTTGGAATAGATTTTCTGTAATTTTAACTTTAGTAGTTAGCGCTCATTTATTTGTTACACCATGTTTTACTTAAAAATGGTTTGTTTTTGAGTGAGATTAATGCATGTTTTTTCTTACCCTTTAACCCATTCCCTCTAAACTCTTGAAATATGTTTTGGGATAGAATGTACATTTTATTAAATGTGGGATTAATACATTAACACAATGGTGAGAAATTTTTAGGTGGTATATTTCAGTTTTCCGGGCTAAGGAAATGTTAGGTTTAGCTATTGATTCTAGGAAAACTCAAAATCTTCAGGCCATAAAGTTCTAAACTAGACAATTTTAATTTTGTTTTTTTAATTTATTTATTGCAGATAGTAGGCCTAGTGAATAATGAGTTTAAGAGTACAGAGAAAAGTCTAGGCATATAAATTATAATCAAGGGCCAAAACCAAACAATTCCATTGGCTAAAGCTTTATAGAGATGGAATTGTTCCAATATTGGAACTACGTTTTTTAACACTGTGTTTTTACTGCTTAACACTTATTACTGAGGGAGGAATCATTATGAGTTATGGTATACAACCTATCATATTATTGCTAATAATCTTAATTAGTACCATTATATTACTCAAGTTGGTAGATATAACAGGTTACTAAACTGAAAAAATCTAACCTGTTATAAGTAATTCTGCCATTTAAGAGATAACTGCAGGTACTTTCCACCTAATTAATAATCATGATCCTGGCAGCTTAAATCTTACAAATAAATCTCAAAAGGTTAATAAAAAATCCCTATCACTAGATTACCAATATTGGGGGTTAATACAAATGTTACTATTAAGATTTGGATACTTAAAAAAAAAAATGTTCCTATTGATTGTTTTGTTAAAACAGTTTTTTTTAACTGTTCAAAGATTCTTTGATTTTGCAACTACAAGCCTTTTCCTCATGGAGACACCTGCTAGTGGTAAGAAAAAATTAATAAATGTAAGCATAGGTCGATATGCACATAAAATTTAAGGTCTTTTTAAAGTAATACAATGCCGTAAATTTGTGTTTAAAATAACAAGTGAGTAAAAAATTGCAGCCCTTCTAGGATTCTAAAATTGCAAAACCAAGTAATTTTTTAACGACTGCTATTTTTGACTCGGTTGTTCGTTAGAGTTTGGGTTGGTGGCATTGTATTTTAGTTACAAAGAACTTTAAATTGATGTGCATATCAACCTATGCTTACATTTAAGATTTTCTTCTGACTCCTAGCGAGCGGTCCCTGAGGAGGTAGGTATCACTGAATAATGTTTTTAAATTATTTTAATACCCAGTAACGTTTTGCCAAGTTTTGTAGCTCTATCCGTATTATTTGAAATATTTAACTGTCCTGGTACTTTTTTCCACCCCTCATTAAACTGTTTTGTTTTTTAATACAAAATTTGCTACAGCTGGCCCATGTAGATTGGTTGTCTGCTTCACTAAACATTAAACAAAAGTCAATAGTTTTCCAATATTCAAGTTCACTTGCAATACTGAAATCGAAACGTAACAAATCCTCATCGTAGCTCCTAGGGATGGGTACTGAACTGTGGTTGAATGTGAATGTAGCATGTAGTTAGGTAGGGTTGACGTATGTTTGACTGTTAGTTACTACAGTGGTGACGCAATACTCTCATCCACAACGCCCGACAAGTCTACACCTGCCAGACGTGCCCACGGCTGCCGAGACCCTACTTCCCTGGCGTCGCGAGGGTAACTCTCTCTCTCTTCACCTTTCTTGCTCAATCACACGACTTGTGGTTCATCTTAAGTCTCTCACCTTCAAAAATTTCCTTTCTCAACTAAACTGACTTATATTGCTCTCAGAAAATTCAACAATATCTTGCCAGTACTTGAGAGTTGACTGAAATGGTATTTTGTTCTCGGGAGTAAAATTATTCAATAAAGGAACGAGTTATCATACGACGTTCTTTTGACCAATACAACTGTTGTTCCTCATTTGCATGCTGCTTCAAGTTTTTATCTCCACTTACTTAGCTGAGGCTTATACTTCACTCAAAGACTCAAGGTGTTGCAGCTAAAAAGAAGGGGTTACCGATCTCTTAAAACTAAAAATTAAATTCTGTAATAGAGTAATCTAATATGGGCAATTGTAAACCTTATATAATAGTATAGATAGCAAAAATCGCCTGATTGCTATGGTAACTGTTGTAGCCAAGTGATTGTTGCCATGGTCACAAATGCTATTGTTGATAATATAGTAATATCTCGTTATAAACCAATCAACAATCACAGAATGAGTATTTAGTACCAGTTTGGCAAGAGAGAGTATTCAAATTAGTTCGTGGATCAAACCGGAAAAAAATCTAATAGTGTTGATATTTCTTTATAAATTATATTAATTGATGCGTATAGCAACAAGGAAATGCCAGAATTCAGAAAGTGGGTAGATGGTAGTCATCTATTAAAAAGTTAAAAGAATGATGAAACAAATGATGATATACCAAAAGTTAAAAACTGGTTTTGAAACTTCATAATTTTGATATGTGAACAAAAAGGCTTGTTCAACAAAATGTGTGTTTCAACACTTTTATAAACACTAATTGCCTAACAAAGAGACTGTAACAATGGGTGTCATTTCCACAAGTCGTGTGATGATTTATTCGCCGTTTGCTGCATGAGAAAATGTAGTGAAGATGACTCATTCATCACTACAAATTCTCAACATTCAAACTCACGAATGCCTCATTCCAACACTAACACCACACAGAAAATCAACATCCAACTGTTTCAAAAAGTATGGCGACACATTCATGTTTAGAGTAGTTAATTCTTTGACCAGATTTCATGATTATAATAAAAAATTATTTGTTTTGCCCAAAGTTTTGCCAATGGTTGAGTACCGTCAAAAAAATAAATATAAAAAGGTTTCAATGTGATGTTTTAGTATGAATTTAATTAAGTGTTCATCAAAATAATAGCTTAACTGAAATAAATAATTCATTACAGTGTTACCTATTGCTAAATATTTAGTATATAACACTAAACAATATCAGGTTTAGACAGATTTTATTCCATATACAACCTCAAACTTTCCACAATATTTTCAACTTTTAAAATTATGATAAATAGCTCTATGTTTAAATTGTAACTTCACACATTCTTCTTGATTAAATATTTATCAAATACAGAGTAATTTTAGTTTTTTCCAAGTGCGTAGCGTAACTTAAAAAATAGTTTGAAAGAACAAAAGTGTAAACAGTTAATGACAATTTTAGATGAAACAGTGTATTTGAGTGAGATAGATACATTAATTTCCAGACTTTAACTCTGAAACACATTCTTACAACTCAACAAAAAATTAACATTAAATGAAATTTTCTTTCTAACCATGATTTTACTTTGGTCTATTCAAATTTTCTGTAAATGTTCACGATCATTGAGCCTAGTAATCTTTTCTTCTTTTGCCCCATCAAAGATAAAAAATACACAACAACAAAACCGTAGGATAAGTAAGGTGAATTCTTATCATGTAGCCTCATCTGTATGGATGTTGATTGTAGCATGTATAAATTAGAGTTTAGATTTATCTGGTTGATTCTTAGATGGTGCTACCTTAGCAATCAAGTTTTAGATAGTTATGGTCGAGGGTAGAATATAAATTTTTGCCTATTGATAATAAACAGAAATAATATATAGGGATGTGGTAATTTTTCAACAAATTATTTATTTTTGAAACCCTTCCAACCAAGTAGACTGTGTCTTAATATCAACGATTTAGTTTTAGAAACGTGATTTTGGGTTTTTTGTTGTTAAAACCTAAACAAAAATTCCATTAAGAATAAAAATTTGAAATATACTTGGCTGGAGTGTGCTTGAAACGTGAAATAGTTTAATAAAAGCAAATACCGTAACAATATTTCATATTCAGAATGTAAGTTGAATGAATTTGGTTTTATAAAATACAAAACGTCTCTCTTAACAGTATATAAACACTTAAAAATGCATCTTCAATGGTGTGATAAAGGTTCTTTGATGATCAAATCGATTAAAATAAAGAAAATTATGTTTAAGGAAAGGCTTGAACATAACATATTCTTGACTAACATTTTTGTTCTTAGAAAAAACAAAAAAAGCTTACCTTATACATTTATTCCACCGGTTATAGTATAAACACAATATCCACAAACCAAAAGGATTTTGCATGTAAACAAGTGTAAACAAAAGAGACGGGGGGGGGGGGGATAATAGCTATTTACGTTACAAGTGTAGTAAGAGTGCTTTTAATTCACCTAAGTGATGTAAACACGCTCTTGCGTAACAACAACGTAAAATATTTTGTCTGACCTGACAATATACAGGGGGTTACTGTACGTACAATATTTTTCATGGCCCCACAATATACAGGACGGGGTGTAAATAAGTTAATCTACAATATATAAACTGGTTTGTTTTTAAGTGAACTGTTTTTATTGATTACAATAAAATACAGGATATTTTTTTTACTTAAAAACACAAAATTTAAAACACAACATAAACCTTTCACTTATCTTCTAACAAGTTCCTTTAAAATACTTTGAAGCATAACAATAACATTCAAGGGCACAGCTGATTTCTAGCGTTGAACGTCATTGGCTCCATAGTGGTATATTTTATTAAGTTGAGCACCCAATGTTATTTGAATGGGTTTCATTACTTCATTGAGTGAGTTTTTGAAACTTTACTTCACCGAGTGAAGGAAAGAAGTTGTTTACATCACGCTTGGGATAGGGAAGTTTAACATTGTGGGTTAGGTAAAATGTTTTCTTTGATGGCTGTTTCCACATGCAATGTTGCCACCTTTAAGTTTCTCAACACTAAATATAGACATAATATATTTATATGCAAATGTATTATAACTAAGCCTGTCATGAATTCAGCTAGCTGCTCAGTGCTCAGGATAGGACGGATAAGTTAATCATAGTTCCTAGTTGAGGTTGGTGGGAATTCTTGGATTTGTTACAGAGAATGCCAGTTCCCATTTCCTTCACACAAAAGGGTTGCAATAAAGCCAATGGGGGGGGGGGGTCTTTTGGTAATGGTTTTCTCACTTGCGGTGAAGCAACTAGAAAGTTCCATGTTAATTGTTGGGATGAATGGCCACTAGTTTTTCATTTCCTGATTTAACATTTCATTGGTGGTCTTTTATCCTCTCCCTTAAAGTAATTTTTTATGCCTGTATTTTTGACATTTTAATTGTTGTACTAGATTTTTAGAATGACAGGTATAGTTTCCTTTAATTCTAGTATAAAAAAAGTATAATTTTAAATCACAAATTGTCTTCCTACTTCAGTGTAGATATTCAGTAAATTGGTCTAACATTGAATATCAAGCCACTCGTCTTTTCCTATACAGTATTAAGCACCTACACTCACACACAATAATGAGTAGTAACCAATATGATAAGAGTCAGTAGTTCATTTTAATGGTATAATAAAATATCTTTCTATAGCTTACAAATTTAATTAAAACAACTGATTATTGGGGTGTGACTCCTAAACGCTAGATCGTCACATAAGATATATAGATTTTTACATACTGTCTTCTTGGCTTATAAAGACCCTAAAACAAAATGGTAAAAATATCTTAAACCTATCTCTTTACCACAAAACTATGGTTTAGTAGCTACCGTACTTTTTTAGTTTTAGCTATTTTAATAATTAGTTCTGCTGTCCCTTAAGTAGTTTTGCTATATTTTATTCAACAAGTAACCATCATTATAATATATAAAACAGATTGTAAATCATGGGACACAACTTAACACATTCACTGCTAATGATATGTAATACTTTTATAAATGGCTAAAAAACATAAACATTAACATGATCATGTTAATTGAGTGACAATATATCTTTAATTAAAAAAATTTTATACTATAAATTGTGGATTAAAATATATATTAAATAAGTATAGATTATGTAATTATATACATCATGTATTATATATCTGCTAATATACTTATGACGCACTTGTGCGTCATTAGCAGTGAACGTGTTAATACTACTACTTTGAACTGTGTTACTGTGTAGATTAAACATGAATGTCATCATTTTAAATCTGTCAAACAACCTTTACAATAAACTAGATAACTTCTTAACATCTCATTCAAATTAAATTATAATATCTTGGATGATAATAAAAACTATATATGGTTATTCCACTTTCAAGAACATAGAATTATAGTCTATTAAACTGCCTTTTGTTTTGTTACCTGCGTTCCGATATAATCTGCTCAAGAACACACACAAAAAATTAATGTAATAATATAATACTTACTATACACTAAAATTGCCACCCTTTAAGTTTAAACTTACATTCAGATATGTATAAAACCTATAATTGGACCTAGGGGAAACAAAATTATAGCACTATAGTGTGCACCAGGACATTCTACAGTTTGGTTATCTGTGTCTCGAGCATTTGAAGAGTTGTTTCATCAATCATGACATCACAATAAAGCCTGAGATGGAGGGTTCAAATCCCGTTTCAACTTGCAGCTTTGTTGTGCAACTACTATGTAAGTTTTACTCACACCTTTGTCACATATTGTGAAGTCGCAACTATATGGTGGGCGGTTTTAAATCCTTTGTGAGTTTAGCTTTGTTTGTGGTCAGTTGAAAATGTTTTAGGAAATTAATGTTTTATTTAGATAAACTTTTTCGGACAAAGATGATAATGTCTATCAGCATTGTATACTGGGGAGTTGGGAAGTTATCACCAAGACCAGTTTTTGCTAGGTCAAGTGTGCGCCAAATGCTAGTTTTGCTTGCTTGGCTGGGCAAAGCTAAATAGCATGTCTAAGTGCTTGCTTCTTTATTGATTGCTTTTTGCTTTTTTAGCTTGGCATGGAAAGCTACGTTGGCATGAAAAACTAGCCCAGCGATGGTTTAATTGTACCTCGAGTAAGTAATCGACACCCTTAAACCTTTTGTCATTTCAGGTGCTAAACACCAACAGAATGGTGAAAACTAAAATTCATTTGTGTTTTGATTCATGTATCACCATGTCAGAGCTAAAAGTCTATATAACTGTTTTGAGAATCATTTGAACTGTTAGTTTCAAAGTTTAAAGATCAACATGCATACAGTGTATGCAATTGCTTGCGTAGAAGTGCTCGGGTTATACTTATTTAATAACCCACAGTAACTCGATTATTTCTGCGATCGTAGATATCCAAAATCTCTTAATCATAAAAAAACATATCTTTGCCACCTCGATCTCTTCACAATATCTCTTGAAATTTTAAGATTTCAATAATTTGCACATTAAGCAATGTCTTGTGATAAATAATTTAAAATACCTGATAATCTCCAAGGGAATAGCAAACAGTTTCTTAATGGATTGGCAATCAGAATCTCCATAACTAACAATTTAAAGGTAAACTAGCCCAAAAAGTTGGTAAACTAACAAGTTACCCGTGTTACTGTCAGAATTTTCTTTTACTTTTTTCTTTTTTTTACTTTTTTTTAGCTGTTTAATTGGTTAATTGGTTTAAATGGAGTGAGTGTTAAATTATTATGACACCGTATCCTGTCTTAATTAGTGTTAAAGGGTCCACACTCGCACATGCAGAATTTCCTGAGCCCCAAGCAGCTACCGGTACTCGGCGAATCACGACTAGTGTGAATACCGCTTATCATCTCATTATTGGGCGAATTTTAGTGCTTGTTGTTTCCCCCTATAGTATCTTCCTCACACCATAGCAATGAGCAAACTGCTCAAAAAGGGATAAATTTGTGGGCAACTCTGCTGGTTAATCCCCAAATACCTACATAGATATAGTCAGTGGTGTATGTAGCCATTCCCACTCTGCTTTTTCCAAAGAACCTATATATTGGTAATCGACCTGTATTTTTCTGTGAAAATGGTGAGCGTTCCATACTGGAAAGTTTACGACTACACCACTGGGTAGAGTTTGTCACTTGTACAATTTTCGGTGCACAATGAATTACTCCATGTGTGAACCTGCCTTAAGGTCAATCAGTATTTATTGGTAGGTTTTGTTAATATTTTGAGCCTACATCGTTTTACCATTAAAGATTTTTGAGGACAAGATATTTAAGCACTTTCATGTTCTAATCTGAAGATATTGCTCATTTTTTGGCTGTTTAAAACCTCTCTAGGTACAGCTACAGTGAATTGCTCTGACAGTAACACAGGCAATATTAACCTATATTTTGTGTTAAATTTCCTTCCCGTCCATGATGATTACTGTAGCAAGCTTTGGTGATTTATGGATTTTATCTGTTTTGGAATATCGCTGGGACTGAACTTTGTAGTGGGGAAATTTGAATTTCGGGGGGTTGAGAATTTGTTTGTTTGCATTATAGATGAGGGGGGAACTCAAGCAAGCACCCCGGGGCACAGGTCTTCCGAGGACAATGGTGAGTTAAGAAGGGTAGAACAAAATATTAGGTATAGAATTTCAACAAAACAAATGTAATTTAGAGAGTGGGTGTTTGGTCTATTGGAGCCCAAATTGTTTTCTTGAGTGATTAGATTTGATCATGCTATAATCATTATGTTTTTCTATGTACATAGTACATATATAGATCAACAGTACTAAATCGACCTAAGGACATATGATATGGTAAATATTTATTTGTCATTCTATTTACTGATGACAATCATTATTAAAACTGTAACTAACGAAAATGTTGTATAAATCTTAGTTCGCCCAAAAGAGCATCAAAAACTGGCGATCATTAATTTTAAATGTATCTGTTTTAGTCATCACGCCTAAATACAGTCACCCTATACAGCACCCTTTACGGTCAATTTGTCATTATTTATAACATTAATTATAAAACTTACACTATTACTATTTCAAATGAAACACCTTACCAGAATTCAGTACACATAATACTCATTGACTGTGAATCCAAAATAAAACAAACTGTTACTATACTAAAGACATTTAGTTGAACAACTACAGTTAATTGATATTCTACCACTTTTTAGATTTTAAGACTGTCGTACTGGTCTTGTTGTTGTCTTAAAATGCGCAAAACAATTTCATCGTCAGCTGTTTCTTCTACCTGTAACGCCAAGAGAAACCACTCTCGTCCTCCGTGTTTCAGTTTGGCAGGTTGCCTTCAAGGTGGTTTCTTTTCTCAAGCCCAAAATAATATAAGTTTAAAAGTTTCTGCATCTGGAGTTAACTTTTGAAAGATAGAAAATAAACAAAATTCGGTGTAAAAATTATCACATGTTTTTTGGCCAGTGTTTCTAACTCTCCATGCTCTTGATGTTTCCACACAGGACCAGTTAACCAGTTAACACAACTAGTGCGTGGAACAAGCAACATATTACCTATTAATCTTTCACTTCCGGAGACCAGCACTATACTTTGGGAATCGACTAAATACATGTAAAAGAGTGAAAATCAGCCGGGAGGCAAGCTTTAAAATAATTAGGTCTCGGGCAGTGACGTCATCAAAATGGCCGCTCAGCCAATAACAATAATGTCGCATATCTCGTAAACCGCGTAACCGATTTTGACGTATGACATCTTATTTGAAAGGTCTAATCATTATCTATAAAAAAGGTTATTACACCTTTAGCGGTTAAACCAACGGTTTCTTTGTATTTTAGAAAATATTAATTTTTTACGTTCCACAAAATTGATTTTTGCATTTATCATTTGGAAAAATTAAAATAATCAAAATTTACTTTCCACCGTTGCATCCAGCTTTAAAAGATGAACAATTTAGTATTTTGAATCATCACTCTATGTATATTGGTTACCGAGATATTGTAAGTAGTAAACACAGACTACTCTGTCCCCCATGTTATCCTTATGGGAAAAATAACATTCTATATCTCAGTTATTTTTTAACGTATCTTAATACAACTTGGAATGTGATTTCACCTAGTTGAGCTACTTGATAATTACTATAAAATATTTATATTTTATATTTACACGACAGCAAACCTACATACCCATTTCCCATGTTACTCGTATCGCTAATTTTTATGCATGATTATTAATGAACATATGTTGACAAAACTTGACGTTGAGCTTAATTTTAATTAATTATCGAAGCATTTGAAATTCACTGAGTATGCAGGTCTACTGCAACGGGGGTTTTAAAAATATTAGTAATTTTATTTTGGGAAATATTTTTTTCCTGGGTTGGTCAGACTGATAACCGACAAGATATCTGATAGCAATTTGTCGCAATTGTTGAATAAGAAACGTGATAAAATCCTTATTAACGTGTTGTTTTTGTTCTTTTGAGTTTACATTTTTCTAATAATTTTCATATAGGGTTTGACGTCTTTTGTGCTTTTTAAAACATAGTTATTGATCGTTTAGATTTTTAAAGTGGTTACCTGAAGAATATAATATTCATAGTAATTTTATTTTTGGGTAAAAATCTTTTGGGCTTTTCAAAACATAGTTATGAATTGTTTTTATGTGGCTACCCTACCTGAAGAATAGCGCATTTCAGGCTTTGGACTGTGGATTCCTCACTTAAACATATTATTACATATCATTAGAATGTTAATTATCTTTGTATTTAACCGAAGAATAGTATGAAATACGGCTTGGCGTCTATGTTATTTCCCTTTAAAAAATTAAAAAATTATAATACGTGAAGCCGTTTTTGTTAACACTACTACTCCCTTATTTGTGGCCCAATTTCAACGTTTGAGGTGTCAAAAGATTTGTCACAATTTCTAAGAAAAAACCCACGCCTTGATATTATATGCTTGGATGAGAATCTCCCCCAGACAAATTCCGAAAATAATTCAGACGGACGAACAAACTATTTCAAGACAAGATTAAGTTGCACTCCATTTGATATAAAATCCACCTGCAAAATACTAAAAACTTGCATACTCTGGGAATGTCAAATACTTCGATAATTAATTAAAATTACGCTTAACGTCAAGTTTTGACAGCATATGTTGTAATGAAGTGTTTAAGAAGGTCAAGGTTGGGTAATGTAATATGGGCTAAAACACCAAAGCACCGAGGAATGGTGCTCAGTGACCCGAGGGAAAAGTACTAGGAAAAGTGATTAGGGACAAGTGCCCAGTACTTTCGGCCGGGGGCGGATACTGGGTACTTACCCCCACTCTCCATGCATCTTACGGGTTACGAACCTATATAAGGAGCATTCTTGGGGGACTTGGACATGTTGGGCCTCCGGGCCCGACCCCGTCGGTAGGGGCCACCGGTGGGGTATGCATTAGAAGCATGTTGAGCCCCGGCACCCCGCACTAGAGGCGTGCTGAGCCCGGTACACCCCAGTACTAGAGGCGAGCTGAGCCCCGGCATCCGTTTTATTTCAGTTTAAGTCCCCGGTGGCCAAAAAAGCTGCCTCCCGGGACCATGGATCCGTCTGGAGGGGGATGAAGAGGCACACCTCCACTATTTAAGAAGAGAAAGAGTTGTCTGGGAGAGACGGCAGTCTGCATCTGCCAACGGAACGGGCAAAACCGACGGTAGCTGCTGCGATTGGGACAGTAACCCACTCAGCATTTTCCGAGACGGAGCCAGTTGGAGGACTGCAGGAGCCGTGTCGATAGGACTTCTGTGAGTCGCTACGACGGGACAGCGTCAGGAAGGAGAACCAACGTGGGGAACCCAGAACAGCAAAACAAGACAGAGGGGTCTCGAGCCGATCGACCAAGAGGTCAAGGGACCGCCTAATAGATTGTCTATGGGGTTTCGAAGTAGAAGTCATTTGTCCATAGTTTTTGTAAACAGATCTGAGAATAATAAATGTATCATAATTCTTACAAGTGTTCAGTAAATCTGAGTCCCGAAAACTCCCGAAAAGGTCTAAAGCTGTAAAGCAAGGAAAAGCTGAGAAAGTACAGTACAATTTTCATAAATAATCATGCATAAATATTCGCCTTATGAATAATATGGGAAATGAGTATGTAGGTTTGCTGCCATGTAAATGTAAAATATAAATATTTTATAGTCATTACCAAGTAGCTCAACTAGGTTAAACCACATACCAAGTAGTATTAAGATGCATTATAAAATAACTAAGATATAGAATGTTATTTTTCCCATAAGGATAACATGGGGAACAGAGTGTTCTGTGTTTACTACTTACAATATCTCGGTAACCAATATACATAGAGTGATGATTCAAAATACTGAATTGTTCATCTTTTAAAGCTGGATTCAACGGTGGAAAGTAAATTTTGATTATTTTAATTTTTCCAAATAATAAATGCAAAAATCAATTTTGTGGAACGTAAAAAATTAATATTTTCTAAAATACAAAGAAACCGTTGGTTTAACCGCTAAAGGTGTAATAACCTTTTTTATAGATAATGATTAGACCTTTCAAATAAGATGTCATACGTCAAAATCGGTTACGCGGTTTACGAGATATGCGACATTATTGTTATTGGCTGAGCGGCCATTTTGATGACGTCACTGCCCGAGACCTAATTATTTTAAAGTTTGCCTCCCGGCTGATTTTCACTCTTTTACATGTATTTAGTCGATTCCCAAAGTATGGTGCTGGTCTCCGGAAGTGAAAGATTTTTACACTTGTTCCACGCACTAAACCTTAAAATAGTGTTTTTAAACATAAAGGGGTTTTAAAACTTTAACTCAGTTACTCTATTGATACTGAAATAAGTTGAATGATGTTTCAGAAATGCAAATGGTATTAACTCAAACATATATTTAATAAAAAAAACAGATATCTATTAGGCTACCATTATTACATATTAGGGGTTCACAATAATACTATTAGGAGACTGTTCAAACTGGTTTTCATTGATGTAGTACTCATTTTGTAAACTTGTACCATTAAGTGTGTTTGATGTGTCGTAAAAGTGTTTGATATCGTAAATTACTAACAACGCATGGTCGTAATCATCCTCAGCTCTTCGCATGTGTTCTATTCTGTAACTTCTATACCTTCCCTGTCACCAAAAAACACTGTAATTCTTGTCATTCCAATTTGATGTGTAGAATTGTTTAACATTTAATGTGAAAATTGGTTACGGTATTTATTAGTTTCAAACAAACAACTTGTTGTTGGATTCTAGTTTGTTTACATTTTGTATAGTCTTTATAGTCCTGTTAATATGGCTTTTCAACCTTAAGTAATTATTGTGTTTAATGAATATTTTGAAATGACATTGTAGGATTATTGTTATCAGCTGAGTTATAAAGTTATGAATCATCTGCTATTTGGTTTGTTTACATGATTATTGTTTTTGTAAATAAATAGTTTTGATTGAGTTTACTTAAATGAGTTTTATAAATTAATTATTCTATATTGGCGACGAGAAAATGCCGAGGAAAACAGACCAGTCTCAGTATAAGAGTGTAATTGATTTTAGTAACATGTCTTGCATACAAGATAGAATGAGCAGATTTTCATTTAAAGAATATAATAGTGAACAATTGTGGGAAGACTACATAGCTCGTTTTGAGTTGACCTGCAGAGTTAAGGGACTGGGTGGTGCTGACTCAGAAGAACAAGCGGCTCGGCGAGATCTTCTATTGGCAAATATCGGAGAGGAGCACCTCAGGGCACTGTCGGACCAGATGTATCCAAGGGCCTGGGAGGAGTGCACCTACGACGAAGTCAAAGAGGAAGCCAACCGGTTGTTCAAGCCTACAAGGACCCTTTTTGCAACAAGGTTTGAGTTTGAAAGAGCTATAAGAAAAGATGGTGAGACATTTATTTTGTTTTATAACAGATTGAAGTCTTTAGCTAGAAGTTGTAAATATGGAGATAGCTTAGATGAACGAGTACGAGATAGGTTTGCAGTAGGAAGCAACTGTCCAGAATTTGAAGTCGAAGTCAGACAAAGATGGCCCGAGGGAGTTGATAACCGAGGTGAGCATGTTAAGTCAACAGTAGTACTAGAGTTAGCTCAATCTATGGAACGTGCGAGAGAAGAAGTTTCCAAACATGCGTGTAAAAATGAGATTTTCAAAGTAAGTGACAGTAAGGAAAAGAGGAAACCAGAGGTACAGAAATCTACTGGCTTCAATAGGTGTTATAGATGTGGGTTTACACATGACCCTAGTGAAGATAGATGTCCTGCTATTTCTGCTGTGTGCAAGAAATGTTCAAAGAGAGGCCACTTCGCAAGAATGTGCAACAGTAAAAATAATTTTGTCAAAAGAACAGATGGTAATTTGAGAAAAGTAGACGATTCTTGTAATCAAACTTATGATGATGAGTGTAGTTCTGATATTGATGTTAGTGGTACACAAATTAGGTCAGTCAAGAGTAAGGTTCCCAGAGCTACAATAGATGTAGAATTGAACGGGAATAATGTTAGAATGGAGTTTGATTCCGGGGCTCGGGTAAGTGCTATAAGTTTGTCTCTTTGGGATAGGATAAATTCGAGTGGCGAATCTCTCAAAAAGACGTCTGATGTCATCACTGGCTATGGGAAAAATAAGCTAGAAGTCATGGGTAAGGCTTTTGTGGACGTTACTTTACGTAATCGTACTAAGCGATTGCCGGTCATTGTATTACTAGAAGATGATGTTCCATTATTTGGGTTGCCGTGGAGTGTAGCTTTCAATCTTAATTTACCTAGAGAAGTAATGGTTAGGCGGATTGACAATGGAAAGACAAGTAGTAAAGAGGCAGGTAAGAACGAAGAAAGTTATAGAAAAGAGTTACAAAAAGAAGTAGAGGCATTAACTCAGGAGTTTTCCGAACTCTTTCGTGATGAGCTAGGAACGATATCTGACTCTAATGAAGTCATCCATCTAAAAAGTGGAACAAAACCTGTATCTTACGGGGCACGACGAGTTCCATTCCCCTTAAGGGAGGCAGTGGAGCGAGAATTACAGAGATTAGTACAGGAAGGAGTTTTGGAACCAGTGGACCCTTCCGAAACACCGATAGAATGGAGTACCCCAACTGTCAACGTAGACAAGGGTGGAGGTAGAGTAAGAATCTGTGGCGATTTTCGTACAACCTTGAATCCAAACATCGTCCCGGAAAGACACCTCTTGCCAACCTTTGATGACTTGACTTCCAAATTAACTGATGGAAAGATATTTTCAGTCATAGATCTTCGAGACGCGTACTTGCAAATGAAAGTACACCCCGAGTCACAAAAGTATCTGACAATAGCAACTCATGTAGGTTACTTTCGCTACAAAAGGTTGCCCTTTGGACTTTCCTCGAGTCCGGCAAAATTTCAAAGGTATATGGAAAGTTTACTAAAAGGACTTAATGTCGGAGTTCTACTTGATGACATAATCATTTCTAGTAAGGATAAGACTACCCATATAACCACTCTTAGAGAAGTTTTGAGGCGGCTAGAATCAAGTGGAATAAGAGCAAAACTATCAAAATGTAAGTTCTTTCAGAAATCTGTAAAGTATTTAGGTCATACAATAGATGGGAATGGTATTCATCCCTCCGAAGACAAAGTTGAAACCATAAGACACGCACCAAGGCCAAGAAACGTGAAAGAATTACGAGCTTTTCTAGGAGCACTAAATTTTTACGAAAGGTACATACCTAATCTTCATGCGATCGCTTCGAACTTGCATAAGCTGACTGGTACGAAGACTAAATGGAAATGGACTGACACCGAACAGACGACGTTCGACAAGTTGAAGAATATCCTGTCATTAGAGAAGACATTAGTTCCATACGACATATCAAAGCCGATCATTATTGAATGTGATGCTTGTGAACAAGGGGTTGGTGCAGTGCTGTTACATTTGATGCCGGATGGAACGGAAAGGCCAGTCATGTACGCCTCGAGGACACTAACGGAAGCAGAAAAAAGGTATGCTACAGTTGACAAGGAAGCGATGGCGTTAGTTTTCGCAGTGAAGAAGTTTAGACAATACCTCAGTGGGAGACATTTCAAGGTGAGGACGGACCACAAGCCACTTGAAAGAATATTCGGAATGCATCGCGATCTTACCAAAGTAGTAAACAACCGCTTGGTTCGTTGGGCTTTGTATTTAATGGAGTATGATTTTGAGATCCAGTACATCAAAGGACAGGATAATTGTTTGGCTGATTTTTTGTCTAGATTTTCACTCAAGACACAAGAAGTATTGGATCCAGATGAGAGAGAGATTCGAGCATTGGTTCAAGAGAAAATCGACGTCATTTATCCAAATCATGAACTTGTACTGGAGTATAAGAAAGACCCAAATATGAAGAAACTTATAGACTACCTGGAACATGGTTGGCCAAAAGATACAGGAAACTTACCACCATCCATGAAACCATATTGGAATAAGAGAGAAGAGCTGACATTAGAAAACGGTATAATCATGCGATTAGGAAGAATAGTGGTGCCACAGATTTTGAGAGAAAATGTATTAAAAGAACTCCACAAAGGACATCCTGGAATAGAGGCCATGAGATCCCTATCAAGGTATTATGTATGGTGGCCTAATCTGAATAAGGATGTCGAGGCTTATGTCCGTAGATGCCACCCTTGCCAGAGTAACCGATCATTTGACACAGAAGTACCTCTATATCCTTGGAATGTGCCAAGTGATCCTTGGGAGCGAATTCATCTCGACTTCGCAGGACCATTCGACAACCGATTCTGGTTAGTAGGAATCGATGCTTACTCAAAATGGGTTGAGATCGAAGTTATGGACCGTACGACAACTGCTGCTCTTGTAAATAGATTAAGGACTTGGTTTTCGAGATACGGCATTCCTAAAAAAATTGTATCCGATAATGGCACCCCCTTCACGTCCCATGAGTTTAAGACTTTTTGTAAGAACAATAACATATGTCATGTCACATCGGCACCGTATCATCCAAAAACCAATGGTTTAGTAGAGAGGATCATCAGAACCTTCAAGAGTAGATACAGTGCTTGCAAACAAGAAGGTCTCAGTTCATCACTTGCACTTTTACAAGTGTTGCTTGCGTATCGAAACACCCCACAAAAGACCACAGGACAACCACCATCAGTCCTTTTCTACGGTAGAAGATTACCAACAGCTTTGGATAGGTGGAGGTGTAATAGCAGAGATAGAATAGAAAATCAAGTGTGGCGACAGAAGTACTACCACGACTTAAAATCTAAACAAAAGGAGTTTTCTGCCAAACAAGAAGTGTGGGTTCAAAATGAAACGAAGAAGGGCTGGAGACCAGGAACTGTACAAGAAAGGACGGGGGAGCTGTCGTACACAGTTGTAGTTGGGGGAGATGTAAAGAGAAAACACGCTGACCAGCTGAGAGCAAGAGAAGGTGCAACTGATCCACCTCAATGGAAAATGCAAACGGAACCTGAAGATGAACACAGTTTCGGAAATTCAGCCTAAATTGGGTGGGGAGAAATGTAGGATTATTGTTATCAGCTGAGTTATAAAGTTATGAATCATCTGCTATTTGGTTTGTTTACATGATTATTGTTTTTGTAAATAAATAGTTTTGATTGAGTTTACTTAAATGAGTTTTATAAATTAATTATTCTATAGACATGTTATTGTTGTCTTATAATATTGTTTAATCATACAGTATTTTTTGGCAAAATTATATTCAAAATAGTTAAGCCAAATTACCTGACATACTAAAACTAAGTGTATCCGTTTAATTTTAACATTCTTTTTTATTCAGTCAACATATACACCAATCAGGGGAGATTTTTTTTTAATCACTACCATAACTTAAAGACAGAATAATTATACAGTATACACATCTCATAAACAAAGTTCTCATTATAGAATTTCGATAATATCCATGTCAGTCAGACCAAAAAGACTATATAGTTTCAAGCAAAAAAATATGAATTTATAATAATTAAATTTAACACTAGTTCTAAAAATCAATTTCACATTCAGTCAATGCTCATTAAAATAGATTGTAGCTTTAGCTACCTTTCAACATTGAATGAGACTGTAAAAGTTTTAAAGTAACAGTTGGCTCATTTCATAATTTCATATATGCTATCAAAAGCAAATAAAAAGAGCTTGACAGTATGAATCGTTTGCTAAATTTTACTTTAAAATGTAAATTTTCATTTGAAATTGTTTGTAACATAATCATTAAATATCAAGGTATGAGAATATAAGTTTGATGTTTTTGAAGGATCCAGTAAGTTAGCAAAGCGCTCTCATGCAATATCTTTACTATCTGAAGTCTTACTATTGAAGTATTACTCTACATGCTAAATATTTTTCAACTACATTCTGTTTGACAGCTGCTGAGATAACTAGAGTGTCGACACCGACAGCACTGGAGACTCTGCTGCCTTGGAAGCGGACTGACGACAGCGACAGTTCGACAGCGCTCAAACAGAGTGAGTTCCCTCCGTGGTGTTCCAACAAAGAGTATGTCTCCTATAACTCTCCTTCGGCCACATTCCTAGGTAAGCACTCCTATGTAAAACTTTCTTTTTCAAATCTTGTCTCGGACATCTAACAGTGTTTTATTATGTGCAAGATTATAGTACTCGCCTGACAATCTAAAGTTTGCCTGTTTGAGAAAAGTCAGTAGTATTTTGTGGTTCTAAACGGGGCCCAGCTGTTATTCTTGATCATTTTGGGCCTAGCTGATCTTAGTCAGTAACAAAAGCTTTACTATTGTCTAGCCTCATTCTAAAATGATCTTGCATTCAAATTCAGCAAAAAATACTCAAGCTATGTGACGCTACTGCCTTAAAAGTAATTATGATGATAATGATTGGTTGGACAACCAAGTATAAAAACAGGTGAGACTGGCCTAGTAGTCTGCCTGCAACTTCTATATTTCAGGCCTGAGATGTAATTCAGACAATCACTATAATGGCTTTTAGTTACATCATATGCCACAGTCAAAGCTGTGGCTATAGTGGTAGTAATTATTGAGAGCAAAACGCTATGACCATTTATCTAGAAAAAAAGGAAAGATCTCTTCAGCATCGAGTTGTTTACACTCCACTATTATTCTAGACGTTTTCCTTATGCAACAATCCTAATCACACAACACAATAATTGTCGGTACCATCAATTTTCTATCACGTTGTTATAGGGCTACTATACGACTAGTCATTGCAAAGGAATGGAAATAAATGGAACTGTAGAGGGAAAACTAAAGAAATCGCCACAGGTGTCAAATTTGAAATAGCTTGCTTAGATTTTTTTTTGTGTTATCCCAGTTCCAAGAACTTGAATTATATAATTGATCTTTTACCTTGCTGGACACCTTAAAGACAGTCCTCGTATATCGGTATGTTTACTGTCACACAGACTGTTGTTACGGTTATATCATTTGTTGGTTCTCTCAGGTGGCATAGAGCAGCCAGGAGTCGCCTCTGTTATTGGACTGTTCCGGAGAGACAGTGAGCCTAACTCTCCCAAGTCCTCATCTCCAACAGTGCTGCTCATAGAAGAGGCAACATCTCTACTCAGCCCCAGGTCCAAGGGGCACAATAAGATGGTTTGTAGATTAAACTTGCTAACTTTTTTTTCACAAAAAGCTTTAAAAATCCTTATGTCTAAAGGAAAAAGCTTTCTTGAGCTAGAATGATGATAATGGTGTTGTTGTATTATGGTGGTCTGGTTAAAGATGTTCATCTTATGTTTGTTTTGAAATATTTTTTAGCTATATATCCTTGAAATAGTTGCTAAAATTATCTGTTCATGGTTAATAACTATTTGTATTAATACCATAATATCAAAGATTTCTCCAGTTTCTGGCATGATTATATCAATTAAGATTGTATTTGAACACTATTGCAACATCTAATAAATCTATATATATAAAAGGCAAAGCCCTCACTGACTGACTGACTCACTCATCACTAATTCTCCCACTTCCCACTTACCTAGAAGGCTGAAATTTGGTACACTGATTCTTTAGGCATTAAATAGGAAAAGTAAGTGGTTTTTATTCTGATCGGACTCTCGGGCTCCGCCCCAGTGGCTCTGGAGTTTCCCATGTTAACCTAATGAGTACTCATATTTAAAAGGAATTAATGAATCTTAACAGCTGTTTCAATTAAACAAGTTGGTTCTGTTCTATGATGTTAAATAGCATTAAAGTTACAAGGATTACCAACAGAGTGCAGCACTATTTTTTTTTTATATTTTACAACGGCTAATTTTAAACCAAAAGTGAGTGAGCGTAGCGAACAAACTTCAATCCGGAGGCGAGTTAGCGTAGCGAACGAGCTAACCTGAAGGCAAGTGAGCGCAGCGAACGAGCTCCTACCGTAAAGGTGAGTGAGCGTAGCAAACGAACTTCAACCAGGACGTGTGAGCGCAGCGAACGAGCTCCAACCTAAAGGTGAGTGAGCGTAGCGAACGAACTTCAACCAGGACGTGATTGAGCCATGCGAACGAGCTCACATATGAAGTTAAACGGGGCAAAGCCCGCGGGTACAGCTAGTGTAAAATATGTACGAGCTGCCAGTATATACTATAAAACACAATTTTAGTTAACCCCTTTGAACCTAAGGTTTGATTGGTCTAACCGAGTCTGTTGCTGTTTTGCATATCTTTTGAACAAGAACAGTTGGTGAGTCAGTAGCTCAATCGGTAGTGTTACAAGCTAAAGATAAAGGTGGCAATGTGTAGGTTTGTGTTCGGGTGCCTTCACTAAATTATATCAGTACAGTTCACTCTTATGCTCTACTAGTTCACCCTCTTGTTATGCTAGATACTTTCCACCAAGGCTCCACTAGAAAAACAGGCCATGCTGCAGCGTAACACTACCTCACAGTGGTGGATAGTTGTACTAAAGTTGCCAGACGTAAACAGCCAGCTTATTTACCAAAAACATATGGGATAAGGCAGTGAACCTTTCCACAAATGTGATTGATCCTGCAGCAAGGCCTGTTTTTCTAGTGGGGCACAAACTGGCAGCGCGGTAGAATGTTGAACTGACATGTGCGGTTACTTACTCATAACAGTGTAAACATATTTGTTATGTCTAATACATTGTAAAAGATTTTCTTATGTCTCAGGCGGCAGCACGGCGTGGTTCCCTCTTGGAGTTGGGCTCCAGCCACGAGGAAGCTCTGTTAACAGTCACAACGTCATCTCACGACCGCACAGACCGTTGGACGTTACCGAGGCGACGACAGTCGTCACTCACCCCCTCCCAGCCTCACCCACTCACCCTGTCACCCTCTGTGGAGAGTCTAGAGAGCTCAGACGCAATTATCAGCGAGGACGACGCTCGTGAATAACATTACGAGTCGGTCAGGGTTACTGATCTTTAACCTCTGACCTTACGTTGTGTCAGTCAAGCCCTGCTCTCTTGTAGTAATAAGTACATAGACTTTTATTGGTTTCCGTGAATCACGTAATCAGATGCCTATTATAGGAGACTACCCTTTGTTTGGACACCTAAGAACCTGATTTCTCGTCTGATCACTTAAAGTCCAAACAGTTAGAAGTGAATAAGAAAATGAACAGATGAATCCTAAAATCATATGCTTAGTGTAAATGTCGTGAACTAAGGTGTTATACCAAGAAAGGAATATGCAAAGGTTATAGGTACTCAGTATTCTGAATCAAACGAATCCAAACAAGAGGGATTACCATAAATTAATTTGTGATGATTTCTAATACGATACTTTGGAGACCTGTGGTCTTAAAAATATGTTTTATGCATCGAATAATGGCCTCACTTTTATTGAATGCAGTCTTAAGTGTTTTTTTACGCAATTAGGATAGTAATGGAAGAGTATTTTTATCAGATTTTGAATAGTGGACACAGCCCAGGATGGTCTTAGATATTTCATATTATGATTGGTAACTAATGGTATTGTTATGTAATAATGAATAAAGCCGGGTTAAGGTTTAAATGCAATCTATAATCATAACATTTTGACTAGCTTCTTGAAACATACATTATTTTTTATAATTGTTCCCAATTAACTATGATTTACTCTTAAGATTTCCCACCTTGAAAAGGTAACTTTTCATGCTTATTACCTATTGTTGCTGCCTTTATTTTAATTCATACCGGTCTAAATGTATTGAATCTCTTCTTACTATATCCAATAAAACACGTGGTTATTTTCAAAGACATCTAGTTAAAATAAAAAAACAAACAAAAAAAAACTGTAGACTAAATATTTTTTACTTCTGATTTACATATATCCTTACTAAAGGTAGTAGGCTATTAATTTGATTTAGGTTTGCTAATTTTTGTATAATCTGCATACATTTTAAGTAGCCATATTTTGTTTTGATAAATAACATGTAACTGATAAAACAAATATTTTAAAAAATATACCAAAGATAACTAAAACCGTTGGTGAAATTTAAGAATAAAGCTTTCACAGCTAGCCTCAAACTTAAAATTATTTTAAAGAAAAAAGGACAACTCATGCACACTAAACACATGTTTTAACTATTTATAAAACTCAGAATTAAAGAATATTAATATACTTCAGGTATCTTATTTCTCAATACTAGAATGTATTTGTTTTTAGCTTATTATTGCAAAAATTGTGATTTGCACTGTGAATTTTACTTACATAATTCTTTTGGGAAATCCTATTTATTTAATAGATTAGTCACAGTTTTTAAGATGTATAATTACATACCACAAACAATCTGATAGAGTAGAAGTTTCGCTTTCCCTTAGCTTGAAATCAGCTGATATCTGTTACTTGCTGGGCTACAAATCAGCTGTTATAACCCCTACAGAGCAGGGCTTGATTATACACTTCTCGTAACGTAGTCTGAAGCTGCCTTTTAGTCGTCAGTCACAGTTGCGCTTGTCCCGTTTAGTCCCGACAATATAAATATTGTTAAGTTTTTGTAAATACTCCTTAAGTCTAGTTTAATAACGTAGGATTCTCTGTATTTATGTATGTACTGTACAGTTAACGAGGATGGGTGGAAGCGTTAGGCTTTGGGTGTTTGGTGAATGACTTGTATATTCAAGCAGGGGTTCATATACATGTAAGTCCTTAGGGATTGTAGTTTCGAATTTTGCACAGAGTGGTTAAATATTTTTGAATGTGTGAGAAAATTGTTTCAGGGCCAACAGATTGTAAACATTGTAACATTTTTGAGAGGTTTTTGAATTACTGAAAATAGACACAATGGAATGTATCGAAAGTTAAAGATTATTAAATGATGAATGACTTGGAAAGAACTAGATGGAAGCTGGCTAAAGATTACCAACTGGTTTTTTTCATCCATGGTATTTTTTTTACACAAGTCCAATGCAGTTGGGGCCTAGTTTAAAATCTGGAATCACAAAATCGATTCTAGTTTTTATGTGTGCAAACCCTATTACTAACTTATTTAAATGTTTTTCTTTTTTTTTCTTTAGGTAATTTAATTTAATTTTTCATTTAGTTATTTCCGAGGTATATCCAATTTTAAGAAAGGAAAGTGAGTAGTGAATTTATTGTGCATTAAAAGATAATGACTGTGAGAATATTAGAAGAACTTCCAAGAATTTGATTGCACGGTATTTGTATTTTTTGTTTTCAAACCCTGAAATATTTATTCTTCAATTCATCGGTACGGTACATAGTTTTGAAACACATTCCCAGACAGCACACTTTCTCCTCAGGACATCCCACGGATATTGCGACAGGATATGCAAGATATCCCATAGTGGTCCTATGGTCAACCCGGGATATCCCAGGATATCCACAGGAATGCGTAATGTCCCCGCCCGGGGATGTCCTACGGATAAGCTCACAGCATATCCGTGGGACATCCGAGGTCATCCCAGGGTAGTCCTCAGGACATTCTCAGGACATATGGGACTACTATGGGATGTCCCTGGGATAAAGTGTGGTCTGGGCCTGAACATAAAAAACACAAAATAATATAGATTTAGTATGAAAATTTAATTATAAGTTTAGTAAATTGATTAAATAGTTAATATACACAAATTTTGAAGAAAAAAACGAGAAAAAAAGTTTTTGGCCCAGACGGGTCTCGAACCCGGTACCTTCCCCTTATGTGCCTCTTACCTTACCTCCTGAGCTATCTGCGCTTGATGATTATGGGTGTTTTCAAGTGGTGAAAGAGTAGCCGACAGTTGCAATGGTCGCAATACTTAAAATATTTTTGATACTACAGTATATAATATGATTCTGTTAATCTGTTTAGGCCTCAAGTAGTTGAATTGTTTTTCTGGTTGTTGGAGAGGATCCTGGTATTTGAATATAGATTATTTAATTACCATTAGATTAGCACTGTTATAATTGATTGTTATATGATTAAAATTAGTTTTTGTTTGTTTTTTTTAATTTAAAGTTAGAATTAAATTCACATCTCACACAACTATGATAGAACTCTAGTTTTCCTGAATTCAGCGGTGGTAATATGTCAGTAAAGTTAAGTCAGCCCTTGCTAGCCATAGTATTAACAAGACATATTTTCAATCTGGGAAACCTTAAACTTTTAAAACAAATTATAAAACCTCAACATCTTAATGCGTGGGAATCTTATTTTTGAAAAAAAAAACAGACCAAAATTATTTGTTAAATAATGAAGACGGTCCAATTATAAATTCGGAATTACTGATAATAATTACATCAAGAACAACACTTTAATATATGCAAAATTCAAAAGATTAATTTTTCTAATATTATTTTTTATTTTTCCAATATCCTTTAAATCATCCGTTTTAAGTTGGTTTAAAATTAATTTATTAAGTAAATATTTACTTTTTGTACTAGTGTAAATACAGCCTGAAGATGGAAACCAAGTTTCTGAAAGCGCTAGTGAAAAAAAAAATTATTATATATTGGCCTTGTTGAACATTTAAATTTAGGTATACATTTCATCAGTGGTAGTATTTTTTTTCTTCAGTTTGTTACCGGGACATTACGTTCAGACATTACGGGACATTACAGGATATCCAGTGGATTTTGTAAATGTCCCGGGATGTCATGGGACATTCTGGGATATCCTATGGCATTCGTACATATCCCGGGACTTTACAGGATATCCTGAGGTTAACTTACAAATCCCGGGACATTACGGTATATTGTAGGATATCCTGTGGATTTCGTACTTGTCCCGGGATTTTGCGGGATATCCTGAGGATAGCGTACATATCCCGAGTCATTCTCAGGACATAGGGGACTACTATGGGATGTCCCTGGGATAAAGTGTGCTGTCTGGGTTGAAGGCATGTTCACATCCTTAATCTTTGTTTCAGTCCTCTTTGCTGAGATAATTTGATGATGTAAGTACCAAACAATGTTCAATACAATTGAAATGTATGATACTAACCATAACCCATGAGAAATTGTCTATAAAGGTCATTCACCAGTCTCCCGATGTCCTACAGGGTAAACAAACAATGAAAAATGTTGTAAAAACAACACAGAGTGCCTCGGATGGACTTTTGTTGATAGATTTTTTTGTAATATAAGTGCTACTTTAATAAAAGAGACAATATTCAAAAACCAAAATGACAATGGGCTGAAAATGGATTTTGGTTTTTGAACTGGTGTACATCTGTGTATTATTATTGTGTATAAGGAAAACGGTGTGATTGTTCTGCAGTTTTGCTGTCAGATTTTGAAGTATTCCTCTCATAACAAAATACTTCAACATCAGTTTGTAATCTCTAGAATTGTTTGAACACATTTTGACCTGTAAAATTGATAGGTAGTGGTGGTTGATGGGTAACTGTGTATTGCAAAAACATCACACGGTCCTGTAAAATTTGGGTTTTAGCAAAAAAGGCACACTGTTAATTTTTTGATTGAAGAGTGCATTTTTTCATTGGGGGAATCCGTTCCAGAGTATTTTACACCTTTAAAATGGTGGTTTTTGTTAGGTTTATTGTTATCATTAATTTAAAACAACAGATATTTTCTATCAGTGATAAAAATGCCGGGAAATATTAAAAAAACATAAACATTCGTTAAAGAATAAAACAATTTTGTCCGTGAATAAGTCGAGAAGTTAATTAACAATGCTCTAACTATTAACTAATAGTCCAGGCGCTAAACGGGTTGAGTATGCACTGAAAGTCTGACAAAATTTGACTTTTGATTATTGTTGGGGACATCTAGTAGATGAAAAAAATCGATGATGTCGCATTTCTAGGGTGGTCACAACTCGGGGGGGAGGGGGGGAAGTTGCGCGGGTCATCGGTTTACGTTTCCGCGTCTAACTCACAAACGGTGAATGATAGAAAGGTGAATTAAGCGTCTATCTACGCCTAAACATATTGTCTTTTAAAAAGGTTATTACAACCTTTCTTCTATCTCTTATACTTTAGGCGCTAATCAACATTTATTGCAAAAAATAAAATTTAAAAATACTTAAAAATGAAATATCGGAAATATTGCGCTTGTTTAGGGCATGTTACAAACTATTTATGGTTAGAAAAACTAACAAGTAGTACAACAACACCAAGTTTAAAGAAATCCGTGCAAAAACAACAGAGCTACGTTGATTTCAGTGAGTAAACGTGGAAAATTCGTAGTAGTACCGAGGCGCGCATGAACGGTACGTAGCCCAGAGTCGATATAGGTTTGATGTTGTAAGTAACTATGGGAAAGCTGAATTTTTCTATGCTGTTAGACCATGTTCAGATGAGCATTTTCCCAAAAGTCCCCACTCCTACCCCTTTGTGCTTTCCTCTACCCCCCCCCCCCTTTTAGATAAATTTACAGTCTCTTAGAAATTAAACTATAACTTTAAAACAAGTAAGGATAATAACGCAATATTTTATTAATCATTTTGCGTTACGATATTCTACAACAAGTGTTTACCATGGTATCCTAAATATTCATAGTAAAAAAATATCATAAACATAAAAAAATATTTTTTACGGATTAATTTATGAAACTTTTCTTTGTAGATTTTTTACACGAGGTCGCACAACAAAATGTTTGATACAAAATTTGGGGTGCATAGTTTACATTTGAAAATGATACATAGTTATTAACAGTTTGTTTGCATATAGTAGCTATAGATAGTACAGTATATTGATTTTACAGGATTCAGGCTTTTTTGTGTACCGCAACAATGAAAAAAATTACGTATATTATGGTTTTTGTATTTGAATTTGCCGCTTTATATAGATTATATTAACGTTATGTAGCTCATTCAGTACATATACAGACTGTAGTGGATACATGAATGAATATCGTGCATTTGCTGCTGTACGCCAGAGCCTCATTTTATTATACAGGGTGTCTCACCTAAAGTGAACCAATAGATAACTTTTTTATTATGAGATATAGAGTTAACTTCTTATGGGACACTACCCTTTATTTTAAGATGTTTTTTTTAGTGGTTTCGAATTTTAAAAATATGTTCGCCATTTTCCAATATGGCTGACAACTTTGTTAGTCCTATGGAATACCCTGTATTTTATGATTGTTTGAGAATGTAAACGCACAACTTTTAAACCTTTTTATTCTTGACATTTTTCTCTAAAGCTACTTGTTTAGGAGTTACATCGAAAAAGAAATGGTTTGTGAGTACATCCTGCATCCTCACAGCTCATAAACGTAAGTTTAAGAGCGGAAATACAAAGAATAAACAATTTTTCAAATCACATCTACATTTAAAAAAAACCATAAAATAAATTGTTCCAATATCAAAGTAAGCTAGCATTTTTGAAAATGGTGGCCATTTTTAAAACAACAAAATCAGTATTTTTTTACGTATTTTATATATTTTGTTTTACGAGAACTTATATGTGACTTATTTATTCTTTGCACTTTCTCTCTCAACTTACTCGTTTATGAGCTACAGGATGCCGAATGTACACCACAAGCCTTTCTTTTAGATATAACACGCTGTAACTCCTAAATGGGGTAGGTTTAGAGAAAAAATGTCACGAATAAGAAAATAGCTTTTAAATTGTAAAAGAATACTAAAATACAGCGTATTCCATAAGAAATAACAAAGTTGTTGGCCATTTTGGAAAATTGTGGATATATATTTTTTATTCGTAACCATCCCTAAAAACATTTTTTACAATTAAAAGGGGTCGTCTAATAAAAAGTTAACTCTATATGGAAAATAAAATTTGTGTATGTTCACTATGTAATCTCAACCGGGATGAAACGTGTACCCTTTTATAGCAGAATCTCCAATTTTAAAAAAAAGATACGTCAATTTTGGTCTAACAAGTTATATTTAAATGAATGAGTTTTTTTGAATTTTTAAATGGCAAAGATTGGCGGGCACTTGGAAATTTTCTTAAAGAGGCGTGGAGTAAAGGGTGGGAATCGATAATGGAGTATAATTATTAAATTTAAGAATTGAGATATCGATACAAAAATTGGAAAAATCTATGTAATTTAAAAAATTTATAAAATATTGTTTGTTAAGTATCTATAAAAGTAAATTATAAAAGTAACAGGTTTGTTTTATGAATTATTAACTGTTTGTAGGAAAAATTCAGATTCTCAGTAGGCTACATTTAAATTTTATTATTCATTCAATTGTTATCTGATCTTTATTAGTATGTAGTGCTATTTGTGTATGTTCTGTAGTGGAAATCAGTTTATTTTATGAATAATTGTATGTGATTCATGGTATTTTTTTTAAACGGTTTTAAAATATTTTAAAATCAGTGTGTCTAACACAAAACAGACGGTCTTTGACCATTGTTCTTTGCATTTAAATAAAAAACACTGTATTGATATTTTATTACAATGAACACATCTTCTTCTTCTTCATCATCTATCTTCTTCATCATTTATTCATCTAATAATTCTTTTCGTAGATTATCGTAACGCAAAATGATTAATAAAATATTGCATTATTATCCTTACCCGTTTTAAAGTTATAGCTTAATTGCTAAGAGGCTGTAAATTTATCTAAAAAGGGGGGTTAGAGGAAAGCACAAGGGGGGAGGAGTGTTGACTTTCGGGAAAATGATAATCGCAACATGGTCTAACAGCATAGAAAAATTCAGCTTTCCCATACTTACTTACAACATCAAACCTATATCGACTGTGGGCTACGTACCGTCCATGCGCGCCTCGGTACTACTACGAATTTTCCACGTTTACTCTTACTGAAATCAACGTAGCTCTGTTGTTTTTGCACGGATTTCTTTAAACTTGGTGTTGTTGTACTACTTGTTAGTTTTTCTAACCATAAATAGTTTGTAACATGCCCTAAACAAGCGCAATATTTCCGATATTTCATTTTTAAGTATTTTTAAATTTTATTTTTTGCAATAAATGTTGATTAGCGCCTAAAGTATAAGAGATAGAAGAAAGGTTGTAATAACCTTTTTAAAAGACAATATATTTAGGCGTAGATAGACGCTTAATTCACCTTTCTATCATTAACCGTTTGTGAGTTAGACGCGGAAACGTAAACCGATGACCCGCGCAACTTCCCCCCCTCCCCCCCGAGTTGTGACCACCCTAGAAATGCGACATCATCGATTTTTTTCATCTACTAGATGTCCCCAACAATAATCAAAAGTCAAATTTTGTCAGACTTTCAGTGCATACTCAACCCGTTTAGCGCCTGGACTATAAAACAGTTTTAGAACTGGTTCAATTGCTGTGACTTTTTTTCAAAATAAGCTGTTTTGAGATGAATGTATATTGTTGCAAGTCAAGGTATTTGCTATCTATCATATGGACAAGTTGAGGGGGTTGAGAGAATCCATTTTTTAACCTGGTTCGATAGTACCCATAGATTATACCTCTTGACCAAGTTAATTCTAATTTAATGTGATATATTTTTGGTGAAGTTTTTCTAGAGAAAATCTTTTCAGCAAAACTGACAGGACTCATCTTAGAGATGAAGAGACAACTAGTTAACGCTAGAAAATAGTTTGTGCCTACAAAAAATGTGACTGGAAACTATTCTGAATATAGAAAGGTGCTATAGTGAAGTATTGGTTGGAACTATTGTATCATTGAAGGCAACCCGTAGAATATTTTGATGGCGTCAATTAGCACAATTTATTTTTAGTGATTTTGGACATACCGCTGCTGGCCTCAGTAAGAAATTTAACGTATATTTTGTAATTTTTAATGTCATTAAAAATGTTTGAAATTGTATTGATATGTTTTTGAATAGTTTACAATTAAGAGTACCAGTAAGAGTCCTTTAGGATCAAAATATTGTTTAGCTTTTTTGGCATTATAAATACAGTTTTCTCTTTTACATTGAAAACTTATTTGGAAATAGCAAGTAAGTATAATTTGTTTATATGAAATGGATAGATATTAATATATTTTTCCACCCTGTACATTGTAAATAACATGAGCGCTCACTAAATGATAGGAGATTTATAAGTTTTATAACAATTATATTATTACACGGCAAGAAATTCAAGGAATAATGTATGATGTGCTTCACTTCAACCTCTAAATGAGTAAGGTAATACTTCTTTGTAATATTTATATTGTTTAAGGTACAAAAAATCCTTCATGATCTCAAAAGACATTGAATGTTATAATATTTATTTCATTTAAATTATAATGACTATAATTAGATAAGTGTTGGTTACTATTTTCAGTAGGCCTATTGAATAGTTAATGGTACTAGTTATATTTATTAACAGCAACAATAAATATTTTTTAAATTTTGACACGTCTCCTTTAGTGAAAAACCATTATCTATTTCATTGAGATAAAGTTTCAAAATATTTAAATGTAATGCATATTATTTTATATTTAAATTTAATTTAAAAATTCATTGTCTATCAATTAACTGATAGCAATTTTTGAATCAAATTTATGTTTTCAAACTAAAACTGTTCATTTGAAGGGCTCTATGTGTGTGTTACATGGTCGAAACAACGATTCATATTTAAACGTAGAAATATTACTTAGTTACCGCATTGATTTAAGTTTTAGATTCCTTTAACCATATGGAACATACACTATTGCTTGTACTCATAACTATGGCTCATCGAAAACAAAACCTTATTATAATCGACATTTTCATTTGTATATTCATGTTGTTCATGATTCATTGTATAGTTTTAGATCTTAAAAGTACAATGCTTATAAGAAAAACACTTTCTAAGTTTTGTCACAATATTTTGGTAGATAATGCTTAAATATTGGTAGTTGCTCTTTTTCTGGGATAATTGATTCCATAGGATGACTTATTGTTTTTATATGACCTACTCCATTAAGAACCATGCAGTTGATGGAGGTTGTATAGTTTAGCAGTTTCAAGTTATAATATGCTGAGGTATAGTCCACTCACATGTGAGTAATACATTCCTAGCATTGTGTGCTCTAGCCACTAGACTAACTAGGGGTAAGTTTTATTTTTAGACAAAGATTTTGGATACAATAAGAGATGATTTTAAAACAAAAGTGTAAAAAGTGAATCAGGACTGAAAGATGTTTGTTACATTCAGTAGTTTGTTATCTAAGACCTCATTAAAGTCTTTGTTTCATTTTGTGTGCCTTTTTCAACCTTCAATTAAGCCATCAGTAGTTGATGGACATTCATTGTTCAAGAAGGACTAATTTCCCTCAAAACAAAGTTTTGGGTTTCCAACAAATTTCTTTTGCTAGCTATATATCGCAGTACCAGTTTTTGAGTACTCGTTCTCACGGAACCGAAGTTCCTACGTTATCAATAAAGTCTTTAAAGGTTTGTGTTAAAAGTGTCACACTCGGTAATGTATCAGTAGAGCCACTCAAACTCGACACTTGTATGAGTTTCTATTCCGAATATCAAAGTGTGAGCAATATTACGAATCAGGAACTCTGCTGTTGGCTTAAATGAAATAATGTATTTTATTTCCCAATTGCTTAGTACAATTCATGGTATACATAATTATTATACAATACTTAACATAAAAAAAAAAATAATTACAAAGTATACTATATATCTGAAAAAACTTAACTTAGATCTTTCTCCACTGGAGTTCAGAAATGCTCTTGCATTAAGATATGGGAAAACTCCTATACACTTCCCCTCTTCATGTGATGGCTGTGGCAAAAACTGCAATATGGACATGCCCTTAACTGTCGCACAGGTGGTTTGATAATAAGAAGACATAATGAGGTAAGGGATACCCTTGGAAGCTTGATGGAGCTAGCATGGGGAAACTGTGTTCGAGAACCAATGATCTCTGAGCAAGGGTCATTTGATACTGCAGCACTATAGTCCTCGCCACCCTAAGTTGAGGCAGCCAAAGGCCGCACTAGATATACGCCGTGCGGCCTTGGGCTGCCTCAACTTAGGGTGGCGAGGACTATAAAAGCAGACTTGGCTTGTAGGGGTGTATGGGAGGTTCAGACGGAAGCATTATTCGATGTACAAGTCGTTGACACTGATGCTCCGTTGTACTTGAACCTCCCATACGAAAAAGTGTTGGAGAATGCAGAAAGAGAGAAGAAGAGGAAATATTTAACAATAACAGAAACCAGAAATGCATCTTTTACCCCTCTAGTCACGTCTGTGGACGGAATGCTGGGCAAAGAGTTTCAGGTTTCAGACCTTGCTCAGAGCAATGGCAGAATGCCTAACAGAAAAATGGAAGAAACCTTACAGTTTAGTGATGAACTGGATAAGGGTAAAAACCATCTGTGCGACGTTAAGGGCCAGCAGCATGTGTCTAAGGAGGACAAGGAAGAAGTTGAGGACTCTTAGAGAGTTTGAAGATGGGGCTGGAGTACCAGTTATTTATTAATTTAAATAGCAAATGTTTTATTATTTTTCCATGTCAAAATTGATTATAAAGTGTTTGCTATATATCTAAATGGCACAAAGAGGCTGAGATAGCTAGAACAGGTAGAGCGGCTACAGAGGGTAGGCGAAGTAGGCCTGACCCTACCCAAAATTGTTGTAGATATTTCTAAATTATTTTCCATATTAAAAGACTTTTGCAAAACTTAGTAAAGATATAGCCTGACCATATTACTAGACTGAATTGTCTGTGTATGCTATGAGAGGAATATGTATGTATGCCAAATCTCATGCTTCTAGGTGCTATGGTTTGGCCTGTACGTTGATCAGAATTTTGCATTTATATATAGAGATTAGCCCCATGTTAAACCTCCATAAGAAAAGTTGAATTTGCATTTTTGACCCAATTAACATAAATATTCTACAATTGAACCTGCACATATAGGACTGATAACCTTTCTTTTGGTACAACCCGCGTGTAAATCGGTCTAGTAGTATGGTCAGGGTTGCTGTCATAAGCTTAAAAATTTGGTCCCATATTAAATCTCAAAGAAAAGTTTAGTTTCCTTTTTAACCCAATTGAAATAAATATTTGCATAATGCAATTTTAATCTTGGAAAGCTGGAATATGGGAAACGTGTCTGTGCCATCAATATGACGTAGAGTGAAAATTTAAAAACGTAAGTTTTCATGTCCCTGGCCTTTTACTTCGTAGATACTATAGATTTGTAGTTTATTATCATGTGTTTTTATATTTTTTTGGGATGGGGGCAACATGTTACACACATTTATTTAGTTTTAAATAGGTTCTAGGTATTTTTTTTCGTATTTTTTAAGTCTCGAAATTCACGACCATGACGTGTCCCTAGGGTACATTTTCCAACTTTCACGCTGTTTTTAGACTAATTACTCATGCCAAAATATATAAAGCCATATTTTTATGTCATTAATGGTTATTAAACTTACAAAAAAGGAGCATATTATAATTTTATTGTCATTGCAAACTGACTACCATGACAAAATAAGTCTGTCCCTCAATTTGGCGTCACGACCATTTGGGAAAAATTTTCAACTTTGGAGCACGACAGTGGCAAGCCTGGTGTCGATGGAGTCAGTTGGTTTTTAGAGACTACGGGGTGTACTTCAGGATTGTAGTTCCGGTCGTTTCGAGTTGAAAGGAGGAATTACAAGATTAATAAAGGAAAGATTGTGTTTTTTGTAATTTTTGTGTGTCCATGACCGTACGTAGTCATTCGATGAAGTAGACATGGTGTTAATTTTTGTTTATAAGATATTTCAATTGCTAGATTAACCTAGAAGTCCACTTTGTATCCTCGAACATGAGGTGCAGGGCTACCGCCAGAACAGAGCCAAATTAACACGTAATTTCACGACCAAAGTTTCACGACCATCGCGGGGTTTTCACGACCAATCCAGCCTTATGGATTATAGTGTGTTTGGTCGTGACAATAACTGTAATATAATTGTAAATTGAACAGTTTAGTTCAATTGAAACACATATTTTTATCATAACTAACAGTATACTTGAAGGTTTGTTTAGAAAGATTTAGATTATTTCAGACAATTCACGACCGTACCGCTTGTCCCTGACCATCACGTTTATGATTTCTATCATACAAATTTCAAAAATTAAAACATCGTCATATTTCAATGTTTTATACACAACAGAAGCACACCTATATACAAACATAACGATTTTTCGGGTCTCAGGTAAGTTTTTTCGGAGTTATACAAACTTAAAAAGATTTTATTGGCTTTTTTTCAATTTTTTGAGTTTTTTTATTATTTTTCTAGAAAGACCATACCTAAAGCTCAGTGACCTTTTTATTGTATAATGGTCATAAAAGTAAATTAGTTTATAGCAAAACATAGTTATAAAAATAATATTAACTATTTTTAATATTCATTTAAACGTCCGTTATGGTCGTGACAGGATTTTGTGTTTTTCCACTAAAGATGCTCTTTAAAAAAAAAAAAAAAAAAACTACCAAAGATATTGTGTTACCATGGACATTTTATGAAACTTCAAATATTAATGAAATAAAAAAACTAATAAAAGTTTTGAAAAAAAGGGAAAAAATTTTGCAAAGTGCTTTTTCTGAAAACGTACGTTTTTAAATTTTCACTCCGTAACGGATCGTCCCGGTCCCGGATAAACCTTGCAAGAACTGGACCTGCTGTACCACGGCCACCTTTTACTCCAGCCGCGGCCTTCGAAGTGGTAACATTGCAAGTAGTGTAAATTGCAAGAGCTGTTTTGTTTGAATGGTATTTGTGTATTTCTTTTTAAATAGAGGTCGTCCAGTGGTCGAAAACTCGACCAAAAATATGGAATGCAGGCTATAGACTACTCTATTTTCACCTCACGCTGTAAATAAAACATGTGATTGCGCCTTCAACAATGGGCATATCCAGCGATTTGTTCAAATCACGATTACTAGAAAGATACCGGTATGGATAAAAAAACATAAAGAAATAACGTTTTTGGCCCGAAAATAAACATTATTTAACATTTCTTAAATTGAGCTACCAAAACATACTATGCTGTTAGTATAGGATTCGGGCCAACAACTATTGTCATTTGTTTATGTTTATGATCCATACCGGTATTTTTCTAGTAATCATGGTTCAAATCCTGTGACTATTTTTCGGGGTCTCGGTAAAATTCATGATGTTTTCCTGCCATCGTGGCAACGGCTATCATCATTTCTTTAGTTAAAGGTGGCCGTGAATGGTGTTCCCTCAAGAGAAGAGACTTACGTCACGCGATGAGAGCCAGGCAGCCAATAGAATTGTGCGTCCCGTGAGCCTTGCGTAAACTGGACCCCAGCAGACAGTGCAGTGCAAGTGCAAACGCAAACGCCGACGCCAACACCAAACGAAAACAAACAGAGAGGTTAGGAATAGGATCGTTTTGTGTTGTGAGTGTCTACATACCACAGAATGACTGTTTACAAATCAATAATTAATCGACAAAATAATACTCTTTATACCAATTAGGCTTACTAACATTTGTATTTTTACGTTCCAACGTAGTGTCAATATCATCGTCGCTCGTAGTGTTGTAGTAGGGGTTTTCCACGTATTTAGACTTCTACTTGCCGCCACTAAGTACTTAGCCTACATTGAGCAAATTTAAGCCGATGTTTTCAATTGTTTAATAAATATGGAGTGTGACGAAGATGGGGTTTTCAGATTAGAAGGTAGCCAGAACGAAAAAGGCGGTTTAATCATTAAGAAAAAGCCTGTGGCAGGAGCTAATTTTCAATTTAAAGTTCCTAAGCCATCTCTTTTAGGACTGGACAAGTTAGCAGGTAAGTTAACTTTTAGTTCAGGGCTACTTAGATATAAAATAGACTAGGCCTACATTTAATGCAGGGTTTGCACCCGATTTTTGAAATTATTTTTCATTTTAGGCCTACTCTAAATAGCCTACAACGCTGATTCTGAAAATGACGTAGCCTACTTTTTCCGCGGATAAAGATCATAATCCCAAAAAACGACGGTAATGTTGTTTCCTTTAGTCCCTACTGCAGGAGATATTTAGGAATTTGCCACGATCACAGACAGGACACCTAACCACAATAGGCTAAAGTTTCCTTGATTGTTGGGGACAACGATGATGTCTTTGTAAGTTGGGAATATGTTTCCCTAATATTTTAGCACGATTGGAAATTGATTGATGATTTTTAGCGTGAACAAGGAATTTGTCTAGAATTTCCATGACCAAGGAAGATGATGATAATGTTCCTGTGACCATGTTGTAGGCTATACGTAGGCCTACAATATTTTACCACGATTGTGGAGTAAGACTATAAGATGTTTCTGTTATCATGTAAAACAAGTAATTACGGCGATAAACAGGATATTTGTCATGATTGTGTGAGAAGGTAAGGATCTCCACACGACCATGACAAATAGACATTACCTATATTACAGCTATATTGTCACTGATAAGGCGAGGCAAGGTCAAATTAAGCGAGTTTGAGTCAGACTGGCGGAGGTCGGATTAGTGGAGATGGTTCTACTGTACGACCCCCTCTTAACCGACCTCGTATTAACCGATAATAATACAGTGTGTTTTAACCGACCTTGCTTTGAGGGCAGTTCGGTTTAACTGCCGCTTTCTAGGAATCTTGGCATTTCCGCTCCCACGCTGGGCAATGAGAACTGAACAATAACGCACTTACACTGGGATATGATGTAATTTTTATATCTACTTACAGTATTTTTAACGCTGAATCCAAAAATGCAATCAGTTTTTGTCGGAGAGATTCCTAAGTGGCCGTAAAACAAAGAGTGGTTAGAGTTACGAATCTAAGGATAATTGAGCGGTACTGAAGGTAATGGTAATATGGCGTGGTCTGGACGGGTCCGTACTGAGTGAGGAGTGAGGACTGAGTGAGAAGAGCAAACAACTGTTTACTTGATCTAATGCGGAATGAAATCAAATCAATTCGTTTTGAAACCAAATAATCAGTTCTTATTTAGGCATGTGAGGAAGGTAGGTCGGGTTTTATGCGGATTCGTGACAGTATTAAGTGTTTTGAAGTGAGGTTAGATTAGGTCAGGTAAAAGTTAGATTAGGCTATAATGAACCGACTCATTAATTTATGCAACTTCCAGACTGTTTTCGCACAATTGATATAGTGGGTGAAACACAATGAAATAACAATATATCAAAAATGCTTGAAGTTGCATAAATTAATGAGTCGGTTCATTATAACCTAACCTTTAACTTACCTAATCTAACCTCACTTCAAAAGACTTAATACAGTCACGAATCCGCATAAAGTCTGACCTATCTTCCTCACATGCCTTTTCTGACATAAAATGTGATTTAAAAATTAATATTAAGGTTGGGTTGGGTTAGGTTACCTACCTTAGTTTAAAATATAATACATAACTTAATTTTTTTACTACAGTAACTTATGCAGAAAATATTTTAACTTAACCTACCTTGCTTAATACTTTGGCCTATACAGCTTTGCTGCAGCCTTATGAAACCGCGTGGACTCGTTTGTTGTTAGGGTTCCGTTTCTTGAACTGAAACTCCGCCAGGTACCCGACGAAATGCTCGGACCTCACCCCGTATTTAGGGATGTGGTCTCGAACGTCTCTCCAACACCGCTCAATTCGGTTTGTATGGGCACCCGTGACGGGATCAATGAAGTCAGTACTATGGTTCACAGTTAAATGTTGGAAGCCAGATCACATAAGAAGCATGCAGGATGATAGAGGTTTCAAAGTGAAATTGAAAGAATTTTTGATACAGAGGGCACTTTATTCATTTGATGACTTTTTTAAGTTTAGAACAGATAATAGATCTTAAAATTCAGACCAACCATTACAACCTGGAGTAGTGTGATCAATACTGTCCTACTAATAATTTTGATTGTAGCCTACCTATTCATGTAATTATTTTTATGTTAATTGTTTGACACTATTCATGTAAACATGTATATACAAATATGAATAAAGATCTTTTGATTTGATTTGAAGCCGTACTCCCGCAATCTGCTGTAGGCTATGACTTCCAACAGTCAGTGATTATGGTACTGCCAGGCAAAACCCAGCGGCGGATTAGTCAAATTAGGGTGCGCCTTGAGCAGTCAGGAATGGGGATTAAAGATGTTTTTGTCGAGCCTACCTCGGTTGTATTTACGTTTACCAAATTTTGCCTCGTCTATTTCAAAATCTCACCTGGCCCGCCTAGTCTTTCAGAATTTGTTACACAATCGTCAATGTACACTTCTCTTATAAACGAATACCAATCTACAACAGTTTTACTTGACAGATTTAGATTTGTTTCCAGGAATTTTTGCCAGGGTGGGTAAAAAAAAGATAATGATTGACTAATCGCCAAAGCGTACGAATTTGTAATCTGGATTTGCCGAAAAAAGTGTCTACTCTGCAAGATCGCACCCACTCACACCTTTTAGCTTTCTTCTTGTTAATTGAAACTCTGTTCCAGCATCTGAAAAACCACTGATCGTTCAACTTTATGTTTGAATTACACCTCGGACAATTTGTTTCGTAACCCCGTGCTTAATTAAAAAACTTTTAATTTCATTATCATCGAACACAACCGTTTCATAAAAATTTAGGTCACACGCATTGCAAATATCAGCCATTACTAATTTCTAAATCGGCAACAATAATTTTTAAACTTACTTGATAATTAATAAGTTGCTATTGCAGATGATGTTATTAATCTGGATCTATTTTCTGGGCGCATTTTAGCGTAATAATCAGTGACAGTATCAATTTGGCATTGGTGATGCGGTCGTGTTATTGTATAGGGTAAAAAATCCTTGCATTTTAGGAGAATAAATTACATTTATTGATTAATTACGCATATTGTCTCAGTTTGTCATCATCGTTCTAGAGCGTAAAGCACATTTGATTTGTTATCTGTACGGCAAATTTATAACATCGTAAAGTGCGTTACGATTTTGAGAACTCATTATCTTATCGCTGGAGTAAACAAACAAGCAACTTGTAGGTAGGTCAGGGAAGGGGGGTTAACAACTCCAAGGTCAAGGTAGTTTTTGTGCCTTTAGGGAGAGGCTACAAATAAACATCCTGTCTTGTAACAAAATGTTTGCTTGTATCTTTAATTTCGATAAAAGGTTCTGTACTGTATTACGATGGATTTGGAAAGCATAAATTAATACATTAGGCCTAGAGTACTAAAGTTATTAGAATAGGAATTTTTATTGACTCTTGCTCTTGACTCTTTGATGACTTTATACATAGAAAAGTTGCTGGTGAAATCAGGGGACAAAACACTTCATTGAGACAGAGTATAGGAAGTGAAGAAAAACTGTGTACGGTACATGAGTGGTGTACTGGTATATTCCACTGAAAGAAGGCCTATTTGACTTAACCGTGTTTTGTTTTTATTTGTGACTTTTCTATCAATACGAAAAAGGAGATAAGTTTTCGTTTGATAAATAATGCAAGCATGACTTAAAATACCTAATGATTATATAATTCCAAATGAATAGCACTTCATTATGTTATGATTTTAGGGATTGCCCGTTTTAACCGACCTTTTGAGTTATCCGACCTAGGCCCGATCCATTAGGGTGGGTTAAGAGGAGGTCTAGGCCTACTGTATTGAATTTCCTCATAAATTGAACTCTAGTAATGCATATTGTTAATTTTTATTCTATTACAGCACAAAGAAGGAAAGAACGTGAAGACTCAGTTGAAAAAGAAACTAAAAAGTCCAAATTACTGTCTTACACTGATGAGGATGACGGTGTAAGTGTAGAAGAAAGTCCTCGCAAGGCAGAAAAGAAAGACAAAAAGAGGGACAAAGACAGGTGAGTTTTCCTAAAATAGGCCTATATATAATGCTGTGAAAAAGAGCCAGGGCCTCTTATTACTCTTAATTAGGCTTCAGTTCACCAACTAGTACTCCCCACCAGGGCCGAACTTACCTAGGGGCGGACGGGGCGAGCGCCCGGGGCCCCCGGGCCTAGGGGGGCCCCGAAAGGGGCCCCTTGCACAGAAGTTTTTATTAATATTTTCGAAAATTAATCATACACTTACAGAATGGCCTTTTTTTAACAGCTTTATTGTCGTTATCCTATATTTAAGGTTATTGTTAAGAGAATTTTAAGGTATTACTAAGACCAAAATTCTTTACTCTAAAGGACTTTTCCTCAAGGGTTGCACTGGGCCCCGCGCTTAGACCTAGTTACCACGAACATAGCTGTTAGGTTGTGACGGACCAGTTTGAGTTTCAATGACGCCGTTCACACAAACGTACGGCCGTGGCGATCGAGTTGAAGGGGCCCCTTCGCTTGGGGCAAAAAATACAATAAATAATATGAAAACTCTTGTCCTGACGTAGAACGTAACTTGTACAAGAACTTGTTGGGTTGAATGGAGATTCAATGGAGTTCTAATACTTTTGAAAAATAAAAACATTGCTCTGTTTATGTTTTATTAGATGTTATTATTTTACCTCTAAGTATATGCCAATCACGATTTTAAGGGGCAGAAGTATTATATTAACCATTCAATTTAAAGGTTTTGTAAAATAGTAATTAAGTTATACGTCGAAATTTGGATCTTCAATTTAGTCGCTAAGAGTCAAAATCATACAGCGCCAGTAGGATAAAAAAATATATATAGACATTTTATGACAACTAGGGTCGTCTGATGTTAACAAAAATTACATTATTTTGGGCGAGCGTTGTCGACTGAAATCGTAAAAAAGCAACGAGCAGCTGCAACAATAAATGATAATGAGCTGATAAGGGATCCTGTCTAGTCCTGTCTGTCTCACGCACGCGCATACACATACATACAATGCCTTATCGCCTATCCAAAACAATTTAAATCACTTTACTTCCAGTGTGTTTTTTGTTGACATTGTCGTACTTTTGTGTTGTATTTTATAAATAATCCTGCAAACACTACAAAGAACAAATTAATGTTGTATTGAATGTTATTTTTGTGTTGTATTAATCTGAGATATTGAATACATTTAAACATCTTTCAGTTGCTCATATAAATGGTTAGCTTGTGATTGGTTATTAGACTTGTATTGTAACATTTACACGTCAAGAAAAAACTCAAACTTGTTAAAGTTCTTAATGATACTTTTCATGCTAGGGATTTAACATATTATACAAACGAGAATTTCATGCCAAAACCACTATGAAAATAAACATAAGTCATAGTTTATGGTTTTATAGTTTTAGTGCAGCCAAGAAATGTAGGAAAGGGGGTTTTAATATTGCCATGCCAACGTGGCCAACGTATCAGAGTGGGAAGTGACATTTATTTATAGGGAAAATAACTATGTTCTAAACGTTATAATGATTAATCTATAAAAAGTAAACTTTAAAATTGTTTTGACTTGTATCTTATAAACTTAGTAAAAGGTTTGTTAGTAAAATTATAGTAAGTTATAAAATATATTAAAGCTTTATCAGTTTATGCATTATCTCTGACTTACATCATGTAATTAAATATAATTTATTCCATTAATTAATGTTAGTTATTTTTTATTTGTGTTTTCATTCAAGCACCAAATAGAATGTGTATTACAGTAAACAAATTTAAATTAAACCTTTTACAAGTACGCGTGTTATTTTATTTTTATTTTATCTATAGTTTTCATTATTTGTTGCAAAGGATATTATATTTTAATGTATTGCAAAAAAAATTGTAAGGTACCTGCTAGGTATATTAAAATTTTATAAATACAATTACAACAAGAACAAATCATAACATTACACCGTACATTGTAGCTATTTTCAGACTTAAAATATTACATAAAATTAGTTTATGCAAAATACAGCATACTATTCTAACAGGTTTACATATTAATTCACCTTGAAATTGTCTATTTAAAATTAGTGTGCATGTAATATGCGTTAAATTGTGTAACGTATTTGTTCTCGTATAATCATACTGGGGGCCCCATCGGCAAATTCGCCCGGGGCCTCTGAAGTCCTAAGTCCGGCCCTGCTCCCCACACAAATCCTGCTTTTCTAAAAGATACCTAGCCAATGGGTAAGAGAGAGCAACGACTTTGATGCGGGGGAGGAGATGTCCAGCAGCAATGGTTTTGAGGAGGAAACTCTACTATTACCAAGACAAAAATAGAGTGAGCTTCTGAAAATCTAATCCCAATTGTTGATTATCATTTCAAAAAATTTGATGCAGCCAATTCGTTGAATTACTAAAGTAGGTACCGTTCAGCATACAATATAACCACATACGAGTAAATCAAGAAATGACCAAATTATTTCTGTCTTAAACTAAAGCACGGCCACTGCGCGAGAGATCCTTGTAAAATTCCAGTCCGACTATTCTCCGTAAGCCTTTCGCTTCTTAAAAGGTTTGTACTGTATTCATTGGTAATAGTATGGACAGCTCAAGAAATTATCAAATTGTTTCTGTTTGAAAAACCTTGGTACGGTATCCACCTAAAAGCAATTATATTTGCTGATTCCTTTTATGAAATGTTTTGTTGCACATAGAAATATTTAATTTATCTGTGTTTTTATTAAAAACTATTAAAAGTAGGTAGGCCTAGCATAAAAGATAAATATCCAGGCGATATAATTCACTATTAAAAGACTCTCCAATTTCAAATTGTAGTTTTTATTATAGCAAGAACGAGATCAAAGGTTTCTACTTTCTTTTGTATCGATTAAGGTTTTTTTTTGTTAAAGTGCTACCATGTGATTTCTATAACATAAGAAATATGAAAGTTTTCAAAACAATTAAGAAAACCAAATTTTCTATTTGATTTCTTGAAGAGTTAGTGACTTAATATTACAGACATTACCGTGAGACTCGCAATGAGACCCCGTCTCACACGGGAGGTATCTCACGTGAGGCACGAGAGCGGCAGGAGGCTCGACTGAGACGGGACAGGGAGAAGGGACTTTACACCTCCACCAAGGATAAGGAAGACAAACAACGAGAGAATAGAGGTAAGGAACAAACTCGATTGTTATTTATATGAACTTATTCACTAGGCAGAGATGACTGCACATTTTGTTACTGTATCGTACCACATTGTGCAATATTGTGTGTATTTTTACTAATATTGTATGGATAGGTGCTATTTCAACATATTAAAAGCCTTAAGTTTTACTGTACGGCTAACAATTCTAAAGTAGGCTAACTGTTGATGGTTTATTATACAATAACATACCAAGTCAGACTTACCATTGCATGTGTTTTAGAATATTCAAGATTTTAATAGGCATCAAAACATTTCTTTTCTTTTCGTTTTCTTTTGATAGCCATGTTTTATTAAATTCTTGTATCACTCGTAAAATTTATTTTTACATTTCTTTAAGGTTGCAAACTATTGGCTAAACTTGTTGTTATACTGATTGATTTAATAAGTTCCTCAATTAATCAATTTAAGTCTTTCTCTTTTAATTTATTGAAATGGCTTTGGTATAGACTTTTAGAAACTAAAAGTAGGCCTACCGTATGAAACTAGTCAATTATAAGTTTTTTTTTTCTGCTTCATTCTTAATCCTGAATATAAATTTTAAAGGAGTCTATAGGCATCACAAAATAAATCTCACTATCTAAGAATGTATTTTTTGTAATGAAAAATCGTAGGGCCTACTGGTACTTAAGAGTAAACAAATTAAATTAATTAATTAAGGCCTACCGGTGCCCATACTTCTCAAGAGTTGGCTGTTAGAAACGAGTAAACAATATTGCTTTCCATTAGTTTTGACAAGAAACAAGTTTTACACAATTTGCTTGTCTGATGTTCTTTTGCTAAATTGCATTGTTTTCAGACAAAGAGTGGGACAGGCGTAGAGATAAGGATCGGGAAAGAGACAGAAGCCATAAAGACAAGGATAGGAGGAAATCACAAGAAAGAGACAGAAACAGAGACAGGGACAGGAGTGAGAGGGAAGGCAGCGAAAGACGGAGTGGAAGAGAGTGGTCGGAAACGCCAAGTATTCGCTTCAAAGATGAACCTTGGACACCCAATATCAAATCTAAAGATTCTACATCAAGGTACAAACAGTTGTCTATTATAGTCTTTTTTAAATTTTCTCATACATTAAGTTTTCTTTAAAATGTAGGGTCTATAGACTTTCAAATCACTTTCTTTAGAGCCTTCTGTAAATTAAAACATTTCATCACATCTTTTGCTAATATGGTGTACGGTATAGAACTCTCTTATGTTAAGAAATTAGGGATGGACAAGATTGGATTTTTAGTTTGAGACAAGACGAGACGGGATTTTTATTTCTCATAAAATTTTGAGATTAAATCAAGACGGGATTTCCCTTCTTAGGCTATACATAATGGAAAATGCACTTCAACATTTTAACCTGACTTTGTAACATTGTTAAATACCTACTGATGACAGATGACTGGTAAAATACAAAAACAATACTGTAATAACAGGCAAGAATATTAAAAATCTTTTATCAAACAACATCAATAAAAAACATCAGTAAAAAAAAACAAATATTAACTAGGCCTAGGCCTACCTTGTAAAAAATAACTTACACATAGGACATGGTGATGTGATATCAGTTAGGATACTATAGTTCAAATTTGAAAAATTCAAAATTTATCAGTCTGAAACGTCAGTCTTACTAGTTAAGCGTTCAATTACAATGATAGAACTTTGAAAAATACCAAATTTACCAATCTAAAACAAGTATCAAGTAATAATTTTTCAGTCTTTTGTTATTTTAAAAATTATTTTTGAGTGACCTGTTTTGGCTATGTTTACAGTTAAAACATGTCTCGCACAGCTTACACTCTAAACAAAACTTCTCATCATTTGCGATGTCAAAACAAAATTTATAAAACAATTAAAGCAATATTTACATGTAGAGAATTATTTAAATAAGAACGCCTTTGCAAAGGAAACACAACAACAACACGCTCCTTTACTGCGCATATCTGAACAGGCTGTATTTGGGAGAAGCACGCAATGTTAAACTACTAATATTAATTCAATTCAAATATCTTTATTCGTATTAGTAATATTCATTCTAATATGACGGAGCCCCTGGCATTTAAAATGCCAGAAAGGGTGCGAGTCCTAATGGCTTAGGTCACACGTTGGCCTGACTTGAAGTAATGTGACAAACAATTCCAGGTCTGTGTCCAACAGAGTAGAGGGGGTTTTTAGGCTGCCTACCTCTGTGCGTAAAAGCATTTTCCCTCCTCTCCCTAAAAAAAAATATATATATATGACGGAGCCCCTGGACGACGTATACATGGCTTTTTGGTTTACCTTCTTCAGTAGTCCAACATTTCAATTATTTACAGCTTACATGTTTTCTTTCAATATCTTCAGAGCTTGCAACACATTTAAAAATTGGTAGCACTTTTATCACACGGTGGCAATTGTAGTTAGAGTTGTCTAGGTCGTACGACGAATATTATCGTCCAACTACAACTGCCGCCATGTCATGATAGCACTATAAAGTTTGGTGTGTTTAAATATCTTTTGTGTATTGTACAGTTTAGTGTTAAATTTTATTTTGATGTTTTTGTGGGTTACTAACTCTAAAGATGTTGTAAAGAAAAATGTCAGCTGTAAATAATTTAAATGTTGACTAAAAATAAGCCTAAAAAGTTAAACTACTACAATATGGTTGGATTTGAACTGTTTGTAGGACGTCCTGGGACGATGATGACCCGACACCTTCGCGTAATTCAGCCTGGGATCTGCCGACACCTCGCACGTACAACAAGGACGAGTCTGACTGGTCGACTCGCAGACCTACTCCAGCCCATAGATACAACACCTGGGCCAAGGATAGGAAACATTCTGGAGCTACTCCATTGCCAGGCAAAGGTAACGTTAGTTATTTATCAGTTTGTTTGGCATCAAACTTTTTTTTAGTGGTATAACTGGTTACTATTTTATGGGAGAATGGGGCGAATACTTCACAGTAGTGTTCCAAAGGGTTGTAGTGTCAATCAATGAGCCAACTAACCTATTTCAAACACTACTTTTGGGTAAAGAAATATTGTTGATAACACAAGAAGAGGTTTGAATTTGTAAACCTGATGTACAATGAAACAATGAAATTGACACATTAGTAGGTAACAACAAAATGATTAGTTTGGCTCATTAAAAAATTATCAAGTTAAATAAAAAATCTGCTGGGTTTTAAAAGTTCATAATTGAAAAGAATAACTACTTTAATTGTAGTTTAAAGGACTTTTCCATTTTCCAAGCTAAATGTTTTTAAATAACTTCTTGATCAGTATAAGCGTAAATATATGTTTAAACGTTTAAAGTGTTATAAGACGTTTCTTTTATTTACTTTCCGTAAATGTTTTTACTTCATTTCTGGTAAAGCTAGTAAAGCAATATTATACTTGAATATACATAACCAAACAACATTGATATTACATTTTTAACTCAAGCCTAGCCGAAAAAAAAATCTTTAGTCTCACATAATGCTTAATGTCACTTATTTCTCTTTCCTTCATCAGTTATCGTGTGTCTCATATTTAGCTTCTTATCTTATTTATTTGTGTTGTATTCTTAATCACTCTTATTTATTGTTATTTAATGCTAAGTTACTATTTTTTATTGTTGTTGTTATTTAATAATTAATATTTATTATTATTCGTAGTCTATGAATGTTTCACTTTAGGCTATAATCAATTTCATGAACTCATAGCATGTTCTCAATTTTTGTATTAACTAGGATAGTGCTGCAATGTAAATGGGATTTGTATTCTGTTTTGTAGTATGTTAAAAATAAAATAAATAAAAACATATTATTCAACATACAAAGAGATAAGTGTAAAGAGGTAAGTAAAGAGATAAGTAAAGAGATAAGTGTCAAAATGCAGTAAACAAATCAGATAATAGAAAAGTAATTTGTATAAGAATAAGATATGTAGGCCTCAAATTTTAAATCTGATTCCATTTTGGTTTTACAAAGTTTTAGGGTCCTGATACTTTCACAAAATATTTTCAAATCTACTTGATAAATTTTATAAACTTTCAAAACTTTCGATGCACAAATGATCAAGCAGTATAAAATCAAATGTAAACCTCTTAGTTGGACACTCTGTATGTAATGGGCTCCATTACATTAAGTGGTGTGACATTTGTGTCATGTAACAGTTTATTGTCTTAACACTTGTGTTAAATGCCAAGAATCACTGATTGCAACTAATTCATCCCAATTTCAGAGTCAGAGGTGGCCTGGGGGGGCAGCAGTGACAGGGCTCAGTGGGAAGCCGAGCAGCTGCGGCTAGACAGGGAGTGGTACGCTCTAGACGACGGAGCCGACACTGCCAACAACCCGTTCAGCAACGTCAGCGAGGAGTACGCTCGCAAGAAGGAACAACAACTGGAGCAGCGCAAGAAGAAACGGATGAGCGCTCAGCAGAGACAGATCAACAAGGTATGAAATACTTAGATTTAGTTTAAACAAAACAAATTCATAGTTCGACAAAATGTGGTTCCAGGCGATAGATTATTTTTGTTTAATGTGATCCAAAGTGATAATTGAATTTCAAACATTTCGTAGTTTTTTAGTGTGTGTCCAAACATAATGGTCTATTACACAGTTAGTTACAGAAACAAGAACTTGGTAGTTGGTAAATCAATGGTATATCACAACGTTAAACCGAATATTGTGGTTACAGGACAATGAGCTATGGGAGCGTAACCGTATGTTGACCAGTGGAGTGGTACAGTCGGTGGATGTTGATGATGATTTTGACGAGGAGAGTGAGGCTAGAGTTCATCTGCTCGTACACAACATCGTGCCTCCATTCCTCGACGGACGGATCGTCTTCACCAAACAACCAGAACCTGTTATACCTGTCAAGGTAAGTAATACCCTGAGTAGCTAAGTTGTTAGTGTGGACTAAGAACTTAGTAAACCTTAAATTAGTGCAATTAAATCTTAATTGCACTCCATTGTCTTTCCCTATTTCATTTTTTTCATTCCCCTTTAGATTTTTGTGGTCAACCTATTTTTTGTTGTTGTTGTACCCTAAGAATATTTTCCTTAATTCCTTATCTCTACACACTCTCTATTTTTCCTTTTTGTGGTCATCCTCTCCTTAGTGCCACCGGTGAGATTCTGTTTCCATTACTTTCAAACCTATTTGTGATTTGTAAGATATCGTTCAAACTTGTCCACATTGCTTACAATTTTATAAAATTATTTTATTAAAATCTCTTACCTTACCTAGCTGGCCACTCAAACCTAAGCTGGTTTTTGGCCTCTCTAACAGCTCTGTGCCATCTTTCTCGGTCCTTCATCATCTCCTCTGTAACGGACATCCTTCTCATATCCTTGGTCCCACCATTGCAGCCTAGGGCATTATAAAATCTCTTAAATGAATTTAATTGTTCAAAAGAAGAAATAATGATTTTTTATTAGATAAATCAAATGATGAAGATTTGATGGGCTGCAGTATGACTATTAAATTAATTTGTTGAAAAAATGTAGTGGAAGCAACCAGACTTGTAATAATCATATCCCAAGAGCTTCAGAAGCTATTTACTCAAGACAAAATACACCCATTTCAGTACTTCTTCAGTAGGGGTAAAAGAAGATAAAATTATTTTGGAAATTTTATATGCAACAATATTTCATAATCACCTTCAGATTTTGATAGTGAAAACCACTAAACTCTTTTCTAAAAAAAATCTTTACATTTCTGTTTATACAATGAAAGATTTTTCCAACCAAGAGAAGCGATTCAAATGAATGTTATGTTAGCAATCGTAGAGTGTATATTTACTTAGGCTACTGATGATTTGATTTTTGGGGTCTCACAGGATGCATCGTCTGACATGGCAATGGTGGCAAGGAAAGGTTCGGCTCTGGTGAGAGTCTTCCGAGAACAGAAAGAACGAAAGAGGGCACAGAAGAAACATTGGGAACTCGCTGGAACCACAATAGGAAATATCATTGGTCTTGAGAAAAAGGATGAAAAGGTATAATTTTATGAAATATACTTTTTTTTTTCTTGTGCCAAATATATTTAATTGCTTTGGATCCAATCTGTGCACATCTGTATTTGTATCTAGCACATACTAAGATTGATAAAACAGAGTAGTAATTCTAAACACTATCATTGATAATCATTGTACATTTGATTGGAGACGTGGCATATGACAAGTTTACGTGACCATTCTGAGTGTGACTTGAGTGATAAGTGGAATCTGGTTTTGATTCTTAAATTCTGATTCGAGACATCTACAAATAATTCCTCTTTGACTATTTTTAAAAAAGGGTTTAAAACTACTAAGCCAAACAAATACACATTTAGTATTTACAAATTTTGGTTACCAAAAGTAACTGATAGTGGATAATGTAGCTTAGCTAGCAGAAGTTGAATTATGAATGTCAATAATTATATATATTGATGTCAGTTGATTCTAAAGGCTTTAGCACAATAAATAATTAGTTATGGATGGTTGAAACGCTAAAGCGGTGACTTTCAGAACAAATCCTTTACTGAGAAAATCTCAAATGTAATCTCGTCCTGATATATATAGAATATATTTTTCCCAAAAATTACCTGAAATTTCAGGACCCTTCCTACCCATCCTAAAACGATAAACCGTTTGTCTTCAGGATGACAGACAGGGCCAGGACGATGTGACGGATTACAAAACAGATCAGAAGTTTGCTGAACACATGAAAGACACTCCAGAAGCCAGTAGTGACTTTGCAAAGAAGAAAACAATAACAGAACAAAGAAGATATCTTCCTGTCTTTGCTGTCAGGCAAGAGGTAAATAACAGTTCTACCAAAATTAAGTTGATCTAGTTTTGAAATTGGAGTTTTTTTTTTGTGAAGAAAAGATTCAAACCCCAGTATTTTTTATTATATAATGTTGACCTTTTGTTAGATTGCATAACTTTATTGCCCAATGAGACTAAAAGTGGTATCTAGGTCTGGGATTGACCACGTTTGACCCTTTTGATTTGCGAAAGTGATTAGGCCCATGGCGAGCACCAAACACACTTAGCTATGCAAACAATTCATATCTAATTGAATTTGCTCAATTTTATCACTTCATCAATTTTATTTCAGTGAAATAAATTAAACTCATACTGTAAATGTTATGTTAACTGTAAGGGAATCCAAATACAACTTTTCTTTTAATGTGAATCTGTAAAATCTTCATAAAGTGAATATAAATTTGCTTAGTCAGCAGACTTATAGCTTTGAGGGTTGGTTTTTATCAAACAACTCAAACCACTACCCAGAAATTGTGGTTATCATCTTACCCTGACAAGCTGGCTGTTTAATGACATTAAATACATTTGATTATGTTGTTCCAGTTGTTGAATGTCATTAGAGAGAACAGTGTGGTCATCATTGTGGGAGAGACAGGTTCAGGCAAAACTACACAACTCACACAGTATCTGCATGAAGATGGATACAGTAAATACGGCCTCATAGGGTGTACTCAGGTACATTACTCTACATTAAACATACTTATGCTGTATAAATACAGTAGGCCTACGTGTTGGTTATTCTCAGGTCTGGGCATATAGTAGGTTTCGTTATCTTCTTCCATTCCTCCACACATTCTCTTCCTCCATTTTTCTCTTTACCTTATCCATCAACCTTCTAGGTCTTCCTTTTGGTCTCCTTCCCTCTATTACCATCAACTCCACTACCCTCTTATTTTTTTCTTGCGTAGTCTTTTCAGATGTCAAAATCATCTGTCTTACTTTTTCTACTCTCCCTCTTAGGCGTTCCTTCTTATTTTCTTCTCAAACTCAACCCCACCTTGTCTTTTCCCTCTTGGTACCCTTAAGATAGTTCTACATTAATTAAGTAAATTAACATGGAATACGTCATCTTAACACTGCTGTCTGTAAAATATATTTTTCTCTTGTATTGTTTGCAGTGGAGTTTTAAAATTAGCACTGCAATAGACAATGTGTATTTAATAGTTGGCTACTTTGTAATTTGTTCTTGTTAGTGAAAAATTTACCATCCACTAAGACATTATCGTATATAATATATGAGGCTAATGTATAGATGCGTCTAATCTGTCCAATGCCTTACATCATGTCATGTTACAGCCCAGGAGAGTAGCAGCCATGTCGGTAGCCAAGAGAGTCAGTGATGAGATGGGCTCTAAGCTGGGAGAGACTGTTGGTTATGCGATACGTTTCGAGGATTGTACTTCTGAGGTGATAACTCTACCCTATTTTAGGTTAACAATTCTAGGTGCTAGCAAATTTCAGCCTTAATTTTGGATAGTAAGTTAACCACCTCATTCTTTAATAGTTTGATTTTCTCCTACCTCATACCTTATGATCTTTCAAGTAGAGACCACTATCACCTCAAGATCTATTGTGAAATAGATCTGCCTGATAATCCAGATTGTTTCCTAAAAATAAAACTCTCTAGTCCTATTTGCTTACAAAGCTGACAAGCTGGTTACCGGTAGCTTTTTTGATAAGATACATAACTAGTCTAATTTTTTTGTGCTTTTAAAGTGTGTTCTGAAATATTAATCAGGGTATTAAACTGACTGAGAATTTTACTTTGAATTAAATGACCAAGAAAAGGTCTGGCTTGTACAAGAGGTTGTATGGAAAAGAGAAATACGTAATAATCGTCAGAAGCTTATGACCTAGTGTCCATTTATTAACGGTGTTTGGTTGGTTCCCTTTTAAGGTTATTAATAAGAACTACAAAGTACCATTGTAGGGATCAATGGGTGTTGCCACAATCACGGTAGATGATATTTCTGCAATTGTGGAATAAGATCACAGTGTTGTCCTGATTTTGGGATAAATGTAGGGTCGTTTACTGTCATAAAAATACTGTGTTTTATTTTGTTATGATGTTCTATTGCATTTATCAATCTGAATTTTTTTAAATCTAAATATCCAGTCCAGTCAAATTTTGTTCAAAGTAGAAGGAATCTGCTGTACGTAAGTCCTAGTGGTCTAAGTTATAATTCAACAAATCTCCAATTACTGGATCTATGCCATGCTGCTAGCTGCTACCCACTACTTTGTTGACAGGATACTGTGATCAAATACATGACTGATGGTATACTGTTGAGGGAGTCCCTCAGGGAAGCAGATCTGGACAACTACAGTGCTATCATAATGGACGAGGCTCACGAGAGATCCCTCAGTACTGACGTATTGTTTGGACTGCTTAGAGACGTACGTAAAACCACAACACGTAATACCACAATCTTCATATAAATCAATTGTAGAATTCCTCTGCAGTAGTAAATAGTTACAAAGCTATTAATCTCTTAAATTTTATGTGTGGAGTAAATCAATAGACAATATTTTAAATACGTTTTCAGCTTGAATTTATTATTATTTTTTAAACTTTATAAAATTGTGTTGTACGGAATAAGGATAAGTTGTCTATAAGTCCATCCTGCAATTTTCCTTACTCACTGTTTTTGAAAATTTCTATGATTGGCTATCAAAAAATTACTTTTATCTGTCTGTCCATCTATACTATTATACAATTGAGGTGGTGTCTGTCCGTCTGTCTTGCTGTCACGACTAAAATACTAAACCAATATAGCCAATACTAAGCACATAGATGGTCCATATATCTAGGAATGTCTTAGGCCTATTCATTTCCCTGAGTTCCCTCGGGCAAAGCCCCTTGGATGTCTAAAGTTTTGAGTTGAAGCAGGAGAAAACTTACAATGTTTAACGTTGTGTTGACATTTAAATATAAACGAACAGAAATGCCAAATGCTTATTTCACAATTTCAGGCAGATGATCGAAACAAATGAAATATAATATTTTACACAACTATGTGGTAGGTTTATTTATTCAAAAACTTTGTCATGGACTAATTATTCTAAAACTATATAATTGATTATTGAAATAAAAAAAGGTTCTATAACAGTTGCTGTATCAACCCAGGCTCAGCTTTCGATTTTTTAATGTGTCTAAGTTATAAAAATAATGTTATTAATATATTTTCATGTAAATAGTATAACAGGTTCTATAACCAAAATTGATGACTATGGATTTAGAGGCATAGCACATGACCTGTTTGAGTCTTATCTGGCAAAACGATTCCAAAGAGTTAAAATGTTCAATGATGACAGAATTGATCATTTCTCAACTTGGAGGGAGGTTGTCTGTGGGGTGTGGCAGTGATCTATGGGTTTGCTAAATAGCCCGGGCAAACCGGGCTCAGGTACAGAGCCCGGGCTGTCATCATAGCCCGGTAAGCCCGGGTTTGCCAAATAGCCCGGGCAAACTGGGCTCAGGTACAGTGCCAGGGTTGTCATTATAGCCCGGTAGGCCCGGGATTTCCAAATCGCCCGGGCTAATGTCTGTGGCCCGGTGGTGGCGGGCTGATATCATAGCCCTGTAGGCCTATGAAAGAAAAACCATTTTTCCAGTCATAGGTTGTTTGTTGTTTCAAACGGGGCAATATTATAGCAATAGTAAATGGGGAGAAGTTATTTATTTTCTTATTTATTTTACATAATATGTATATACATATTTGTTTCTTTTTATAAACTTTATAAAGAATGTTTAATTTAGTGTAAGTTTAAAATTAAGTGCCAACCGAACAAACGGTTCATCCTACCGGCATTTTAGTATTTATGAACTATTGTTTCATAAAATGTAATTTTTGGGGCATCACAGCCCGGATGTGCCAAATCGCCCAGGCCAATGTCTTTAACGTGCTATATTATTACTTTAACCCGGTAGTGACGGGCTGTCATCATAGCCCGGGCTAACCGGGCACAGGTTTACTGGCCGGGCTGTCGTCATAGCCCGGGTTAGCCAAATCACCCGGGCCAAATAGCTTGGGCAAACCGGGCTCAGGTACAGAGCCCGGGCTGTCAACATAGCCCGGTAAGCCCGGGTTTGCCTAATAGCCCGGGCAAACCGGGCTCAAGTACAGAGCCCGGGCTGTCATCATAGCCTGATAAGCCCGGGTTTGCCAAATAGCCCGGCAAACCGAGCTCATGTACAAAGCCCGGGCTGTCATCATAGCCCGGTAAGCCCGGGTATGCCAAATAGCCCGGGCAAACCGGGCTCAGGTACAGTGCCCGGGTTGTTATTATAGCCCGGTAAGCCCGGGTTTGCCAAATAGCCCGGGCAATCCGGGCTCAGATACAGAGCCCGGGCTGTCATCATAAGCCCGGGTTTCCCAAATAGCCCGGGCTAACCGGGCTCAGGTGCAGAGCCCGGTTTTTCATCATAGCCCGGGAAGCCCGGGCTTGCCAAATTGCCCGGGTTAATGTCTTCAGCCGGGTGGTGACGGGCTGTCATCATAGCCCGGGCAAACTGGGCTCAGGTACAGTGCCCGGGTTGTCATTATAGCCCGGTAGGCCCGGGTTTGCCAAATCGCCCGGGCTAATGTCCGTGGCCCGGTGGTGGCGGGCTGTTATCATAGCCCAGTAGGCCTATGAAAGAAAACCCATTTTCCAGTCATAGGTTGTTTGTTGTATGAAACGGGGCAATATTATAACAATGGTAAATAGGGAGAAGTTATTTATTTTCTTATTTATTTTACATAATATGTATATAGGCCTACATATTTGTTTCTTTTTATAAAGTTTATGAAGAATGTTTAATTTGGTGTAAATTTAAAATGAAGTGCCAACCGAACAAACGGTTCATCCTACTGGCATTTTAGTATTTATGAACTATTTTAATTTATTAAAATGTAATTTTTGGGGCATCATAGCCAGGATGTGTCATCATAGCCCGGTAGGCCCGGGTTTGCCAAATCGCCCGGGCTAATGTCTTTAGCCCGGTGGTGACGGGCTGTCATCATAGCTCAGGCAAACTGGGCTCAGGTACAGTGCCCGGGTTGTCATTATAGCCCGGTAAGCCCGGGTTTGCCAAATAGCCCGGGCAATCCGGGCTCAGGTACAGAGCCCGGGCTGTCATAGCCTGATAAGCCCGGGTTTGCTAAATAGCCCGGACAAACCGGGCTCAGGTGCAGAGCCCGGTTTTTCATCATAGCCCGGGAAGCCCGGGCTTGCTAAATTGCCCGGGTTAATGTCTTTAGCACGGTGGTGACGGGCTGTCATCATAGCCCGGTAGACCTATGAAAGATAGCAATAGTAAATAGGGAGAAGTTATTTATTTTCTCATTTATTTTACATAATTTGTATATGCATATTTGTTTCTTTTTATAAAGTTTATAAAGAATGTTTAATTTAGTGTAAGTTTAAAATGAAGTGCCAACCGAACAAAAGGTTCATCCTACCGGCATTTTAGTATTTATTAACTATTGTAATTAAATATAATGTAATTTTTGGGGCATCATAGCCCGGATGAGCCAAATCGCCCAGGCCAATGTCTTTAACATGCTTTATTACTATTACTTTAACCCGGTAGTGACGGGCTGTCATCATAGCCCGGGCTAACCAGGCACAGGTTCAGTTGCCGGGCTGTCATCATAGCTCGGTAGGCCCGGGTTTGCCAAATCGCATGGGCCAAATAGCTTGGGCAAACTGGGCTCAGGTACAGAGCCCGGGCTGTCAACATAGCCCAGTAAGCACGGGTTTGCCAAATAGCCCGGGCAAACCGGGCTCATGTACAGAGCCCGGGCTGTCATCTTAGCCCGGTAAGCCCGTGTTTGCTAAATAGCCCGGGCAAACCGGGGTCAGGTGCAGAGCCCGGGCTGTCATCATAGCCCGGTAAGCCCGGGTTTGCCAAATAGCCCGGGCAAACCGGGCTCATGTACAAAGCCCGGGCTGTCATCATAGCCCGGGCAAACTGGGCTCAGGTACAGTGCCCGGGTTGTCATTATAGCCCGGTAGGCCCGGGTTTGAGCCTGGTAAGCCCAGGATTGCCAAATCGCCCGGGCTAATGTTTGTGGCCCGGTGGTGGCGGGCTGTTATCATAGCCCGGTAGACCTATGAAAGATAGCAATAGTAAATAGGGAGAAATGATTTGCAAATCAACACTCCACATTATCTTTTTGAAGATGACACTACAACAATAATTATGGGTCGAAAACTTATTCTGACACCGTGATACTAAATTTACAAGTTATTAAACCCTGCTATTAGTAAACTTCCAGTTCGCCAAAATTCTAGTAATGAGGTTAATTTGGGAGTTTAAGGCCAACAACCAACCATTGGAATAATGTGTACAAGTAAAATCTAATTGAATGGGACTACAATTTTTCTTTTTAATTTAGATATTTAGGTACCACAAAACCCTAAATGAAGCTAAAACTCGTTATTGATTCTTCAGGTAGTAGCACGCAGACAAGATCTCAAACTTATAGTCACTTCTGCTACGATGGACGCTGGTAAATTCTCCACTTTCTTCGGCAACGTTCCAACATACACAATCCCTGGCCGCACATTCCCTGTGGAAACGTTCTTCAGCAAGAACCCAGTGGAAGACTATGTGGACGCTGCAGTTAAACAGGCTCTTCAGATACATCTGCAGGGACAAGAAGGTAAAGTAAGAGATGGGCCGGGGTAAATAGCTCTATTTTGTTTACAGAAGTTATAATTTTAGAATAAAAACACTAATAATTATTCTCGTAAATTACAAAAGGTAAAACAATACTTTTGACAACTCATCTACAGACCAAAACCTTTCTTTGGACACCTCTTTTAAGTTTCTATGCCCAGCCGTTCTCTCAAATTAGTGGGGACAAAGTTTCCAATTAAATATTTAGATTCACCCATGTTAATCTAATGGGAGAAACTCCAACTTTGATGGCCTGTGGGGCAAAGCCCGAGGATTTTTATTACAGGAATTGGTGAAAGGGGGCGTCTACACAAAAAATACTTTATTTTGACACGTCGTATGTAAAAATCCGTCCATTATTAACGGAGGAGTAGTGTTTCGTAGAAATCGCTTTCACATATTATAAATAAGGAAAGGACTCTCCATAAGAATATCATGGGAATTTTTAATTTGCAATTTTTTGAATTTTCTCCGTAACCAATAACCTTACAAAAACACTTTGGTGTACTAAATTATTTGTTTTTTAAGCTATTTAAAATTGTCTAGAGATGAATTGGGAAACTTTGTGTTTTGAGGGCCAAATTTGAGAAAACCCATTTCTTACTATTATAAAACCAATAGTAGGATAACCCTATGGATTTTAATTGACAGCCCCAAATTAAGTGTTCTAGGCTATGTTAAGATTGTATTTAACCTCTGATGTAACATTTCAGGAGACATCCTGATATTCATGCCAGGTCAAGAGGACATTGAGGTGACGTGTGAAGTTTTGGCAGAGAGACTGGGTGAGATTGACAATGCTCCACAGTTGTCAGTGCTGCCTATCTACTCTCAGCTACCTTCAGACCTGCAAGCCAAGATATTCCAGAGGTCCCCTGAGGGACTGAGGAAGTGTGTGGTTGCTACCAACATTGCGGAAACCTCACTCACAGGTAAGTGGGAAGTGGGAGTTTCCCACTCTAGGGATTATGGTAATATCAGTCCTAGGGTCTGCAAGGTTTGGTATTAACATATTTAGGCACTGATGGACAGCCATTCCGCTGTTCCCCCAACTGTTTAACCTTGGCAAACTGAGAAGCTGTTTTGAAGATTAGATACCAAGATACACCAAAACCTTGTCTTCTCCATGTACCTCAAACAGAAAAGTTTGGAATAATTGTAACTGTATCTGACGCATGAATGTTTTCTAGGAATATTTACTTTAAGAATTCGTTTATTGTCTATTAAAAATGGGTTTCCTGCTGATGGAACCTGTTTTTTCTCTCGTTTTAAATTGCTCTGGAGGGTCTCCATGATTGGATTTTTGACATTAGTAGTACATTAGTCCAACTTCTTGTGAACTCATCAATGAAGCTAGATAGACTAATAGACTAGGGTAAGTTGATGTAATCATTAACAATGTGAAGAACTAGCTTCAACTAACTTATTTACCATCCCTTATTGCTTTGTTTGTTATCACACCCCATGTTACTTGTGTGTTACAGTGGACGGCATCATGTTCGTGGTAGACTCCGGGTATTGCAAGTTAAAGGTGTATAACCCTCGTATTGGTATGGACGCTCTACAGATCTACCCCATCAGTCAGGCCAACGCCAATCAGAGATCTGGTAGAGCCGGGAGAACCGGACCTGGTCAGTGTTTTAGGTAGGATGGTCAAATTTGTTTGAAAAAATGTTGTTTTTGGGCTGTTTCTATCTCAAGCGCATTCATTACCATAGCCTTACTTGGTAACTTGATAAATACTTCAATTAAAAAATCTTGCGTTCCAGAACTGTTAAAAACTGCAGTAATTAGACCAATTTATAAAGCAGGAAGTCATGAGAGCTATTTGAATTATCGTCCAATATCTATTTTACCAGCTATTAGTAAGTTAATGGAGCGATATATTGCAAATAATTTGATTGGCCATTTAGAAAGGAATAGTATTATTAGCAAACAGCAATATGCATATCAGAGGAAGAAAGGAACAAACGAGCTACTTTTAGATTTTACAGATTATATAAATGAACAGCTTAGTGAAGGAAAACAGGTTTTAGTAATATTTATAGACTTTAGTAAGGCATTTGATAATTTAAAGCATGAGACAATTGCAATGGCTCTGGACACAGCAGGAGTAAGAGGGCAAATTAAAGACCGGTTTTTAAGTTATTTAATGGATAGAAAATGTAAGGTTAGAATTAAGAGTACATATGGAGAGGAAAAAATCTTAAGGTATGGGGTACCCCAAGGTAGTATATTAGGGCCATTGATATACTTGTTGTATGTTAATTCACTTCCTGAAATATTACAATTTAGTAGAATATATATGTATGCAGATGACACTGCGCTTGTATTATCCCACAAAAACATTCAGGAAGCTACCGAAAAAATGCAAATAGATTTCTTAAGTTTAACCATGTGGTGCCACGACAATGGTCTAGCTATAAATGGAGATAAATCAAAGTTAATGCACATACATTCACCGTCATACAAATGCTCAGAAATAAATGTGAAATTCCATTGTCATGACTGCTTACACAATAAACAATTTGAAAATGCTGCATGTGGGTGCCTACCATTACAGAATGTAGTGAATTACAAATATTTAGGTATAACAATTGACCACAATATGAAATGGGATTTACAAATTAAGACAGTAACAAACAGGCTACGAGTTTGTGCAGCAAAATTTTTCTATTTAAAAGATTTTTTACCTTTTACAACAATGAAAATCATATATTCAGGCATATGTGAGTCAGTGATTAGATATGGCTTAAGATCATGGGGATCAGCATCACCCACAGCCATAAATCAAATAAAAACTGTGCAAAATAGAATCATAAAAACTATGACTAAGCTTGCCTCTACGGTTTTGTCAGAAAACCCTCTGCTCGGATATAGGATAGTTGAGGTATTACCAGTGGATGTATTATTTGAGTATATAATTTTACTTGATTACTATTTCTCAAATGAATTTAAAGTAAAAAATGACCATAGATACAATTCACGCAAACAGTTTTATATTGTTCCTAAGACCACAAACAAATTTTCAAAAAGAGTTAGAAAATTTCTAGTTCCAACGTTTTTTAATAGATTGCCAACTGAAATAGAAAATATAACTAGTTTTAGAGTCTTGAAATCTAGGCTTAAGCATTGTTATCTCAATAAATTCATTTAAACATTGTTTATTACATTACTTTCTTTTTATATTATTGTTAAAGTTAAAATCATTTAATGCACGTTATTTATTTTAGTATTGTCATCTCAAGGAATCCATTAAAACTGGTTTAATATTGTTGTTATAAATTATTTAATTATTTATTTAGTTATGTATTGTTGTATTGTTAAAAAAATTATTTCATTATATTATTGTTAAAGTTGAGAAGTATTTAATGCATGTTATTTATTGTTATATATTTTATTTATTTAAGATAATTGTTTCAAGTTGTTTTTAAAGCAAGCTAGTCTTATATAGAAAGGTAGAGAATAAGTCAAAACAACAAATAGCAGATCTTGACAAGAAACAAGGAAAACCAGAGTGTAATATGGAGAAGACTGACCAAGGGACAAAGTACATTGTTATCTAGAACAAGTTTATCTCTATGAGCTGCAGACAAGCCAATTTTTCCTGGCTTTTGCAGCAAGCTTTGTTTATGAAATGTTGTAATATTTTTGAGATTTTCCAAATAAATAAATAAATAACTATTTTACTTGGAATTAGTAGTTTGCTTTAGCAACATTTAACTACTAGTTTGTGTAGGACAATTAATATTTGATATACTAAAAAAACCACTGTGCAAAGCCATATTATCTGCTGCTTTTTAGAACAAATATAGTTGTGTTTTCATACTTCCATTAAATACTCCCTATTTCTCTTTTTTGTTTTTATGTGTTCTCTCATATTCTCTCTTCCATTCTTTTCCTTCTTCTCTTCGTACTCTAGAAGACTGTCAATGTGTGAATATTTATATTGTCTGATAAAAACAACCAAAGCCTAAAAGCCCTACTTTGATTTCAGCCTGGACTTTTCAAGCATTATTGATCTACAATTTGGCTCAAAAATGTCATTATCAATTATTATTATCAACTATCAATCATTGAGATGGGGACGCCACCTAGGTGCATATTTTAACCCAAATATGAGTGAAGGATGAGTGTAGAATGGTGTGTGATGACCTGTGTAGCTTTGTTACTTTATTACTCAATAAAGTCAGTACAAGTTTAAATTTTATTAGAGCTATTCAAATGGAATTTCCAATTTATATTCTCACGGTTATAATTGCATTTAAACTGATGTGTCTGGTGTAGGTTGTACACTGAGAGACAGTACAAGGACGAGCTGCTAGTCACAACAGTCCCTGAGATACAGAGGACCAACCTGGCCAACACTGTGTTGTTGTTGAAGAGTCTGGGAGTGCAAGACCTGCTGCAGTTCCACTTCATGGACCCTCCTCCCCAGGTGAGCTAACATTTACCAATCTAGTCAAAATGAAATTATGGAAGCAACAATGGGACAATCTAGGGGATCTTGGCTGGACATCTAGATTGATCACTGTGATCTCAGGGACATCTGAAAAACCTCCTGCCAATATCTGGACCGTCCTTCTATCTCATCTTGCGGGGGGCAAGACCACCCTTATATCTTATCTTGCAGGGGGCGGGCCAAAGCCACAAAGCACTTCATCCGAATGATACGACCCCAATAACTATATTTCAAATAAGTTAAAACTAATAATAATAATTTAATATTTTTAATATTTTTGTTGTTTTATTAAAAGACTTAAAACATCCAAGCAACTGGATATTGAAGATCATTCCCGTGTCGGGTGTTATATTTATGAGTGTAATTTTCCAACATAAAGTCCTTATAATTTCTTTTTACAAAGATGCACAGTTGAAAAATATTAACTGCATAAATGATCAAGAGTTTCATCTGAATAAAAAGGGGGCGGCGGCTGAGAGTGAATGTATCTAATCTATAAGATTTAAAAGATCAAGTGAATTCCTCTATACAAGATCAGTGAAAAGTTAAGTACTACACAGTTCTCCCATTACCTTTCCTTGAATCCTTCCTCACAGTCCACAATACTCAAGACACAGTAATGTGAAAGCAATGGAACTATATTCCAGGACAACATCCTCAACTCTCTGTACCAGTTATGGATCCTGGGAGCCTTGGACCACACCGGGTCATTGACTCCTCTAGGACGTCAGATGGCAGAGTTCCCTCTAGATCCTCCACAGTGCCAAATGCTCATAGTGTCTGCTGCCATGGGTTGCACAGCTGACATACTCATTATTGGTAAGATGGAAGTACAGTTAGTTTATCTTTTTTTTAATTTTTTGAGGGCATCAAATCAAGTTCAAAAACTTGTCATGGAAATAATTAAGTTACCTCCTGCAACTAAGGTTACTTTAAATTGTTGGTGGTTTTAAAGCTTACTGTCACCATTGTACAATGCATTTCTTTACTGGTTTTAAGACCCTCAGCCAAAACCTATCATTATGGCTTGATTAAAATTTACTGTTGGCTGTGTTTTTATCCTAATTATGGTTGAGAAAGTCAGTATTGAAAGCTAAGCATTTACTTATGTATTTCCTATTTATTCCAAAAGCTGGTTCTTGGCTCTAGCCATTTGGAGTTCAGGTATTTAAATCAATATTCTATTGTCTACAGCAAATTCTTAAAACAAGTATTTTAAGATTTTGAACTACAGACCATACAGGCTTGAACAATTTTTGAAGAAAAGTTATGTGAACATTATAAATTATCTGTGTATAACTCCTGGGTTGTTCGCAGTGTCCATGTTGTCGGTTCCGTCCATATTCTACCGACCCAAAGGAAGGGAGGAGGAGGCAGACTCAGTCAGAGAGAAGTTCCAAGTCCCAGAGTCTGACCATCTCACTCTGCTCAATGTCTACAACCAGTGGAAACAGAACAAGTGAGTTGCACCATTGACCCACACACCCCATTTATATGGGCCAGTTGTTGTAGTGATTTTGTATCAAGGAAGAACTGGGACCGCGTCTCGTTGTCCCTCCGTCTCGTTGTCCCTCCGTCTACTTGTACCTCGAGGCCTAGGGACAACTAGTCGTAGGTACAACTAGACGGAGGGACAAGTAGACGGTGGCTCACCCGACTAGTTGTACCAGCAGATTTTTAGGAGGTACAACTAGACGTAGGTACAAGTAGACGTAGGTACAACTAGACGTGTATCCCACCGACAAGTAGTATCACCTAGCTTGTACGGATGCGACCAGTTGTCCCTACGACTAGTAGTCCCTACGACTAGTAGTCTCTACGACTAGTGGTCCCTCCGTCTAGTAGTCCCTACGTCTAGTTGTACCTACGCGTATTTTGCGTCCTTATAGTCTAGTTGTATCTATCCTTCAATTCGTTACCCTGTTTAATTGATTACTGCACGAGTACTTTTTAATAATACCCTTAATTAAATCAGGAACTGCAGTGTTCCGAGTCGATTGAGTATGATTGGCAAATATTTTTCACCGCAATACGTTGTTTTAGTAGTTTTACAGACGTTAATTGGAGGCTGAAAGCTACGCATTGCTGTCCAGGGTCGAAATGGCAGCTATAGTTGTGATTAAAATTTCCCAGCCCTAGTACCGAAAATCGCTTATTTAATTAAAACATTTATATATATCATTAAATATACAAGCAGTATATCCCTAATGAATTGCAATAGACCGCTGCCCAGCAATTATGTATTACTATTTTTGCTGATTCCTTTAAATATTTTTTCACATAACCTTAAAGTATTTGCATTGATTAGTGTGCATATCTTATAGTTTACAATGGATTTCCCAGTGATCAATGAACAATGAAGTGTACAATGAAGTTGAGGTCCAGCGGTTGAAAACTCGACAAAAACTATGCAATGTACTACACATACTTCTCCATTTAACATACACTGTAAATAATAAATGTGATTGGAATATGTTCCATTTGTTTTGATTTTATTTTCATAATTAGTTGTTATTTCGTCACCAGCATAGCAACCCGTTAAACCCATGTTAGTTTGAAACATTTGTAATTCTTTTTTTATGTCTTTTTAGCCTATTTTAATTTATAAAGGCATTCTGTAGATCGACAGGAAAATACATTTCCACCGATATGCGGATATTTTCTGTGTGATGTTCACGAGCTGATAAAAAGGTTGTAAAGAAACATGCTTGCCTACATTATTGATATATTTTCTCAGATTTGTATAGTGTGGTGAAAAACAGCAATCGTACCACGGACCGATTTCATCTTCGTCTCGAACTTAAAAATGATCCCGAGCTGAAAAAAAGTCATTTTCGGCCCCAGGTACGAAATATACTCTTAAACTATCGTAGGATCGGTGAATACTAAACTCTATCTTGGAATTACATACACTCGCTCCTATCTTTAAGTTTACGTTGTTGCCATACAATAAATGTATAAATAAACACAAAAATTCACAAGTTTTGTTGTAAGTACCTATATCATGTATAAATAAAAACATACAATAGCATCATGTGTAAGTGTATTCTGTAAAACTTTAAACAAATATTAGTAAAATAGTTTTCAGGTAAACTATTGTTGAATGAATTAGTTTTAAGTTGTTAAATTAACCTCGACCCGTGCTATAATTTTAATGGAGTTTGTCCGGAAAAATACCATGGTAAAATTAAATCAAATAAATAAAATCAAAAGCAATTCATAACAAAAGAATAATAGATACAGAATGAACGTAATTTCTGAAAATCGACAGAGCCTACATATGCGAAGCCTGTGCGTGAGGACCAAGTTGACTCAATAATTGGCAATTTGTCATAGTCTTGTAACATAATTAACTACCACTACTATAATTATCAATACATTTTCAAAGGAGAAACAAACGTCCGATTATTTCTAGGCAGCCACAACAGATAACTTTAGAAAACTACGTTATAAGAATTAGAACAACTCAAAAATTAAATTGTTAACATGATTTGTTTAGCCTAACGAAGAAAATCATGAAAACCAAATTTAACTCCCATAAGAAAAAAATGGGGAGCAATTTCGTTTACGTATAAGCCGAGTGAGATAATAGAAAAATATACGCCGATGCTTGATGGCAAATCTGTGCGTGCATACCTTTAATTTGAGACCTCAATAGTAAAAATGGTCGGGTAGCAGAGCCAAACGAATAACCCATTTTCTTAAATTTATAAGATTATTTAATTATTTATTTATTTTACTTGACTGTTAATACCAAAGCAAAAGCTTCAACTTCGTATGCGTCCGGATTACGAATAAACCTAAAACAATCTTACACCAATTTACCAATAAGTTTAATAAACCAAAATTGCACATACTCCGGACAGATTTCTTATAAAGAGATGCTATGACAATATGATCAAATCTCTATTTAATATAGTTTAGGTTGTGTATTGATTAGTCAGGACATTGATTGAATAAATAAATATTTAAACAGTATATATATATACTAAAACATAAATACAGCACAAAACAAACATATAAAACATAAATGTAAAACATAAAACATAAATGTACAGTACATAAATAGCCTAATTGTTACAATAAATTAACAATGATCATTTGTTAAATTAATCAGTTCAATGTTATTTATATAATTCGACCATAAAGATAGGCGAATGTCTCTCGTGTTTATTAGGACAATAACACAATATACCTTATTGTTGATTCAGGAACACGCCATGAACAGCTATTTCTGAGAAAGGTGAACGAAATACCTGTTGTAAAATGCAGCTAAAGACATCTGCTACAACGTATTTGACTTATTGTTTAATATAAGCAAAACCATATAGATTCAGTACTTGGAAAGGCAAAGGAAATATTTTGTAAACAGCGTACAGAATGTCCCGTTAATCCCCACACGTTACTCAGAATGGACTTCATTTGCAAATTCTTAGAGTTTCCTTTCACAACAATCCATTCCAGGCCAGTTATTGGGGGTGTTGGGTCAGCCCTCTATCGCGTAGTTGCGAGAAAGTGATTGGCCTCCAATCAACCTAAATATTGTTTTGATTTTACGTAGTACTGTGGTAGTTGCTAAAAAAAAACTCTTTCACTCACAGTACAGTATTAAACATTTTCAAAAAAATGTTGATTATATCAAACTGTTATGAACAGTGTGATTTTTTTATTAATAACATAAGCTTTTAGTTGAGTATTTTAAACTTCTTGAATGACAAAAGTTTTAATGTAAAACAGATCTATAATCTGATGTACGCTGCCCAACAAAGACGTTATTTATTTATTAGTTTTGAAATAATTCCTGGTAATACACATAGCTTAAAAATTAGTCGATTTCGAGAAACAGGTACACTACATTATAGTGCAAACAAAACGTAAATAACACTTAGATTTTCAATCCATTACTGATTTTATACTGATTTTAAGTCTAAATCTACACAGGCAACGTAACTTATGAAATACTCTTAGTTTATGAAGGCTTGGTATAAAAAGTCTTGTAAAGTGCCATTCTTGTGTGTTCTCTGGTTAGGAAACTAGCCTTAATATTTAGTTGTTTATGATATAAGCGGTCTGATTCATACCTACAGTGTATTCAGGTTTTGGACTGGCTAGGCCTATATACAAATATTCATGAGTGTTCGATGTCATCATGAGCGTTGGAATGTTTACCTAAAAAAAATGTCGTAGTAGAGGGTGATAGTGTAAATCATAGCTGTTCCCTGGTCCATCGGCCGGTGCCTCGAGGGATAATGACCGACGGACTAGGGATAGAGCTGATGACTCATCCGGTCATGTGAACATCGATATATTAACTAATACTATTTAATAGTAACTAGGTGAAACTTGTCGAAATCGACGGTTACTTTCAAGGATTACGTTAATTCACCTAACTGCGTTAAATTGGATAAAATATAGGCTACATATTTTGAGCATTTAGCATTGTTTAAAGAATAATAAGTGTAAAAACAATATTGATATTAATTGCGTTAGTCGCCAAATTCGGTTGATCATTCAATGAATAAAATATTCCCCTTACCGTACGTCATCGGAGTTATTATTAGTATGTCATCTGGTATCTCTTCCTTTTGAAGAACCTTTAAATAGTATTAAAATCGTATTGGTGGATCTTTTGTAGTTAAACACTTCCGTGATTTCATCAGTGTAATATGATTTTATTTGAAAAGAAAACTTTTTTTGGGAAGACATATTCAAAGGGAGGTCAGGTATATCCGTTACAGTGTAAGTTTGATTTTTCCTTCGTCACGTCGCGTCAGTTCATATCTTACTTCTGTGCCAACGAATGCACCCTCTAGCTTACTTTTGAGAAATTTATTTTGAGGTTACTGTTGAAGCTGGAATTTCTTGACATGGGGGGTTTCAGTTAGTTGTCTCAGCCTTATCAATAACATAAAGTTGTCAATATAATCTCTCTACGGAATGTTAGGTGTAGTGTAATACTTGAAGTGAAGTTGGATTTTATTCTTGAACTGTTAGGGGCCTCCTATTTCATACGGCCTTTTGACTTTATTGGCAGCAAATAATGCAAATGACATAGCAATGGGACATTTCCAAAAACCAAAAATACTGTAAATTGGCTGTTACGTATTCATTGACGTTTAAATATTGTTAATCAACGTATTTTATAAAGGATTATGTGATCTAGTTTAAATGGAATATGACCTTTCTGTCATGACAGTAGCTGCATAAATAGTATTTTCTCTCTGTACCATATCTTACAGCCAACATGTCGTGTTATTTTCAATAATGTTACCAACCCAGTGCGCCAAAGTTCGTAATATAGGCAGGTGCAAATAATTTGTCAAGATAATAATTGTCAAGATTTGTCAAGAATTGATGGCCTTTTTGATAGAATATTTAAAATCAATCGCACCTTTAGGAGGAATACCACCACATAATCTTAAACTAGGCTAATAGTAGTTTTTATGTTGATCAGAAACAAATATAGCGATACGTTTGGTCAATGGGATGCTTTTACTTTACACTAATTTTGTTAAACCTTTCCAAAAGGAGCATAAACGTAGAAATAATAACTTCGTAGGGATGCTAATTTAGCGGTTTTGACCAAGAACTAAGCTTATCTCAACACACCTTTATTTGCCTTTTCATTTTTGACGAAGACGATTTCCAATCTTTCAATCAGGGAAGCCTTTTTATCATCATTATCATCAAACACAAGACCAAAGCTACCTTAGTAAACCAATATTTATTCACAAACATGTTTGCTGCCTTTAGTAGTAGAGTTAAACCTCTGGAGTAATATAAATTATTTATTAAAAATAACGTCAACAAAAGCAAAGAAAGACTAATAACAAACTGTTTTTGTACAAAATATATATTGTACTGGGATTTCTAACCTGACATAGATAATTTGATTCTGAGTTTGTTTAAATATTATAATAATTTGTTTTGTATTTGAGCTTTTTAGGGACTTTTTAGGGACTGGTTCGGTTATGCGCAATATTATATGCCTATTTAGTTTTCAAACCAGCTTTGTTGAATTGTGAATGTGTATTTATACTAATGTGTATTTGGAATACGCTATATTTATTTTTTTAATCTAATTTATTTTTATAAGATATACCTTTACATTACTTTTCCTTATTATGTGACTTATTTTTATATGTGTTGTCAATGTTTAGACCTAGAATTCATTGTGATGTTTGATCTCGGCTTGGCTTAGGAGTATGCACAATGTTTTAATATTTCAACACCAGTTACTAACTATAACCAGGCCCTTAGTAATATTATTTAAATGAAACACTTTGTTTGTTAAGGATATGTAATTTGGCTGACAACTAACTGCACTCACGGTCAAAGGAATTTACAAGGGTTGGAAGGGTAGCCCGCCTAAGCCATTTGGAACCGTGTCGTAACACTTCGGCCCAAGTAACACTTCGGCCCAGTAACATTTCGGCCCGAAACCCTCAGATGTGGCCTACGGTCCAACTCTCTACCTGCCCACTAGTAACACTTCGTCCCAACAAAATATTTGACAGGTTAGGTTAGGTTAGGTTAGGTTAGGTTAGGTAAGATTCCACCGATTCTCCGTCATGTGAGGTCAGAGGATGCAAGGGGTGACGGTTGGGCGACATTCCACCAGAGGGTGGTTGCAAAGTATACAGGTCATGTACCTCTTACTACCTGAACTGCGTTCCTCAACCCTTGTCAATTTTTCGCCGGGCCGAAATGTTACTCCATTAGCTTATTTAATCATCTGTAAAAGCGAATGGGACGAAGTGATACTGTTTTTCTAAGAAATTTGAGTTTGGCCGAAATGTTACTGGGCCGAAGTGTTACTACATCTTTGGAACTGCACTCACGGTCAAAAATCGGTCTTTCACGGCTGAACGCTTCGCTAGCCCCTTAGTCATCTGTTTATTCCGTCCTCTGTCTTACTTTATCCAATACTTATATTTAATACACGTTTTAGTGTCTGTCCCAATAAATACAACAATAACTAACCTAACCTAACCTAACCTAACCTAACCTTTACAAAAGAAGCTTCGTTATAATAAGAATATAGCCTATCATGTTATCGTTATACTATGCTAGAATTTTCTGTGCACATATATATGTGTATTTTTTACAATGTCAGTAGTAAGTTTATTTTTTGACGTTTAGATTAATTTAATCAAAACTTTTCAATATATTTCAACTAATTTAATAAGTTTTAATCAATTCAATCATGGTGTTGCACAATGTGATATAGGCTAATTAAAAACTGACCGTGAGTGCAGTTCCAGTACCTCCAGAAAGGCTCAAAGTGACAGTGAGTGCAGTTCCAGCCCTCCCTGTAAGGCTACAGTTTTACAATTGTCTTAGTTTACTGAAAGGTAGATGGAAAAGAAACATATGCCATACACTGCATTCCCGGCGCCGGGGACGTTTCGTGGAAATACATCTCACCCCCATCCCTCCCGTAGGTATAAGTAAATGCCAGATATGCAAGATGTCAGTTCGTCTTGAGCAGTGGTCATAGAAGTTGGTGAATTATCGTGCTGAGCTATGTCTGCTGTGTCTTTTAAATCGAAATTTGGTGGGGTTGGTGGTCAGATGATAAAAGTTTTGTGTATAAACCTAAGAAGTAGAGTTTAAGTGGAAAAAACAATGATAGCAGATCTTGACAAGAAATAAGGAAAACCAAAGTGTAATATGGAAAAGGACTGACCAAGGGACACAAGTACGTTGTTGTCAAGAACAGGGGTTTCTCAATGAGCTGCAGACAAGCCAAATTTTCCTGGCTTTTGTAGCAAGCTGTTTATAATAAATTGTTGTAAGATTGTATGATTTTTAAAGAAATAAAATTAATCTCTTAAACCGGTGACAAGTTGAAGGGGAGATACAACTAGCCGCAGGTACAACTAGACGTAGGTAGAAGTAGGCGTAGGTACAACTAGTCGTAGGTACAAGTAGTCGTAGGTACAAGTAGTCGTAGGTACAAGTAGTCGTAGGTACAAGTAGTCGTAGGTACAAGTAGACGCAGACGTATGAGGTACAAGTAGACGGTGACGTTCCCGACTAGTTGTACCTGTAGATTTTTAAGAGGTACAACTAGACGTAGAGACAACTAGACGTAGAGACAACTAGACGTCCACACCATCGTCAAGTTGTCTCTACAGCTTTGGACGGGGTACAACTAGACGCCTGTCACCAAAATGCAGCAGGTACAACTAGACGCCGGTACAAGTAGACATCGCCCCGGAAGAACTTAGTTAGATGAGCCACTCACACAGTGTGCTGTGTCTAAAATTTAGTTTACTCCCTTAGATAGTTGATTTAGTCTACTTAAAAGATGATAGCAAAATAAGTGGTTTTATGAGTTTGACGTGGAGAAAAGTTGGTGTATTCTACAGAAATAAGTACATATCATAGCACTCTTTTACTTTTACTGGATGGTACTGATAACTGGGCTGGATTGATAACTGATTTAGCCTCAAACCAGTTCCGTTACACAAAATTAACGTACAATTTATGATTGCTGCTGAGTTCATGGCATGTTTCTCCTCTGCCTCAGCTATTCAGCGACGTGGTGTAATGAACACTTTATCCACATCAAGGCCATGAGGAAGGTGAGGGAAGTGAGACAACAGTTGAAGGACATTCTGGTCCAACAGAAGATACAAGTGGTCAGCTGTGGCACTGACTGGGACATCATCCGCAAGTGTATCTGCTCTGGTGAGTCACTTTGTTATAAGTTTAAGGTATGCACATTTCTTAAATTAGTATTCATTATGTTGACATTAGATAGTAATTAGGTTAGGACTGTTCTCTTACAAAAATTGTTAACAAATGCTAATGGTGTTCAAACACAAGAACACAAATAGAGAATCGTCAGTAATCTTGAATGGTAGTTGTACCAGAATTGCATGTTCTATTTGTTATTTTACCAGCAGAAATAGACAAATACATATTGTTAGACATCCATTTATTAACGGCATTCTGTTGAGTCTCTTTTAACACCGTTAAATCAAGTAGAACAATTTCCATCACTAAAAATAATGACGATAACACCAAGATTGGTGTTCTGTTTGGATTCTTTTCACGCTGTCAAATCAAGTAAAAATAATGCCATCAATGGAAATGATCATAACACCAAGATCGCAAGAAGTGTTAAAGAATGATTCCATGATTAGGGAAGATGTTTACAATTTTGTCTCTTTTTCTAAATATTTTGTAAACTAATAAAGTTTTAGAGTTGATTCAAAAGATATGATATGATCATAGTTTACTCATATCATATGTGTACATTTGCAGCATACTTCCACCAAGCAGCCAGACTGAAGGGTATAGGAGAGTATGTGAACTGCAGGACAGGTATGCCTTGCCATCTCCACCCCACCTCTGCACTGTTTGGCATGGGCTTCACTCCCGACTATGTGGTCTACCATGAACTCATCATGACAGCTAAGGTACGTTGTGGGAATAATGTGTTCACCCGTGTAGTCAATAACATTGTAAACAATTAGCATGTGGATGTAATATTGTAGTTTTGCCATTAAATAAATTTAAAAAAAGTTTGATCTGCAATCTGTTGTTCAAAAACTTGTGAAGGTTGAAACAGAAAATTACCAATCTATAAACCAAAATCAAAACATGAAAATTGAACCCCAAATCTAAATCTCGAAACCTAAACACAATTTTTTTCCTTTCCTAGAGAAGATTACCAAAAATACAGATAATAATCAGATGTTTTTCATGCAATCGAAACTGAAAGAAATTTAATTCCTGACTGACATAATAACATGAAATCAGTTCAATTCAGTTCTGTCAGACAGCGGCGCACACCTAGGTGTGTATTTTAAGCTGGATATGAATGTGTGGATGATCTGTGTGGCTTACTTACTGACTAGGATGAGCTGTTTGATTATTCAGTGAATGAGTAAATAAAACACTTTAAAAAAAACTAAAAACATCAATTTTGATTAACAAAAAATACTTAAAATAAAATCAACTCCTGAAATTGACATACAAACATGAATAAGATACTTATTTATACATATATTTAGCGGTCAATATTCATGTCAAATATTTATGTCCAAAAATGTTAGCAGTTTAGTTTTGAGTTTTGAAACTCAAAACTTGCCAATCAAATTTCAAAATAGAACCTTGTGTACATATTTTTACTGGTTTTGAGATTTGAGATTCAATTTTATATTAGCATATCAATATTAAAAGCATTTGGTTTGGAAAATTATATACATTATTTAGGGTGATTGTGTAGATACAGAAAAATATATAGTTTTCTTAAATTTTAATTGGAAATTAGACCAAACGGCGCTGAAAAGAGAAATTTACTAGAATGGTGGAAGAATGTAGCTGATGTTAGTTAATGTACCCTAAATTTTAATACTGTTTCTTTTTACTAACTTTTTCTAGGAATTGAGGCAGTTATAAAGTAGATTTGTTCCCGTACAGGTCTAGTTTGGTTTCAAACCTTGTTTGGTTTTACAACTTATCAATTTCTGTCCACAGGAGTACATGCAGTGTGTGACGGCTGTGGATGGACACTGGTTGGCCGAGCTGGGGCCTATGTTCTTCTCTGTGAAGGAGACTGGTCGCTCGGGCTCTGCCAAGCGAAGGCAAGCCCTGGAGCACCTTCATGAGATGGAGGGTCAGATGAAGGCAGCTCAGGAAGAGATCAAGGCGAGACAGGAGGAGGCGGAACGCAAGAACCAGGCCAGCGTCCGGAAGTAAGACTTTGATTGTTTGTTACCACTGTAGTGCTATCTTTTTGGTTATGATGGATAGAAGTAGACCTTCTATTCCTAGTTAAAGTTGTAGTTAGATTTAGAATAAAATACATATAGTTAGCTAAGTATCCTACGGAGTGTGCTGATGTCAGTTAATGCTTTCTGTTGTATAAGCACACTTTTAACTAAGTTATATGCCAAAAGGTATGCTTATCATCATTAACTACAGCATCAATATGTTACATTAACAATTACAGTAGTGACAACTAAGGGAGGAGATAAGAGTTTTGACTACAACACACTATGTGAGTGTACAACACACTCATTTAACTATGTTCTTTTCAATCAAAACATTTGAGCTACTGCCAGTGCACAGATAGCCTATATATAGTCTACTTCAGTATCTACAAGTTAATGGTCCTAATTACTTCTTTGGCTATAAAAACCACTCAGTAAGTGGCTTCAAAATAAATGTCTCTTTACTCATTTCTGTCTGCTGCTTAAAGTTTAGTGCCAGGTATATCAATGTACTTTTAACCTCCTTGTCGAACCTCATTTTCGGTCTGCCAGATAGTCCTCTTCCTTCTGGCTTTACCAAGCAAACCCATTTGATTATTAAAAACTCTCTCCTCCACTCATGTCCTGTCAACCCTATACAGTGTGTAAATTAAGTATGGAAACAAATCTGTATTTTTAAAACCGAAATAGATAGAAATATTCTATTTGTGGCAAAAATAGTTAACAAAGATTCTGCAATTTTTCACATGAAAAATATTTTTTTACCCCCCTAACAGGGTAAGTGGTAGGGGGTGACTTATTTTTTTCAAATAGCAACCCCTATTGAGTGACCCTTCATTTTGAAGAGTTTGTCAAAAGAAACACAATGACGCAAATCCGAGGTGAATATCTCACTCCTAGCTAACATGGCGGATATTCCAAAATGGGCTTTTTTTTACAAAAATTAAATTTTTCATTACCCACCATTTAGGCTAGGGGTGAAATATCTACCTCGGGTTTGCGTCATTCTTTTTCTTTTAACAAACCCTTCAAAATGAGGGGTCACTCAATAGGGGTTGTTGTTGAAAAAAATAAGTCACTCCCACCCCCTACCCTGTTAAAGGGGTTGAAAAAATATTGTTGATTAAAAAAATTGCGGAACCTATGTCAACAATAAATTCCACAAACAGAATATTTCTATCTATTTCGGTTTTAAAAATACAGATTTCTTTCCATTATTTGTGAAATTGGTGCTTTTCACGTACAATAAATCAAATTTTGGAATATCCGCCATTTGGGCTAGGAGTGAGATATTCACCTCGGATTTGCGTCATTGTGTTTCTTTTGACAAACTCTTCAAAATGAGGGGTCACTCAATAGGGGTTGCTATTTGAAAAAAATAAGTCACCCCCTACCACCTACCCTGTTAGGGGGGTAAAAAAATATTTTTCATGTGAAAAATTGCGGAATCTTTGTTAACTATTATTGCCACAAATAGAATATTTCTATCTATTTCGGTTTTAAAAATACAGATTTGTTTCCATACTTAATTTACACACTGTATACAGCTTTTAGCCATTGCCAAAATATTTTATAATTTGGGGAATATTTTATAATTTGTTTATTATCATTTCGGGGGAGCGAGTTGGTCTAATGGTTAGAGCCTTCAGTCCCTGGTTCAAATCCCACCAAATCACCAATGGATTTGATTGAATTAAAATTGCCGCGCCCCCCTTAAGTAATGTGAAAAACAATCCCTGACTCGTGCCTAGCGTCCTAGGACAAAAAAATGCCAGAAGATTTTATAATGAGTTTTTACATAGGTCCCTTAAAAAACGTATTCAAGAAACTGGCAACAGACAAACCCACTAACTCTTCTAATGGGTTTTCTGTAAACGGTTGGATGCTTGGATTTTGAAAAAAGAACAATCTTATCTTTGCAGTTTGCACAGGTTGAGCTTACACAGGAAGTAAAAGAAAGAAAATATTTTGTTGTCACTGACCATTTTGTGGATCGCTGAAATGGAATAGTGCTCACAGGTTTGCAACTGTGCCAACCTGATTAGTTGTTCACCAAATTCACTTCAAATACTAGATCCTTTAAACCTACTCTACACATGTAACTGTTTTCCATTTAAAATTCATTGCTTGAACAGCTGAAGCATACAACGTGGAAAAAATGGTGATATAATTAATGTAATATTGATACAGAACGGGACCTTATTGTTGCAGTGATTTTTAGATTTGTTTCATTTTTCATGTAAAGTTTAAGGTGATAGAGAAACAGCTTATCAAACTGTGTCTGGAGGCAACAACTCAAATTCCTCGGAACACCAATGGCTTTTAAACAGCTAGACGTGATAAAGACATTACCCTTTTGTTCATCTACTTTTAACACATCTAGCCTATTGGTCTACTTTGAATGAATGAATGAATGTTTATTTCCACATAATATATACAGAAAACTATAGCACACTTTTTAATACAAAATACTTACAAAATAAAACTAAGACGAAGAATAAAAAAGAACATTACTGTATAAACTAAATTAAATTGATTGTATGAAATACAGCAGACATAGGCAAGTGCTGTCTGTGCGTCTGCTGGGAAAATACATAACTTATCTGGTTAACTAAAAGGATATGTCTTTCAGGCAATGATAACCTACTCTATCGGATAATACTCTCTATTTAAAGCCATAATATTTTGCTTTTATGATTGTGTTATTAAATTTGCTAGGTTAAAAAAATGTTTTTATTTTTTCAGGAGTGAAATAATAACTCCAGGTGCCCGGGAAGAAGGAACCCCTTCTACGCCTAGGAGAACACCTGCCAGACTGGGCCTTTAATTTGCCCGTTAAATGTTCTACAATGGCCATTATTGTACTTCAATAGCAATAGTAGAGTTCCTATCCGTATCCGGATACTTTTATTTGAGCTGTATAGATAGACTTTCCTTTTGGAAAGTTGACTTCCTCAGGAGTTACAAGTCAAAACATCAGGGGTGGATGAAAATTGAAAGTCAGACAAGTCTCTTTGATATAAATTAAGTTGTATTTCACACATTAAGTATGTTTCCATTATTAATTTTACTATTACTACTACAGTGGAACATCAGTTGTTAGAGGACTAGGGTCCCTGAGGTAACCCCATCCTGATTACCAAAATGACCTTAAAAAATGTCAGCACATACTATTTAAGTAAAATTTGAAATTTGTAAAGCCCATTTGTAATTATAAAGAGTCTAAAATAGAGATAAATTTAAATCATTTTTTATGTTCAAGCACTTAATGATATTTAATATAGCAACATGTATACAAAAAATAGTAAAAACATCAGACACTATTGTGCTTTTAAATATTGTGTGAAAGGTTTTTAAACCAGGTTCGCTGTTAAAGTTTAGAGGTTATGATTGGCTGTCGTTTGGCAGCCGTCTATGCTTAAAGGGCGTAGTAACACCCCCCTTTAATGACTTAAAGAGTCATACCAACTAAACAACCTGAAATACACCATTCCAAGTTATCAAAGATCAGACTAGAAGACATTAGGAAGCGAAATAGTGATTTTCCTTTAAAAGGGCTCATCTCGACTTATGCCCTTTTGGCAGCCACAGCCTCAATTATAACCATTATTGATTATAGAGACAAAACTCAATCGTACTGCTTGATAAATATCTCAATACATTAGTTTATGTTTATATATTTGCAATCAGGCATGTGGCAAAATCAAAACTAATAAACTTGTTCCAAATTTAAACATAGAAAATCTATGAAAAAATGTGTCTTTACCAATGTGAAAAACACATTAAATATTTTTAAATGCTGTGTCAGTTTCAACCATAATCAAGTTTTCACCTCTGAAGTTTTAGATTAAGGATTATTAAATTGCATCTGTGATATTTCAATGTACATAAAAATACATTGTAATAAATTTCAGCATGTAAATTTATTCCTAAAACAATTTATTTGTAAATTTTGTAAATATGATTTTATTTTAGATTTTATACAACAAATGTATTGTAACGACTATATGTGTGAGTTTTAAAATAAAAACAATGAAAAGTCATGAATTTTTCCTTATTAAATTCACACCAGTCTTCTATTTACAAGATTTAAGATCTAAACAAACCAAATACACTGGCCTAACGAATATAAAAAATTAAATACCTAATGAATATTGTTTCTTCTTATTTTTCATTTTTCAGAATGTTCAATTGACGTAATACCATCAGACAGTTGATAAAATTGTTTCATCAAGATCAGAGAAAAAAAAATATAGTATTAAGTTAAAATTTTCAACTAATGATTTACTGGATTGTTCTGGGTTTTGACAATATCATAATTTTTTTAGTAATTTTTTTTATATTTAAATTGGTCTTTATCTTTATGTAACATTGAATTGGTCATCTACAACCAATAATGTCATGACAATCATATTAAAATCCTGTAGTTGTTTGTTAGGGTTTAATAGATTAAAATAATTCTCAGTTGTTTTCTCGACACTAATTAGTAGATTGATGGGAAAATCTACAGTTAACATTTCTCCGTTTCACCACTACTCGAAACATTCATTTGACTTGATTACTTTTTGAAAGGTAGCCCAGGTTGTGTTGAATGTAAAAATCCAATGTCAATTAGAGCTCAATTCATCAGCCTTTGGACCACTTTGGATATGTGGACTTTTAATTTCACTGCATCAAATGGATTGTTTTGTACAAAAACTGCGGGATTTGCACTGCAGAGATTAAACCTTGTTATTCGATCGGGAGAGTTGATTTGAATACTTATCCTTGTAAGGGGTTGGTTGATTTTTAGTAATATGCAAGGTTATATTAGTAATATACTGACCGCAAAACTTAATTGGAACCTATTATAAAGAGTTGTGTTAAGTTAACTGGAAAAATTAAAACATTAGCTAAGCAATTAGGGCTAGTTTACCAATAGTACTGAGGGGGATGAAGTCTCGAACTTAAAAAAATCGAGAGCTGCAAAACCATTTTGGTCCGTAATATGAACGCTATTTTTCACCACACTATACCCTATTACCACTAATCACCACAATAATAATGTACACTAACAGTTAACACAACTACAATTTTAAGGCTACCCGGTATGTGAAGAAATAATTTGAGGAATCAGTAAAAATAAATAATAAACAGTTGCTAGGCAGCAGTGACAAAAAAACAAGACTATTGCAATGCTATGGATACAGCCATTGACTATTGGATATACAGCCAAGGCCCCACTAGAAAAAAAGTTTTTTCTAGTGGGGCCTCGATACAGCTTGTGTATTTAATATACATTATTGTTATAAGTAAATAAGCGAACAGTTGATTTTGCAGTGACCTGCTCCCCAAATGAGGATGACAGCTGGCATGCCCAGCAAAACTAACTTTCAGCCACCAATTAACGTATGTAAAACAGCTAAAAACATCATAATATTGTGGTGAAAATAGTTTTTATGTGCTGATAATATTTGGCTGTGCCTTTTATAATCTTTTCTAAATTAACACAGATAGTTTTGAAATAACATTATAAATCACATGGTACTGTTTGTAGTGGTGTTTATTTATTTACATAAGATCAAGAGAGTACTAGTGCGACTTTGACTACATTAAAATAAAAATTTAAACTATTACCAAATCACATAAGGAAAACATAATCAACTCACCAGTTATATGATCAGATATATCAAAAATGAAAATATGAAAATGATATATATGAAAATGGGGGGTTAAATGCATTGTGCCCCCATATCAATCCAGTTCTATGAGTTAGAAATCGAAACAATAGAAGTTGTGTTTTGTGAAAAGAAGCATTTCGTGATCCGATGCTCTCAAAAGGAAACGATAACACTCAGATTATAGAAGTATGAAATGGCACATTGTCTGTCTGTATGGGTAATGAAGGTTTGGAAAAGGGGCGGGGAGGGTACAGGAAGGGGTGGACAGGAATAATAGCCAGGTAAACTTCACAACATTTTGGAATTATACTAGAAAGAAATTACTTATATTAGAACAAATTTACTAGATGTCTATCACACTTTTAGGATGTCTGTCTCAAAGTTCAGTTAGGTCCTCAGTAAGTTAGGAAAACAAAAACTTACTTACCCATTAATGTTGTTTATAGTTTGGTACTTTGATTTAATCAGTTTGCATAGCAAGTTTTCTAATTACTTATTCGACTTTAGTTGTAATTATATAAATTACATTTTGTTGGATTCTCTATTTTGACAAGAACTCTTTCAGAGAAAATAATTCATAAACATTTTTTATTCAAAACATGTTGTCCAGTATTTAAAATAATATTGCTGGTAAAACAAAATTGTGATAAAAAAACATAGTGATCTTCTACACATGGTTAAATTACCTTTTATTTTCGTCCCAGCACAAAAATTGTTGTATACAACCAACCTTTCGACTATAGTTGCGTCATGATCACATAGACACCATGCCGAGAAATATCACAATGCTATGATGCTTCGACACTGGCAAAGGGTTTATATTTACACAATCACAAACAGAAATACATTGCGATACCGGCCATTGTAAATGAAAAAGGCAAATAGTTCTCGCGGACGGAAAACATGCTTGTGACAAACCTGAACTTATTTAAGTGTACCGTTGAGGGAGCCGGCTGAAGAACGACATAACGACTATCTCAACAATGAGACATTCCTCAACATGATACTTACGTGAAAGACGCAACTAGCATTGAAACCTTGGTTGTAGAAACAACTATTGTTGAGCTGGGACAACAATAAAAGGTAAATAAATCACTTGTTTTGTTTTACCAGTTCAGGAACAAGCCACAACAATGAGTATAGTGAGTGATCTTCATTCACATTTGAGTGACAGTATTTATGTAACTCAACATTCGAACCAAATCAAATTAGACAGAAGACAATGCACTTTATTAGCATGTTAACTGAAAACAGTACAGTTTTAAGATTTATTGCTGATAATTTTCTTTATTTTTATTTCAAAATGTTCCTTAAACCCACAAGGGAGGCTGTGTGGTAAAGATACTACAGAGCCGGGATCGGAGGCAAAAGTTGTTGGGACGTAACCAATTGAGTCAAAAGTTTAGTTAACATTCACACTGCATCATTGACTCGCTTAGTCAATTACTTGGCTCGATTAAGTAATTAGTTTCTATCATCCCTCCCCTAATTCCTCCTCACCAACCCTTTGCCTTTCAGAACTCAGCAACCTTCAGTAAGACAGCTTGCATTTGCGGTTATGTCGTATTATTCGTATTACATCTAAAATCTCCCAGAAATTTAACCACAGTTTCCCCTTTCCTCGCAAAATCCCCAAAATGGCGGTGAACATTAATTTTATTGTAGATTAATTTAAAATAGGAACTTATACTATTCTTAATTTCAAAAAATTATGTTTTACTCAATTTTAAGGATTTTAATTTTACACAGAACCCTTCTATTGGCTATGGATTTACTTACTAAGTATAAAATTGTTCCCATGTTAAAATACTATCAAGTCTTAGAATTTTTAAATACCCCCACCGCAGCAAACCTGCCGACTAAACAAATTTCCATTTGTCTGAATTGATTTTAAATTAGCCTAAGTATATTTAACTAACATTAGGTTTAACTAGTACCTAGGTTTGCTGCTACAAGGAAACTAATCAAGTGTGTGTTTTTTGTAAAATATTATTATCATAGACTAGTATAAAATAAATTAATAAATTTGCCAAGTATAATCAAAATATATCCATAAACAAGCAAACTACACCTTTATAGGCTTACCTCCGTCAGTAGTCAAAAATTGTGTCTTAATTCAACTAATGTTGATCAAAGCTGACATGTTTCGTTGCACTGCAACATCGTCGGAGCTTTACGTCAAAAACATCAAATAATTTAAACATAAAATACAACACGGACAGGGAACATTTAAACACGAAATAACACGATAGCGCTATCATGACACGGCACGGCAGCGGTTGTAGGTAGACTGGCTAGATATACATATACAATGTACATATACATATGGCTTTATATACATATACAAAAATTTGAACGAATGGTGTTTTTGACCTCTGGGGACATCAAAATGAAAAAGTAAATCGGTTCCGGGCCTAGGTCTTACCATGCCACCTACGGTAATAGCTACTTCCCTATAGAGAAATTAGCTAACTGGAAAAGTTGTTACCATTAAAAAAAATTCGACCTATTAAAACATTTTAATTTTACTACGTAGAATACAACCTTTGACAATATATTTACTAGACACTTTGAATAGACATTCCTTCAAAACGTAAAAGTAATATCCAATTGTCTAATTTGAAACGTTTTGTAATTTTAGCCACCAACAAAGTGTACTCATGTTAAA